ATCTGCTGAGCTGCCTCTCTCCCGGCTGGGCCCTTCTCCAGCATCATTTGAGGGCCTTCCCTCCGCCTCTAGCTCCGATGTCAGTTCCCTGACAATTTTCAAGTGTAAGTTTTTTACAATGCTTGGGTGGATAAAAGGATCTTCATCTGGTGCCGAAAAGAGCAAAGAAGATGCCAGATGTGAGGCTATTCTGTAGCTGAAGTGCTGATCTCTTCGCAAGGAGCCATGCACATCACTTCACTAGAGTGTTGGCACATGGATCAAGGGCTTTGAGGAGGATAATATGGTTTGGGTAAGTGTATGCAGGAGAATGTGATGTTCTGGGTAACCTTTATGCTGTTAAGGGCTTTCAACCAGCCCCGGAAGCAGCCTGGCATCCAGTGTGGCTGATCAGGTACTGGCATAAGATTGAACAGCTCAGTCCAATTAATAAATATACTGGCCTATTTTGAACCAGCTGTAGTTTCTAGGTAGTTCTACTTACAGTGCACTGTAGTCCTAAAGGGAGGTGACCAGAGTGTCCTGGTCTGTCTAAGCTGCCGTATCAGTTGGAGCTGATAAGAGGCTTGTTGAGCTATGACAGGGAAGGTGAATCCACTGGCTCTCCAGGTGTTCCTTGACTCCAGCTTCCATTAGCCTCAGCCAACATGGGGGATGGCTAGATGTCACCAGTCCTGATTCAGGGGTTGCTGCAAAGCAAGCCCTCTCCTAGCTTGCCATGCCCCACATTTGTGAGGGTGGCAGAGTTCCCAACAGGGCAACTCCATAGCCCCCAGCCTCCGCCAGGGGCACCACATGGAATGAACATGTGTTGGGACTGACTGAAATCCCACAGGCAGTCAGGGGCTTCCACCTGTCCTGGAAGTTTGATACAGTCTGCTTATTGCAAAAAACCCCCCTCAAAATGGGACATCTTTCCTTTAAAAGGGGAAGGGGAATCTGCCTCTCTCTCAAAACGAAGAACTCCACATTGAAAGCTCATATTTGAATACCTCCAATTTCTCTCTTCTGTTGCTTCCCTGTGTCTATTTTAGATTGTGTCTCCTTTGGGGCAGGAGCCTGTTAGGACTGCTCTTTGTTGTCTTGTGCACAGATGGTGCAATATAGATAATACATTCCAAATTATTTTAAACAATGTTTTAAACAGCACTCAGTGTAACCTTGAATATAACAGCAGCAGGTAAATGTTTGCTTAAACATAAGCCCATAAAGAAGCTGTCCAGAGTGGCTGGGGAAATCCAGCCAGGTGGGTGGGATATAAATAATAAATTATTATTATGTCTGCATCAGAGCCAGTCTGTAAACATTGCTCAGTCTCAGATACAAATTCATGTAAATATGTTTCAGTAACAAGTATTACCTGTCTTGCATGTTCCATCTGACAAGAGCAGTGAAGAGCAGGTAGGACTCATCAACCTGGGAATCTAGAAGCAGGAAAACTGATCCTAAACCTCCGCTGCTTTGCAGAACATCTTTGGGAGAAGAAAAGGCTCAGGAGTAAACCCTACGCAAATCTGGAGTCCCTAAGTCAGTTGGATGGTTCCTTGTACGCCGCCTTTAAGCAGCTCCTGCAGCCAAGCTGGTGCCAAACATCTTGCTCTTCTTGGGCCCCATCAGTGAGGCTGAGAGGATCACTTTGTCTTGCACCTTGGGGAGGTGACACTGGTGCTACTAATGCAATGGTTTGAACTCATCCCTGGAAGCACGCTCCATTGTCTCTTGAGACACACAGATGCGGTCCGTGAGTGTGGTGGTGTAGTGGATCGGGTGTTGGCCTAGGGCCTGGGAGACCAGGGTCCAAATCCCCACCCAGCCATGAAGCCCGATGTTGGGCCAGTCACCTACCATATCTCAGCCCAACCCACGTCACGGGTTGTGGTGAGGATAATACAGGGAGAGGGAGAGCAAATATGACACCTTGAGCTCCTGAGAGGAAAGGGGGGTTATTAAACAAACAAAAACAAACAAACAATAAATAGCTGCCTGCCCTCCAGTGCTGTAGAGGACACCAATACTGAAGGAAAAGTCAGCTACTGGAATGAGGCATGTATGGACTTTCACCTCAGGCAGGAGGATGTCTCAGGCAGGTTTTTATGAGTGCAGAGGACCCTTCAGATAACCTGGTCCCAAACTAAGGTTTAAAGGTCAGTGGCAACACCTTAAACTGGGGTCAGAAGCAAATAGGTAAGCAACATAACTGGTGCAAACAGGTCCCGTGTGATCCAAGCATTTTAGCTCCCACATATACCACCAAATAAAGTTTCTGAACTGTCTTCAAGGGTTACTCCATGGGAAGCTCATTGCAGTAATCTAACCCCATCCTGTATCACTGAGGCAAGGCATGCCTTCTCTTTAGTAAGGCCACAGACGTTGTTAGTAAGACATGGCTGAAGATGTTGTTCCACCCCAAAGAGTGCCAAGCCAATGACCCCCCCCCACCGCAAGCTGCTTGCCTGACCCTTTAGGGGGAGTGCAGCCCCACCCAAGCCAGTTGCACACCCCACAGGATTGCTCAGCAAATACCAACAATCCCACTTCTAGAAGCAGCGAGACTTAGGGCTTAACTTTTATTTTTTTTATGGGAATATTATAGTCTGTGAGAGTGAAATATGCTAAAATATATGGTGATGGATGGGCGGGAATTGAACATAAGTCTGTTTGGATAGTCTGTTTCTACAGTGGTGCTTTACCCCTGCTTCCCCACCCCAAGCTAGTTTTATTCAGTGATGCTGCTGTAAATTTGTGGTTGGGATCAGAAGGCCTTCATAATTGTAGGAAGGCAAAGATTAGGTGAGGATTGTCTGATGTAGGCTTATGATTTAGAAGCAGCTATGCTCCATTTTTGCCAGATATCTGGAGGCAAGATGGAGCATGAACAGAGTGGTCCTCTGGTGCAAGACATTATAAGCAACAGCATTTGGAGACATAATTTGCTTCCACTGCAGCTAACTACCAGGTGCGTCTTTTTTTGCGAATCAGTGGTGGCTTCTTGAGAGTGGATGGTTGCTTCTTGGGAGCTTTGGGTGGTTTTGTGGGAGCTGGAGGTGATTTTTTGGGAGCTTTGGGTGGTTTCTTGGGAGCCTTGGGTGATTTCTTGGGAGCTGGAGTTGATTTTTTGGAAACTGGAGGTGATTCCTTGGGAGTTTTGGGTGGCTTCTTGGGAGCTTTGGGTGGTTTCTTGGGAACTGGAGGTGATTTTTTGGGAACTGGAGGTGTTTTTTTGGGAGCTTTGGGTAGTTTCTTGGGAGCCTTGGGTGATTTCTTGGGAGCTGGAGTTGATTTTTTGGAAACTGGAGGTGATTCCTTGGGAGTTTTGGGTGGTTTTTTGGGAGCTTTGGATGGTTTCTTGGGAGCTGGAGTTGATTTTTTGGGAACCGGAGGTGATTCCTTGGGAGTTTTGGGTGGTTTCTTGGGAGCTGGAGTTGATTTTTTGGGAACTGGAGGTGATTCCTTGGGAGTTTTGGGTGGTTTCTTGGGAGCTTTGGATGGCTTCTTGGGAGCTGGAGTTGGTTTTTTGGGAACTGGAGGTGATTCCTTGGGAGTTTTGGGTGGTTTCTTGGGAGCTGGAGCTGGTTTCTTGGGAGTTTTGGGTGGCTTCTTTGGAGCTGGTTTCTTGGGAGTTTTGGGTGGTTTCTTGGGAGCTTTAGGTGGTTTCTTGGGAGTGGGAGGTTTGAGAGTAGTGGGTGTTTCCTCGGGAGTTGTGAGATTTTGGGGAGTGGGTGGCAACTTATTGGGAGCTGGGAGTGGTCTCTTAGCAACTGGAGGCAGTGTTTCAGGAGCTTCTTCAGGTGGCCTCTCAAGAGTTTCCTTCTTCTTTGGAGGCATTTGGTATATTATGGAGCGTCTCCCTCCCATCGGATTGATTATCTTCATTGCCAGGTAGCCCTGAAGGGGGGAAAAACAGGTAATAGCATCCCACCCAACTGCCCCAATTTTACTGGGATATCATGGATTTACAGAAGCCACCTTGGCTTCTGAAAGTAATCCCATTTGTCCCATTTTGGGCACAGTACTATGGCTTCTGCCTGTGGCCCAGGCCACTATCTTTTCCAGAAGCATGCTGATGATGTGCTTCTGGCATGCTGTAGCCTCTGTTTCTACAGTTGGCAGTGTGGGGAGAGGGACAGATGGTCAAGGTAAGGTGGGAGGGGGGCAAGTGGTGGTGGCAGGATGGGGGGAGGCTGATGTCCCAAATTCCTCTCAGGAAATGTTGCAGCATCAAGCAAAACTGTATTCTCAAAACAATGGACCACAACAGGCTTTCATTGCCTCCAGAGGCCCATTCCTACCGGCAGATGAGTCCAGGTTTCAGACAAGCTGGAGAAGCTTTCCTGGACAATTACTTGAGGACACAGTGGAGGCCATGCCCTTGATGCCACATGGGAGGTGTGATTATGCACTTTAATCACTGCTTGCTAGCCCTTGGAACAAGATCTATACCACCAGCACTATAGCAGTCATCTAGCCTGTTTCATTGCACACAACTCCGTAGAATACCGGGGGACATTGCAGGCTCCACAGTGCCGAAGAGGATACTCAGGAGTGATCATGTCAGTAGTCCTCTGCAATAGTTCTCTTCATTCCATAGTGAGACAACAGCCTCAACAGGATCACCTGCTCTGTCCACCAGAAAGTGCCTCAGAGCATTCAGGAATCCACCAGAATCCGTAGCTCTCAGAGGGTGGAACACCTTAATTGCAGAGAGGGATAGCTGCTATGAGTCCAACCTGCATCAGGACGTGGTCCAACCATAATGATGGAATGACATACCCAATTCCAGATCACTTTTCATCCCTTTTGGAGCAAAGACCAAGTCAAGGGTAGGTCCTTTGTGCATTGGGTTGAAGATGACCTGAGACAGCACCATGGTTGCCATGGAATCCTGAAGCAATGACCCAACGGCAGCATTGGTGTGAAAGTTGATGTCACCCAGAATTATCATCTGGGATTCCATCAGCACACTGCTCAAGACTACCTCAGCCAGCTTGGTCAGGGAGGATGTTGTTGGTGCTAGTACACCAACAGCACCCCTAAGTCTCTAAGCCCAACAGCACCCCTAAGTCTCTAAGCCCAAACATGAGATGCAGGCCCTGTAGTCCTGCTCTAAGGCAGAGAGATTTCCCACTGAGGACGAATGAAGCCTGGTGAACTACAGCAACCCCACTCCCAAACAGTCTAGCCTGGATTGATGCTGCACCTAGTGGGGCAGAGCTGGGTAAGATCTAGCAAGGTATGTGGCTGAGCCCAAGCTGCCTGGTCCCCTTTGCTCTTCCTGAGCAGACTCACAGGAGCTGCGTAGATGAAGGCTGCGAACAGCAAAATCACCAGCACACAGCAAAGGAAAATTAAGAGCTTCCATTTGCTCTTCTGCCACACAACGAAGTGGATGCTCTTCAGCGGGGCTGTAAACCACAGGAAAGAGGTCTCTGGTCTCCTGGTCATGGGGAGAAGGAAGGGGCAAGAAAAGTTAAGCAGATGTTGCCCACAGCAGCTGTCTCCATCTTCCCTGGCTTAAGAACATGGGGAGCTGACGTACACTGAGTTAGACTGTTGGCCCACCTAGTTCGATATGGTATACATCAGGACCTCTGGGCCTCCAGATGTTGCTTAACTACAACTCCCATGATACCTGCCCATTAGCTGTGTTTGCCTGGGGTGTGGGAGTTGCACTTCAGCAACACCTGGAAGGCCAAAGGTTCCCTGCAACTGTTCAACGCCGACTGGCAGCAGCTCTCTAGGGTTTCAGGCAGGGGATGCCCCCAGCAGGGGTGCCAGCTTGAATAAAACAATTTTAAAGTCAGAGACACAAAACAGTTATGAACAGTTCCATGCATAAAAACAATGCAAACATATAAAAACTATACCATGTAGTTTCAATATGTTTGCATATAAAAACGGGATACCAAGCAGTATCCAGAACCTAATGTCTCTCGTGGAAAATTCAAAGGGTGGCTGCACCTAGGTGCCCAGTGCTGCTTAGAGCGGTACCAGTACAGCTAGGAAAGGTCCTCAGGGCCCACACAGATGCCAGGCAGGCATGGGCAGGGAGAGTGCCAGAGGGCACAGTGCTCAGAGCAGGCTAGCCAAACTGGGTGCATGTGGCTTAATTGGTGTAGCTCTCATACAGAAGCCTCCCAGCCACCAAATCTTTGGAAACATGCTCTGCCTCAGCCTTTGCCAACCTGGTGCTCTCCAGATGTTTTGGACTGCAGTTCTCATCAGCCCCAGCCAAGCACAGGGCTGATGGGAGCTATAGCCCCACACACCTGCAAGGTACTAGATTGGCAAAGGCTTCCTTCTTGACACAATGACATCCCCTTCCCCATTTCTACCTCCCCAGTAGTTCATGCAGCAGGGGGCACCACAGGCGCTGCAGTCTTACTCTGGTGGCTTCAGAACTGGGTTCATGTTGGGCTCCTCTCTTCCTTTCCCAGCTGGCCGCTCTTCAGCCTCCTTTTCTGTCAGCAGCTCCAAGGACATTTCCACCTTGCCCTAAGAGAACAAGAGAGGATGGGCAGAGGGGTTTCCAGGGTATTCAACGGAAAAGAGCAATGACTCAAAATTGCAAAGCGTAACTTCTACTTTCTCCCCACTCCCAACTGGCTGGAGAAACCTATGGATCAGATTTAGGTGGTGGGGGGGGCAGGGAATGGGGTGTTAAATTGCATAGCTGAAAGTCATTACACTAGTGTAACTCCTCAACTAAATACCCAATGTATGCATATTTTTCAATATATGGGTGTGGTTCTTCTGTTCATTGGGGTATCTTCTCTTCCAGCAATTGCATAGAACGGTGTGTCTATAGTGCCACCATTCTTAATTTGGCATTTCCTGTTAGTCCTGTTCAAGGCATGCCCAGCCTTGAATACTTGGAGGGAAGGAAAGGTGGAGAATGGGACACATGGTACATTTGGAAAACCTTTTGCTACAGCAGAGCTGGGAAGAGTTAGAGAAGGTCCAGAACAAGACAGGCAGAGCTGAGAGCCCTCCAGAGGCTCCACCCACCAGCCCCAGCCAACGTGGCTGTTTTTCACAGTCCAAAACTTCTGAAAGGCAGGCTTAGGAGTTCATGAAGTGAACTCCTCCACTCCCCTCTGTTCTACTTGCTATTCTTTGCTCCCCAGACCCAAGTCCCAACAGGCAGAGGTGTGGTAGATCTGGCTTATGATGCCTTACGGACCGACACGCGAGGCTTGTCTTTCTCAAAGACGATGCAGGGCCACCATCCCCTCATTTCCCTCTGCTTGAACAGGGAGACAGGTTTCCGTTTGCGGCGATGGAAAAAAGAGGTGGAGGTGGTGGCCCCGGTGTCCTCCAGCAGCATCTTCACGGTGCAGTCGCGGGGACGCTTGGCGGGGCTAGGCATGCTGTTCAGGTTCAGCTCCAGGATTCCTGCAAGTGGAATCAGGTGCTCAGTCTCCATGCTTTGTGAAGGACAGGGACAGATGGCATGTTTGACGGCAGGGGAAGGCAGGGGAACCTCAGGCCAGGGGGGAAATGCAGCCCTCCATCTGGACTCTCTTCAGGCCGCATCCTGGCCACAGCCACAGCCACACTCCCCAGGCCACACCCTGCACCCTCCATGAGTGTTTTTGCCTGGTGTCAGGAGCAAGCCAACAATAAATCACACTGTGCAAGTTGAAGCTAACTTTTTATTTGGAAGAACATGATCTGCACAGACTTGGTGGCGTATCAAGCCTAATGAGCACAGCAGCCCGTCCCTGGTAGGTCTTGCCCCATAGCTCAGTTGCCAAGACTGAAAGTCCATCCGTACCCCCCCCCCGGTCATCTGAGTACCCTCCTCTCCAAGGTTTTTCTCAAGCATTTAGAGACTCTGCCTCCACTCTTTTCATGCGTCTTCTGCTTCTGGGAGATCAGACGGGAGAAGAGCTTATCTCAGCAGAAGGGAGAGGCCCTCTTGCTTCTTCAGCAACCTGACTTCTCTGCCTCTTAGAATCATAGAATCATAGAGTTGGAAGAGACCACAAGGGCCATTGAGTCCAACCCCCTGCCAAGCAGGAAACACCATCAGAGCACTCCTGACATATGGTTGTCAAGCCTCTGCTTAAAGACCTCCAAAGAAGGAGACTCCACCACACTCCTTGACAGCAAATTCCACTGTCGAACAGTGGCCTCCCTCCTCCCCTGCTTCAGCTCTTGCCTCTGATTCTGGACTTCTGTCTGCCATAGACTCCCTCCAACTCACTAAGCCCTGTTACCTCTCCAGCTTCCGACACCTGATCCTCCCAGTCTTCTCCCTCATCCCCTTCTGACCACCCATTGCTGTCCCATCACCCCTCCCTGGGCTCTGAGCCTTCTTCCCTTGGAGGTTCCCTCAGCTGGTTCCTCCCACTGCGTCCAACCAGTCCATGATACCTGGCTAGAATACAACTAGGGTCTCTGTTAATGCTTCTTGCATCTCTGGGTGGAGGACAGTGTGCATGTGTGCATATGCACAGGGAACCTAGCCGACTGTACAAGCCAAAATCCAAAGCTATGGCTTTGCCCACTGTTGGCTCTGGCCCTGCCTGCCACTTTCATGTGGCCCCTAGGAGGCTGCCCAGAAGGGAAAGCGGTCCTCAGGGTGAAGAAGCTTCCCCACCCTGAAATAGGACATGGGGTGAAAAGCCTTGTCTTGCCCCCCAGGTGCAGGATTCTTTTTACCTATAAAGTCGTCAGCTGAGAACTTGTCATTGTCCCAGATCTGGATAATGAGCTTGGGGGGCACTTTCTGCATGGTCTCGTCAAGGCTCCAGAAATGTTGCTGCAAACAGGGTAGAAGAAGGGCTGTTGAAATGGGAGACGCAGGACAGGCGTCAAGGCAGGACCAGCTCAAGTCAGGACCAGCTCCACCACACCTGGGAGCTGGTGCCGAGGCTGTGGGGCAGGAGCAGAGGAGAATGTGCACAGAGGAGGGCAAGCAAGACAACTAGGGGTTGGAAACCAAGCCTTATGAGGAACGGTTGAGGGAAGTGGGCATGCATAGCCTGGTAAAGAAGAGAGTGAAAGGAGATATGATAGCCATGTTCAAATATCTAAAGGGCTGTCACATGGAAGAGGGAACAGGCTTGTTTTCTCTGACTCTGGAGGGTAGGTCTCAAACCAATGGCTTCAAGTGACAAGAAAGGAGATCTTGACTAAACATCAGGAAACACTTTCTGACAGTAAGCGCTGATCAACAGTAGAACAATCTCCCTCGGGAGGTGGTGGACTCTCCTTCCTTAGAGGTGTTTAAGCAGAGGTTGGATGACCATCTGTCATGTATAATCTCGTTGAGATTCCTGCATTGCAGGGGGTTGGACTAGATGGCCCTCAGTGTCCGTCCCAACTCTACAACTCTACAATTCTATGATTCTATAATATAGCAGCATGAAACAGTGCTTTCCAGAGAAAGGCGTGTGGTAAAACACTTGACACTAGGTGGCAGCACCAACTTGGAGTATTCAAGTTTAGTAGCTAGAGAAGCCGGCCAGTTGCTCCAGGGCTATTCACTAGAGGAAGCACATTGGGCCCCCTGACTATTTTCACAGAAATTTAGATCATTAAGCTGACTAGGGACATGGATCATATTCCTGGTGATGAAGCAAGTTTTTAGTTTGCTTGCAACAAAAACGATCGCTGTGTGTTGTGCTGGGGTGACTCTCAAAATTCACAAGTGACATGCCAAATCATCATCAACAACAACAGTATTAAAGTAAACTGATGAAATGGAGAGGGAATTGTTTCAAGAAATGTGCATTTCAAGGGGGAAATGTGCATTGTGAAAAATTAACTAAGGCCCATGCCACCGCTGCTGCTGCTGCCATGATGTGCAAGATTTTGATCTGTGGCCTGGGACTATTGGGAAAGAAGGAATTGGCAACAGCAACCAGAATGGAATCTTACTTTTGATATGTGCAGCGCACAATGTTGTTATTACCAACACACTCGTTCAACAACAAAAAATAAATTTAAAACATCTTGGAGGCATCTTCGGTCAAACCACTGGCACCTCTTAGACTATGTTATTGTCCGTGCTAAAGATCGCCGTGATATGCTCCTTACCAGAGCTATGACGAGCGCCGATGACTGCTGGACAGATCACCGACTAATACGCTCCACGATGGCTATCAAGATTATATCTCAATGCAGGCTTCAAGGAAGGAAACCAAGGTGCAAAATGAACACTCAAGCCCTTCAAGATCCCATTAAGCAGGATTGCTTCCAGACAACTCTTAAGGACCGCCTGCTTTCAGAATTCCCTGATAACATTGAGGAATGCTGGACCAAGCTAAAAACATCCATTATTGCAGCCTGTGAACAAACTATTGGATACCAAACCGAAACACCAGGACTGGTTTAATGAGAATGACAGTGAGATTGGACGCATGATTGACAAGAAAAGGAAGGCCTTTCAGATCTGACAAAGAGATAGAAACTGTGCCACTAAGAAAGAAACCTATGCCAACGCTAAGGCTGAGATTCAAAGAAGAACCAGAGAACTACAAAACACCTGGTGGATTAAAAAAAAAAAAAGCTCAAGAGATCCAGCACTTAGCTGGCACTCATGATGCACAGAATTTCTTTAAAGCCACAAAGACCATCTATGGGCCAGTAAATCATGGCATATGCCCCCTACACTCAACAGATGGTACCACACTTCTAAAAGATAAAGAAGCTATTGCACTGCACTGGAAATAACATTACCAGCATCCCCTTAACCGCAACTTCCCTGTAGCTGCTGAGGTCCTCTCACAAATTCTGCAAAAACAAATTAGAGATGAGCTTGCAGTATCTCCAAATCTGGGTGCGTTATGTACATCTATTAATCAAATGAAAAACAACAAAGCCAGTGGACCTGATGGGATACCTGCTGAAGTCTTCAAAGTGGGTGGAATTGAACTTACGCAACAACTTCACAAGCTCATCGAAAAAATGTGACAGAACTGATTGCAGAAACTATTGAGGCATCTCTCTGTTAGCTGCAGCCAGTAAAATTCTTGCAAGGATCTTAGCAAACCATCTCTTAACAATATCCAAGGTGACCCTTCCTGAATCCCAAAATGGTTTTAGACCTTTTAGGGGGACAGTGGACATGATTTCCACTGCTCAACAGCTTCAAGAAAAATGCAGAGAGCAAAGCCAACCCATGTATATGGCATTTATTGACCTGACTAAGGCCTTCAACATTGTAAATAGCAATGCGATTTGGACTGTGGACTGTTCTTCTGAAAATTGGCTGCCCAGATAAATTTGTGAACATCATTCAGCTCCTCCATGATAAGGGAGAAATGTGCTAAGAGGAAGGCACATTTGGCAAACCCTCATTGTGATCTACTCCTGCCCAGAGACCTATGTCCCCACTGTGGAAGGACGTGTGGATCCAGAATTGGGCTCCACAGTCACAGACTCACTGTTAAAACCGTGTTCATGGAAGACAATCCTACTCGGCTACCAGGGATTCCAGAAGAAGAAGAAGAAGAAGAAGAAGAAGAAGAAGAAGCGCTTTCCATATAAAGTGCTTTGTGGGATTGGAGCATCCCCAGAGACAGAGCCCCTGTGTTTCATGAGGCAGCTCCAGATTCTCAGCAGCAGCTAATGGGAAAGATCCCCTGTCTGCCAGGGAACCCAGAGAGCTCTTGCCACTCAATGCAGAACAGGGTTTAGGAGCCATTTTCAATTCAAGGGCCAAATTCCTTAAAAATCAGTCTATTTTTTTTGGGGTGTGTGTGTGTGTGTGTGTGTGTGTGTGTGTGTTAGAATATGTCATATGAAAGCCAATGTTATTATTCCACACTTTCCAGGGCACTTTCCTGTCACTTCCTATATTGCAAAAAGTCTGATCTTTTGGGGGAAATGGTTTTATTTACTTATTTGTTGCATGGGACCTCCTAATCAGCTGTGATTGCTGCTACATGATTGAAACCCACTAGGCAACAGCCTGGAAGTGCCCTGCATCTGAGAACTATAAGTGCTATTAAATTTACATGGACTAAGTGTGCCAGAATATGAATGAGAGTATCCATTAAAATGATGTGTGCACCACAGAGAGCCGTGTGCCTGTCAATGTGCCTCTGATTATCCTCCAGCAGATGATATGCAGAGAGATATTTTCTGTGAACCACCCTGAGACCTCCAGCTATAGGGCAGTATATAAATTCAAGAAATAATAATATAATCATAATCTCTTGAGTTGGATTTGTGAGATGGAGGATAGAGAGGGCTTTGCTGGTTGTCCATACACAACCCTCCTTCATTCATTCATTCATTCAAGTTTAACAAAATTTATGTACTACTTAGTCAAAACAAATAATAATAATCAAAGCAGTTTGCATAAATGAATATAAAATATTCACAAGAAAACACCAATAAAATAAACTGATTTTAAAAACAAATAAAAATATTAAAATGTTAAAATGGGAGAAAAAAACTACATGCTATAAATTTTCATATCTGTCTAGGCGTGGCCTACGCAAAAAGGATTTTTTAAAGCTGGTATCAACAAGACTGCAGCAAAGGTGCCTACAGAGAGTTCGGAAGAATAGGTGCTGCCACACATTAAGAGATTGATTCCTTGCAAGTGCAGAGCAGGCATGCTATGTCAATTGTAAAGGTGCCAGTTCTGGCGGTCCACGTGGTTGAGGGCGCTCCTATGGGGTAAGGTAAGCTTTGAGGGAGCCAAGGCCACCTCCCTTTTTCTAAATTGGAGCAATGCTCTGTTTCAGTTTCCACCTACCTTCTTGGTGAGAACGCAGACCTGCTCCATGGGCAGGTACTCCAAGGTAAACACAAAGCGCCAGTTGAAGTTGCCTTCTCCTGTCAGGGACCTATAATGGATATCTGTCTTCTGCTTGTCCTCCTCCAGGCCATCCATCCACCTGGAACCAGGGCAAAGGAGATGCTGGAGTTGTTCATAGGAACTCTTTTGCCCCATCCCAGATTCTAGGGCACACTTGGGTACATTGGCAATAAAAGCTGCATCATCTAGTCCCGCTGGCAGCTTTGGGAGAGATGTCCCTCTTCCTCCATGACCCTTAGGCAAGGGACAGGCGGGAGCTGAATGCAGAGCAAAAAGTCCAGGTTCCCCTGACATCTCTGCTGCTGGAGTGTATCATCCAGCCCAATCTTCCCCAGCCTGAGGCCTTCTGAATCTTTTGGACTCCAACTCCCATCAGCCTCAGCAACACAAGGCCATGCAGGCTGGTGATGATGGGAGTTGCATTCCAGAACATCTAGAGGACACTAGGTTGGCAAAGGCTATTTTTCACCCCTTTAAGGTGCCAGAAAACCCATCTTTTATTTCTTGCATTAGACTATTGGGGCAACCCTTTCTGAAGGCTGATGGGAGTTGCAGTTCAGCTACAAATGTGGCAGAGGAGCAAAGGTTCTCTATACCAGGAGAAGGAGAAAGTTCTGGTGCACAAGTTGATGCAGAAGCACCAGCCAAATCTTTAGCTACTAGTCTCTCCTTTGTGAACTGCTGCTTCATTTGATTGTTGTGAACCACCTTGGTTCTTTGGAGAAAAGCAACACAATTGATGAATGAATTCATGAATGGTTTTGTTATGCAAATGGGGCTATAACAGTTTGGGAATCATAGCTCCATGACACCTCAAAGGAAATATGGCTAGGACTGGTAGATAGCTCTCCATCTGCAAATAAGACCAGTTGTTGGTCACTTGCCACCACAGGAGTTGGGCTGCCATAAACCTTCTGCCTCTGTTCTCTTGTACCCTTTCACATAGATGTCACTCATCCTGTCTCCAAAAATGTTGGTGTCTTCCAGATCCACATCTTTGGTGTTCCAGATGATGCAGCGAAGTTCGTGCCTACAGAGGAGACAAACCGGAGAGTCTTGGTGCTACTGGGAGGGTGCTTTAAGGGATTCCTCTTCCTGCTATATACAAGAACAGGGCAGGCTAACAAGGACTTTTACTGGAAAACTTTCTGTGCAACCCCGCTCTAGTCCAGTGTGGAAATGCCAGTGGGGTTTGGAGCTGGAACCTTCTGAATGCAAAGCAAATGCTCTAGCACTGAGTTGTAGCCCTTCCCTAAGAGCAGGGGCGCCACCAGTAGATGCCTTTGTGAACCAGCTTCCCCCTTGTGTCATGCTCTGGGATTAGAAACAATGACAAGTATGCAACAGCGGACATGGGGTGGTCAGATCCAGCATCCACGTCCACCTGCACCCTGACACTCTCATTCAACCATCCTGAAAATGTGCTATGCTGGTGCAAATAGTTCTGGGTCTTTAAAAGGGTTGGGGTGGCTGTGTTTGGTGCACCTACTTCTTGGGCTTCCTTGGGGTGATGTCAAAAGGAGGTCCTGGCTCACCTATGTTTTCTGGGAAGATGTCGACCCACATCTGCACTTTCCCCTGGATATGAAGAGAGGCACATTCTTAATGTTTTTCAGTTGGTACTTCAGTGATGTACATAAAGTATAGTCACAAAACAGACAGTGAACATAACAAGAGATAAAAAAAAACAACCACATCCTCCTCCCTATGCCAGAAACCAGGCAAGTAATTGTATTCTCATGTATACTCACTGTTACCTATTTCATTCATTTTCTCTGCTGTTCTTGCAGGGACCTTACAGAGCATATTGCCAGGATAATGTCACCATTTTAACTGGCCAGAAGAGACTGAGATGTCCAAGGACAAAGTTAGGAGCAGAAACATAACAATGGCATCCGGATTTGTGCTGATGCTGGTGACAAGGTGTTTTGTAAACCATATTACATGTTCGCCTATGTAATAAACTGCCACCAAACAGCCTGCAATGCAACTGGTTTCTTTTTCCCCTTCAAGATTGCTACATCACATTTTATTTCTTCAGCAATTGCTAACTTCCAGACTTTCTTAAGCCACAATTCTAGTTCAATGCCCTGTGGGGTCCTCCAGGTTTGGGCTATAGGGCACAAGATTTATAAAGGAGTCTGCAAATTCAGACCTGCAGGCAAGAAGGCTGGTCTTTCTTTCCAATTCCAGTGTGTGCCACTCTGCTTCAAAAGGCAGGTTCCATTTCATCTACCAGCACCTATTTAGGATATTACAGTACTTCAGCTTGTCTGAAATGTCTCCTGGGGGTCAGTGCCAAACTTATCCTTGCCTCCTGCAGCCAAATGGGGAGGAAATGGGTCTGGGGCAGGAGTATTTAGGGTAACATCTACTATACTGAAAGCAGCTTCAACTCCCACCCAAAGAACCCTGGGAATTGTAGTTCTGTTGGATGACGGATTTCTCACAAAACTATAATTTAGAGTAATCTATGACATATACTGGGTTCAACCAGATGTAGATTTTCTTGGGCACCATTAAAATTGCTGGTTGTGAGGCAAAATGGCCTGGGGCCATCTTGGCTGAAGGATCAAGTTCTCCTGCACAAACCAACCCAAGTCTTGAGATCTTCTTGAAAGGTCCCCATCTCAGTCCTGCCTAAGGCATGTAGATAGCATCTAAACATACTGTCTAAGGCATGTTTGGCAAGGGTGCAATGAGAGGCCTTCCTCACTCACTGGCTGGGCCTTACCTCTGGGATTCTCTCCTTAGGGTCTCTGCAGAAGACCTATTTATCAGGCATCCATCCTGATCCTCCTGCACAAAGCTTATGTGGAAATTTGGTTTTGGTTTGTCAAGCTGCCTTGGCTTTTTAAATGCATGGCTTACTTTAATATCCTTTAACAGGGCAGTTCTTGTTGGTTTCACCTGTTCTTATTTTATCATCACACACTTTTAAAAATGGGTTTATAGCATTTTAAAAAATCATAACCATCATCACTTGGTAAGCCACTTTGAATGCTTTGCATAGAATGGTTGGATATATATTGCAATTATAATAAATGAACAGTAAGTCGGACCTGCAGGAAAATCTTGCTGACAGATGTGCTTCTGTTCAGATTTCCTGCCAGCCACCCCTTTTACAGGATACTATTCTTTTCTGTCCCTCCATCAACTCCCAGCATTCTGGGGTTTAGCCAACCAACTTCTACTCAGTGAGACCCATTGAAATTAATGAACATAATGAACATGCCTATTAATTTCAATGGGTCTACGTTGAGCACGACTGGCATTGGACACAGTCTTTGCCCGCTGAGCATGCTCAGTCCTTATTGTGTTGTTTTGGAGACTCCTTGCCCCCGATCCTTGGGATTAAGCTCTCTTCTGAGTGGATGGTACTGTTTGGGCTACGTAAGTGTCAGCACTTGGAGAATGAGTTTGCTGTAGTTTTATGTAGGATAAATGAACATGTCAGCCAAGTGTGTAGCTGCTCTAAGCTTCCCACCTGTGAAGGGGAGCCAGACTACAGGGGCAAATAGTGAAGCTTCTCTCTTCCAGCAACCACCAAATGTGTAGGCTCAGCAGCAGCTAACTTGGCACCCTTCAGCAGTTGTCAGGGATGGTGGGAGCTGGAGTTCACAGCAACTGGCTACTCCTGGTGCAGTGGGGAAATGGAGGCAGGAAATTTACCTGCTGGATCCCTGGATTGGTAGCGCTGTAGATGCCACGAGTCTCCACGTGTTCAGGCACCAGCCCACAGGTGTGGAGGAGATGGAGAGCCATGCGCTCTTTTGGAGGCCCCAGGAAGCCATGTGAAGGTAGTTTAGTCTCTGAAAGGGGAGTGTCAAGTACAATAGAATCAGCACTTATTCAGCCAAATGTATCACAGACTTCCATGCAGGGCAAAGGGGGCCACAATTACAAATAAAATTCTGCTCCAAGGCAGCCTGTGTTCTACAACTTATACGCATTGTGCAACATGAGCACATTTGCAGAGTGCTTCTTCTGGGGGAGCATTTTCCCTTGCATTATGCTCTTCCCACAAACCTTTGTGGGGATTTATTGGGTGGGGATTTATTGGATTTATTATTATTATTATTATTATTATTATTATTATTATTACTATTATCATCATCATTATTATCTTTCTTTGTTTGTTTATTGTGATTTTATGTTGTAACCACCCTGAGGCCTGTGGGTATATGGCAGTATACAAATGTTAATAATAATAATAATAATTTGCTGCTTGGTGAATGTCAGACAAACCATGGTTAAGGACAGGTGCTGGGTTCACACATAATACCAAGCTATAAATAAAACAAACCATGGGCTGAAAGCCACCAAATATCCATGGCTTCAGATCATGCTTTGTTGGCAATAAACAAACCATTTTGTGAAGTCATTGGGCACGGTTCACACATAATGCTAAGGCATAGCGTAACAAACTATAGTTTAATTAATCTTCCTTTAGCATTAAATATGTGCCGAACCATTGCTCTCACACCCAGAGAGGACAGGTGAGCAGGAAGCAACAACGAGGAGGAGGAACAGCAAGCCAGAGCTTCAAAGGATTGGCAGTGGGCTCCCTTTAGCAGGTGCTTAGTGATGCCAGTGGCAGGTGCTGACCTCGGGCTCAACCTTCAGAGCAGCTCAAGCCCCCTTCTCTCTTGCTCCGTGGGAATATTTTGAAGTACTTACCAAAGTCAGACAGCTGATAAATCTTGCTTCGGAAAGTGGCTCTGCTGCCATCTTCACTTATATCTGGCTGAGGTATGTTCTTGGTCCGAGCATAATTCTCCAAGAGCTGGCTTGGAAGAAGCTGGTCTCGCCACTGGGTGGGGCCACATCTGTACGAGAAAGGAGCGATCAGGAGGTCAAGTGGCATCTGCAGGGGGGGCTACCTGAGGGATTTAGTTTCTCCTAGACTGCAGAAAATGTTTATTTCATGAACTGGTTTAATGCCCTAAAAAATGTCTACAGGGCAATGATTTTTCTGCTCTGTTGGGAAGAAAGATTAGCTAATTGTTCATTTTCATTTCACCTACTTCATTCCTATCTCTGGAAAAGTAAATAGAGACTTTAAAGAGAAGGAACTTGTTAAGCTAATATTAATATTGTTTGCTAAAACGGTAAGATGAACACATAGTGGAAATATTTCTGGTGCTTCAGGGCAGGTATATTGTGGATCACAGAGAGAAGACAAACGTGACCTAAAAACCGAGTGTTTTGTTGATGAAACATTGATATGTAGCTTATGAAATGACCACTGGCAGTTCATTAGTTAAGGCTGGTGCTCCTGCCCTGCCAGGGGACGTGGCAATGACACTGCTGTTGGGGAAGGCATCTCTGTGGGGCTGCCCCCTTGAACTGGCTGCTCCCAGCTCTTGCAGCAAAAGCATGGGCTCTGACAATGAGCCCATCTGAAGCAGCTGCCTGCGTGAGTCCAGAAGGCACCCGCTTAACACCTATGCTCATTGCTACTTACACGCAGTAGGACTGTGGAAGGCCACAGTTGGCTCCATAGCGGGACAGGATCCGGTCCTCCAGGTCAATGGTGGTGTCTCCAATTACATCATCAGGGGAAAACATGTCAAAGTCATAGAATGAGATCTTCAGTTCTTTTTCTGTTGGGATGTTGCACATAATCTCAAACATCCTGTGGCGGTCAAGGAAAAGAGTAGAGGAATAAATAAATATGTATGTATGCCGCTACTGCGGCCCGCATTTTCTTAGCTCAAAAATGGAAAATGAGTGAGGTCCCAACTAAAGAAGAATGGAAAGCATAAGCTGATGGAATATGTGCAGCTTGCGGACCTAACATAGAATAAGAGAACAAGAAGAACATACATTTAGAGAAGATTCGAAAATATTTATTGAATATATGGGGGGAAATTGTGTACACTTGAAAACGTTGGCAGCATTAAGATAAATTCAACAGTGTAAATAAGTTTTGGTGGGTGTAATAATGGAATACTGAATGGTTTATAGTTTACGTAAAATATGTGGTGCTGTGGGTTAAACCACAGAGCCTAGGACTTGCCGATCAGAAGGTCGGCGGTTCGAATCCCCGTGATGGGGTGAGCTCCCATTGCTTGGTCCCTGCTCCTGCCAACCTAGCAGTCTGAAAGCACTTCAAAGTGCAAGTAGATAAATAGGTATCGCTCTGGCGGGAAGGTAAATGGCGTTTCCGCACGCTGCTCTGGTTTGCCAGAAGCAACTTAGCCATGCTGGCCACATGACCCGGAAGCTGTACGCCAGCTCCCTTGGCCAATAAAGCGAGATGAGCACCACAACCCCAGAGTCGGTCATGACTGGACCTAATGGTCAGGGGTCCCTTAGGGATTTATGGTATGCAAAATGAACCATAAAAGAAGAAGAGAAGTCATTGATATTTTAAGGATGTTTAAATGTGTATTTAAAATTGTAAAACAGAAAATTTAATAAAAATTATATATAAAAAAACGGAAAAGAGGAGAGGAAATAATCCCTTTCCCTTCCCACCTCTGAACGCTTGTTGTGCTCTGCACATTCCAAGGATAAGTCATGGTAGGGATGCACCTGTGTCTTAACAACCCTTTCCTATCCCAGTAGCTTCCTGCCCTGCCCTGTACCAGAGGTGGGGACAGCATCCGCAGAATGAGCGCGAAGAGATTAGCCTTAGCAGGCAGAGGCTCTGAGGGAGTGTGCCAGACCTACCTCCCAAAGACGGGCTCCAGAGTGTTGGGAATATACTCCTCCCTCTCTCCAACCTTTTTCTTCCCGACCTTGATTTTGATGTAGGGGTCACACTGTAAGGGGACACAGTTCAATGCAGAATGTTAGGAGACCAGATCCTCAAACAGGGTCCAGCCACACCTGCTGTAGAGGAAGCCTCCTATCACATCACACAGGGAAGCTCAGAGCAGGAAGCGAGAACCGCAGGCAAGCAAAAGAACAAAGCTGTTGTGATTACCAGACCATTGCTGTCCTTTGGCTCTAGGTTAAAGGCTCGGATGATGTAAATCCGGACCAGACATGACTCGCAGACGTTGTCGGGAAGTTCCTGGAATTGGCGTGGAGGGGGTGGGACGTTGGGATCTTCTGGTAAAGGATAGATCCGGAAAAGTCCCTGCCGGAGAAAGCACTGTTTCATTTAGTTACCAGCTCCACTGCCCCCACCCCAGAAGTAGCAGCTGGCAAGGCCACATTGTTGTCCTGGCTGCCCAATGCTCATTGCTCTGTGCTGCTGTGCCTGTTCCATGCTGAGCGCCCTGCTCTTGGCAAGGGGTGCAAGGTGTTGGGAAGCTGGGAGAGCAATGCAGCCCCACCTACACCCCCCCCCCAGCCGCTACTGCCTGGAAAGGCTTCAAGAATACAGCTTGTTGTTGCTCGAAGCTGCCATAATCTCTCCCCTGCTGATTTCCTGCTTCTCATGCAGATGCCAAGAGACCAAGAAGCCTTGCACAAAGAAAACTGGACTCTAGTCCATGAAAGTGTGCGCCACGACAATTTGTTAGTCTTTAAGGTGCCAAAGACGTTGTGCTGCTTTTGCTGCAACACTGGCTAGTCAGGCTACTCCTGGGGATGAAACCCACATGCAAAACTTGGCAACTCTGCTTCTGAAGACTATATGTTGTTTAATATACACCTGAAGCAGAGTGGGAAGTCAGTCTCCTGAAAACAGTCTCCAGGGTGGAATTTCTGTGGATTTTTATAGATGGCTGGAAAGCAGGGCCACTTGGGGCAGGCCCTCACCTTGAACTGACCCCCCACTCTGGGGTCATCATCTTTCACCAGCCCTCGGTGCAGCTGAAAGGTCTGGCAGAAATCCTGTAGGCCATGGAATTCAGGCACTTCTTCCAGTTCACAGCTATACATCTGGGAGAAGGGGACACAGACGCTGGCTTAGCACCTTGGCTGGGTTCCCTGCAGCGTGTACACCTGCTCAGTGCTTCAGCCATCTTTCCCCAGGCATTGAGTTAAATTCATTTTCTTACATTTAAGAACATCAGAATGTAAGAGCCTTCTGGGTCAGGCCCAGCAGCCTGTTCTCACAGTGGCCAGCCAGAAGCCCGTGGGAAACCCGCCAGCGCAAGAGCATCCCACACAAGGTCCAGCAACTGGGATTCAGAAGCAACTGGGATTCTGCCTCTGACTGTAGAGGCAGAACACAGCCATCATAGCTAGTAGCCATTGATAGCCCCCTCCGCCATCTTTTAAATCCATCCAGATTGGTGGCCATCGCTGCCTTTTGTGGGAGTGAACTTCCCAGTTTAACTATGCAATGTGTGAAGAAATACATTCATTTGTCTGTCCTGAATCTTTCAACTTTCACCTTCCTTCAACATCCCTGAGTTCTCGTATTATGAGAGAGGGGGAAATACCTTTCTCTAGCCACTTTCTTCCCAGCACCCACAATTTTATATACCTCTATCATGTGTCTTCTTACTTGCCTTTTCTTTAAACTAAAAAGACCCAAATGGGTATTTTGTTGCCCTTTTCTAAATATTTTCCAACTCAACAATATCCATTTTGAGTTGAGGCATCCAGAACTGTACACTGTACTCCAAGTGTGGTTGCATCATAGATTTGCATCATGGCATCATGATATTGGCAGTTTTATTTTCAATTCCTTCCCTAATGATCCTATGTGCATCATTCACTCTTGTTTACACAGAATGGCAGCGTTTGCCATTTTGCTGCCCATTCATTCAGTTTGGAGAGATCCTTTTGGAGTTCTTCACAATCCTTTTTGCTTTAATAACCCTAAAAACAACAACTAGATCCCTGCAGTATCTCTACAAACATGAGTTTGGGGACAGATGTTAGTTGAGGAAACCTGCCATTCTGCCTTGCATTCTGCTTGGGCTGCTACCCCTCCCCCCACAGCACAGGCACCTTCAAACTATCAAAGCCCTTCTCCAGGTAATGTCCACTCTTTGACAGATCTCCCATAGTCACGTAGTACTTGCTCCACCAGTCCACCTCCTCTTCCTCTTCTTCCATCTCCTACATGGGGAGAAGTAAATTCAGTTCACCTCCACATCACATGCTCTCAGAGCAAAACAACATTCGTTCGGATCCAAACTTGACTTGTGGGATCTGATCTGTAGAATATGTTCAGATTATAGGAGGCAGCACAATAGCCCAAACATTTTGCGATGCTTGTGGGTTTTATGACGGATCCTTCTACGCCCCCCCCCCATCTGAATAGTCACCAGTCTTTGTTTTGATGACTGAAGCACCACATCACAATTTACCCCCCTCCCTAATCAACAAGAAATCAAGCAGGGGAGTGGCTTGGGAGCCTCCAGATCTGTACGGATCCAGCACCCACGATCAAGATGACCCTTAGCTTTGATGGCATCATGACTTACCTTCTCTTCTTTCCTAAAGGGCCTTTTCCAGAACCAGGCCTTGTAGGCTTTGCCCAGCTCCTGCAAGAAGCAGCAGAATAACTCTCACAAGCCCAACAGCCACCCGACTTTGTTCCTCCTTCAAGGGAACCCCATAGTTTCTCTCTTCCCTGGGAGACTAGGCTTTTTTGGCTACCACTACTTACATGGCAGCATCTGTGCCAAAGCTGTGGCCTGAAAAGTGGCTAAAGCTAAGGAAGTGAAATGCAAAACCAAAAGACAGAAGCCTTAAAAAGAGAGAAAAAGGGAAAGGAAGGCAAGGAAGAAGAAAAACAGGAAGTTTGGCAATAGCTTAACCTGCTTGGATGAAGGACCTAGAAAGAATCTGCTCCGTTCCACCTGCTATGGTGGCTGAATGAGAACTGAGCAGGAAGGTGTAGGATCTATGCTTCGGGGCATGCACACAACACAAATGTGTAGGCTACTCCGCAGAGCTTCCGAGCCAGCACAATCCTTGAGGGTTTGCAGCCCACCACTCCCTGTCCCCAAACATCTGCTGCCTGAGGTGGGTGTCTCACTCTGTCTAATGGTAGGTCCAGCCCTGAATGAAGAAGACCTGAGCTTCCCTGGATGAGGCTTTCCCTCCTGCTACCAATCCATTGCAGAGGCATGTGCGGTGTGCTGTTGGGGGATCACTCATAGTTGACGCAAGGTTATGCTGAGGCCCAAGAAGCCCAGCCAGCACCCCATGTGAACATGCTTGCAAAATTCATGCAACCAAAAATACTTTCAGAATCTCAGAGATACCAAAATACATTGATATAGAACATGGGAAGTTAGGGCTCACCCACACTTACCTTCCACCCCACACTTTCTAGGCACAAGTTTGTGCTTTAATAAATTGCCGTGTCCAAGCACTTTTTTGGCCCACTGCTTTCCCCAGGAAAACCTGCTCTTTAACACTAATTGGAACAAACAGCAATTTGGATGGTTGTTTGCTCCAATTCAGCAGTAAAGAGCATGTTTCCAAGGAGAAAGCACTGGGGAAACACACACACACACACACACACACACACACACACACACACACACCTGTGCCTAGAAACATGGCTCAAAAGGAAGTATCAATTAGCCCTTGGAAACCCACCATCGTAGGAGGAGACCAGGGCTCTTAAAGGTTCATTCTTTCCATCGGCCTGTAGAGAGCCTGATAAATGTAGACCTTCTTCAAGGAAGGAAGGAAGGAAGGAATTGAATCAAATAGTGGCAAAACAATGAGATGCAGCAACACTTACCTTCTTTCTCTTTGTCTTGGCAATGGCTGTTTGGGGAAGGGAAAAATTGAGAAGACGTGGAATTAATAATAGCAAACTTTGAAAGGTTTGACAGTGGAAACAAGCAGGAACAAAATTGCTTGCAAATGCTTTTAGGAGGTGGACAGCCATTAGTTTAGTATAGCTTGCTCATCCTTTGGAAAGCTCAGAGAGACTTCCACGAGGCTTCCTGGTTCTCTCAGGCAGGGATCAATCATCCCTGGCCATTGTCCATGCTTGCTGTGGCTGATGGGAGATGTAGTTCAGCAACCATCTGGAGGGCTACAGGTTCCTCACACCTAAGTTACAGCAACAACCGGTGTTCCCAGACCATGCAGCTGGCATGCAAGGCCAGGTAACCCACAACACAGATGTGGAAGCAACCCATAAGGCACTTCAGACCCACCCTTCCCAGGAGTGACTTGGGCAGTGGCGCAGCAGGAGTAGCCTCCTGGAAGTGGCATCGCTGCCGCTTACTGGGAAGGACAAGGTGGCAGTGAGGTCAGGGTTGTGCAGGTACACTGGCAGAGCCAATTCAGTCCTTTGGCACAAACCAAAACTTGCTAAGCGCCAGTGGCACTGCTGCTATGGGCTATTGCTGTGGCTCTGCTCCACTGGGCAAGGCACTCCTGTTCCCCGGAGCTGACAAAGACATACATGAGGCTATCCTCTTTCTGTCCTTGCAGTGGCCTTGAGAGTGTGTGGCCGGCATGGAGACCTATATTTCCTGTGCTGCAACCAAAAGCAGCTGGTGGAAGGAGGAGGAGAAGTTTGCAGGGAGAAAGTGACAGGTGGGAAAGGGTTAAGCACACCCTGCGGCTCCTCTGCAGCCTCTCTCCCCAATTGCCACTTTGCAGCTGTTTGGAGGCAACTGGGGAGTCCAACGCCATGTTTGCAGCCAGGAATATAGCTCTGTTCAGCCCTAAGAATAAACTCTTGCAATGGAACTCAGCAGCACTTAAGTTTGTTTTTGGTTGTTAGTTTGTTAATGTGGCTAATATTGTAGATTATGAGTGCTGTAGTGCTTTGTGAGTCTTATAACATGACCTGTGTTGTGGCTGTGCTGTTTAGCTTATTTTTTTAGTTGTTTTGTTAATAGTGTTTTATAGAAGGTGCTTGTTTTACTGATTATTTGTTAATTATTCTATAATTGTGGTGTTCTATCATGTTATTGTCATTGATTGATTGTGAGCCACTTTGTGACTCATGTGAGTGAAAAGCAGCATAGAAAATGAAATGAACTCACTCCTGTAAGGTGGAGCCTACCTCTGACAGGGAGATTATGGGCCTTCCTTTCTTCCCAGGGGTCACAGTAGTACTGGCTCATGGATCTCACAGTCGCTTGGCCCACCACAGGCTTAAATCCAAACTCTCTGTGGTCTACCACCTTCAGTTCGATAGGAAGCGCATAATCTTCATCCACAGGCAGGTACTAAGAGAGATCAGGAGGGGCTGCATGAGGTTTTTCCAGGAGAGGAACGGCTGGGGGATCCATTTGAGGAATGATGAGACAAAGACAGCTGGGCACATACTGTCATGCTGTTCAAGGGAGGAGATTACACCTCTAAGGTTTCAGTATAGCTAGTAATTAAAAAGATGCCTATTTAAATGAGCATGCCTGGCCTAAAGATGCTTGCTTAGATAAGCATTCGTGGCTCTTGACGACACACGCTACCAATTTGGCTAGAGGCAGGGCAGGCCCAAGACATTTTGTCACCTGAGGCAAACCGCAAAATGGCATCCCCTCTCCTCCCACGAGGGAAGAAAGGGTGAGAGAAGATCTACATCTGGAACAAGGGTGGGAGGAGACCAGCAGTGCCTCCTGTTCACCAAGATCCCATATGGGACAGCTGAATATTCCTGCATTGCAGGGGGCTTGGCTGGATGATCCCATGGGTCCCTTCCAACTCTACAATTCTATAGGTTTCTAAGAAGCTACTGTGGAGGTGGCATGGGGGGCCTGCTGAGGAGGCAGCAGATCCAGCCCCCAGGGAGCACGCTGCAACTGTTGGTACACCGTGGGGGCAGCAGTGGGCAATGCATTCCTTGGAGGCCAGATTTGCTGCCCCTGTGAATCCTGCTGCTTGAGGCGGTCGCCTCACCTTGCCTCATGGGTGGGCTGGAGGAAAAGTATAGCTAGTAAAGGAGACATGAGGCAAAAGGTCACAGTGAAAATGTGGATTTTAAAATCTGATTAGCAAACTCTAAAATGGTGGAGATGATGATGATGATTATTGGAGGAGAGGTTAGTTTCATCTCGAGTCTTAAGATTTGCCCTTGGAAACTGTCTCTGCCATATGCTAGGGGCCCACTCACCACTTTCATGAGGTAGATATTGATTGGAAAATTGGAGTGCTCTTGCAGATTCCTGATGACTGGCGTCTGAAGCGTTTCTCCTCCACACTCTATGATGAGACTCGGATTGCTGATGGCCAGCAGATTGTAGGTCTTCATGTCCCGCAGGCCCCAAGCCAGGATCTGTGGGAAGATAGTGATAAATATTTATAAAAGCAACAGCTCAGCAGAAAGTGGGGCCACAGGGCCTGAGGCTCTGCTTTCTGGATTGGCTGCAGGGTTGGACCAATCCATCCATTTTACTTCCCCTGAACCTTTGAAGAATTAAATGATAATTGTGGAGTTTACACCCCCCCCCGTGCAATCTTTTAAATTCATGATGCTTTATTCCCCCCCCCCCCCCCAAATGCATGCTGTAAGCCACCCAGAGTGGCTGGGGAAACCCAGCCAGATGGGCAGGGTAATAATAATAATAATAATAATAATAATATCATCTTGTGGCTTTACACTCACCTCAATGGCCATCAGCCTTAAGATGGGCCGGATTCCTTTTGGGATTATGTATGTCCCATCCTTCCATGCAGGCGGTGGAAGCTTTCCTAAGGATCCATCCTGTAGAGAGGATGAAGAGCTCTGCTGAACAGAGATCTACTTTTCTTTTTTTAGCCAGTGATGAATGACATTTTCTCCTTAGTCTTTAGCTGGAGGATAACTATTGGCTTTACGAGCCCCTGAGAGCAAATCTGGAGAGTAGAAATCTAGAGAGTAGGGTGTAGTAGACAAATTTCTTTTGCCCTGCTTAGACGTGCTGGAGCTTTGAGACACTTGGTTGCAGAAGGCTTTTGAAATGATGCTGGGGCAGCAGGTTGCTCCTTCAAACCTCCCAGATGTTTTGAATTACAACTCCCATCATCCCCAGAGAAGGTGGCTGTGAGGAGTAGAACTGATGGGAGCTGTAGTCCAAAATATCTGGAGGGCACCAGGGATAGTGAAGGCTGCTTTAGAGCCTCTGGGAAACTCAAAGAAAATTGTTGCTTGCGACTGCATGACTCTTTTATCCAGTTTTTTAAAGGAGTTGTAGCTTAATTTGGGTTTATTCCGGTGTAACTAAATGTCAGGAGTGAGCCAGCAGTAAATCACACCGCTGAAGCTGGAGTGAACTTTCTGTTAGCAAGAACAGAGTCTGCACAGAGGAATGCCAGGCCCAATGAGCACAGCAGCTCATGTCTGGTAGGTCTTGCCTCCTGGATCAGTTGCCAAGCCTGAAAGTCTCTGCCTCACCACAGCCACCTAAGTTCCCTCCTCTCCAGGACCTTTCTCAAGCAATTGGAGACTGTGTTTGCATGAAGTCAACCTCTCCCCCACCCTTTTCATGCTTCTTGTGTTCCTGGGAGACCACAGGAGAGGGGAGCTTGTCGGAGCAGGAAGGGGGGACGGACTCCTGTCACTTTGCCTGACTCATCTCTGCCTCTTGGCCTCCCTCATCCCACTTTCCTGCTTCAGCTTATGACTCTGATTCTGGACTCTGCTACAGACTCTCCCAGCTCACTGAGACCTGTTACCTCTCCAGCTTCTGACACCACTTTCCAGGCTTCTCCCACTTCTCCCAGTGACCACTCACTGTTGTCCCACCACCACTGCCCAGACTCTGTGCCTTCTTCCCTTGAGAGTTCTCCTGCTAGTTCCACCATTCCTCTGCATCACACCAGTCCATGATACTAACGCATAACCTGCCATAAGGCATAATTTAATTTGTTACCTTCTTGTCCAACAGAAGCTCAAAAGCAGCCAGGAGCTGTCCGGAATCCTCCTGTTCTTTGATGATTGTATACTTCTGGAGGCGGGGTAGTCTTCGTGAGCTGAGATCCAGGTGCACACTTGGGATGCACAAGCTCCTTCCCATGAAATAATGGGAGTGGCCCTGAAAGAGACGCAGAACAAGGGGTGAAGGTTTTCCAGGCTAGGTGTGCAAGAGGAGTGGTTAAAAGCCAATAGTAGATTTGGCTGCCTGTATGTGGGCAATAGTGTAGGGTCAGAAAGCAAACAGACAGGAAATGTTGGACATGCTGAAGACTGTACTTGGTGATATAATCTAGTTGTTCCCTTATGTGGAAATTACAGTCTGAAGCAGCTGGAGGGCACCAGGATGGGGAAGGCCAAGTTTAAAAGAGACTGGGGTGGGCGAATCCATCAATTTCAGTTTCTCTCTTTTCTGATCTTACATTCAGTTCTCCCCATTTCCACATTGGTTTGTGATTTTTATTTTCAAAAAAGTTCTCATGAAAATTCATATGCATCTCAGTGCAAATTTCTCCTAACTGTATACATTTTTGCCTAACACTTACATTTCTGCAAAGCAGTGTTTCCTAATATAATGCATTTTTCTATGTTATTTTCACATATATTTTTATGAACACTTTACTCAAACATATGCATTTTTGTACATGTTACATGGAGGGAGAACTACATTGCAAAATTCAAAGAAGTGTGAATTCTGAGGGGTGTGTGTGTTTCTGTTTGTGTGTTGTTGAGAAGTGCTGGGAATTAGGTAGATTTGCCTTTAAATGTGAACCAAATTAAATTTCTTCTCCATCCTTACCAGAGAGCAATCTCCATTTTGAACTGGACTTATGGATATTTGTAACATTTAAGGATTGCTTGCCTTATTTTCAGCAGTATAGCTCTTGAATTCTGGCAAGTATTTTGATATGAGTAAACATTGTCTTTTTCTTGTTTACTCAGTAGTCTGAGAGTGATTTCTTTGCTAAGAGGGAAACATAAAACAGGCAGAAGGTAATCCAAGTCTATCAAAAGCATCCTTGGAAATCACAATTACTCTAGAAGGTTACACTGACCTGTGGCCCCCGGAGGGTGGACCAAGAATGAATTTGGCTCCTGGGCTGGAAAAAAATTAGTCACCCCAAACTAAAGAAAGTGTTTGTTGACATATGTTGCATGGAATTCACTGCCATGAGATGTGGTGTTTTGTCACATTTACAAGTTGACTAATTTATAAAAGGATGTCACATAGAGGAGGGAGAAAGGTTGTTTTCTGCTGCTCCAGAGAAGCGGACACGGAGCAATGGATCCAAACTACAAGAAAGAAGATTCCACCTAAACATTAGGAAGAACTTCCTGACAGTAAGAGCTGTTCGACAGTGGAATTTGCTGCCAAGGAGTGTGGTGGAGTCTCCTTCTTTGGAGTTCTTTAAGCAGAGGCTTGACAACCATATGTCAGGAGTGCTCTGATGGTGTTTCCTGCTTGGCAGGGGGTTGGACTCGATGGCCCTTGTGGTCTCTTCCAACTCTATGATTCTATGATTATGGAGGAGGGGGTCTTATCAGGGACCATTACAAATGATAGCCAAATGGAACCTCCACGTTCAGAGGTAGTCTACCTCTTAATATCAGATACTGGGGATAAATGAAAGAGGAGGGCTGTTGCCTTCCTGTCCTGCTTGTGGACTTCCTAGAGATAGATTAACTGGGAAACAGGATGCCTGAATAGGTGGGTCTTTGGTTTGATATAGCAGGGCTCTTAAATTGTTACTCAAGATAAAAGGCTGGAGGGAAAGCACCCGGGAATGCCTTCTGGACTGCCCACGGTGCTGTTATCACAGGTTAATAATGCCAGAAAAGAGATGCCTGAATTTCAGTTGCCCTTTTGCTTGCCACCTTTTTCTGTTGACTTCATGGGCCTGTGAAGAGAGCCCCATGCCTATCTCAGGGTTAGGTCATCGGCTTTGCATGCAGAAGTTCCCAGGTTCAATCCCTGGCATCTCCAGGTAGGGCTGGGAAAGACTGTGTTGGAAATCCGCTGCCAGTCAGCATACAGATAATATCATGCTAGACGGGCCAATGGTCTGGCTCAGTGTAGGGAAACTTCCTATGCACATACACTTGCGTCAAAGTCAAAGACCTCCAAGGCCACCACAGGCGGCTCTTGCTCAGTTGCTCGAGGGTCTCCATAGATCAAGATGTTTTCAAAGATAAGGGTCTGGTCCCAGCAGGGGTGCAGCGTGCCAGAGATGGTCTGGGTATGTTGGCTCATGTGAAGGAAGGAAACGTGGGCCAAAGGATCTAGCAGAGAGGAAATAACAGGAGATGGAGGAATTACTGATACAGAGTCAAATATCACCTACATGTTTTCCAAGATAACACTACGCTATAAGCTTAAAATGGATGAATAGCCATTCACACACCCCTCTTTCTTGGGAATTCTGGGAACTCTAGTTTTAAGGTGGGTGAGTCTAGGGATCTCCAGCAGAGAATTCTCAACATTTGCACTCCCAACCCACCATTGGATTGGCCCAACTGTACTGTGCTGTAAGCATCAACTCTTTCCCCCAGGCCACTTTCCTGCTCTAAATCCCCCCCTGCAAAAGCAGCTGGTAAAGCAAATGGGGAGGGAGAGGAGAGAGGAATGATCTACAGATAGCTGTACTTTTTCCTAAGTGGAGCTAAAAGCAACATTGGGAGGGTGTGGGGGGGGGATGTTAGATGGGGAAATGGCTTTTAAAAAAACAGCACTGTTGCCCTGATCCAGTCTGAGCATGATTTGAGGATAAGAAGACAAAGATGAAGATGATGAAGAAGAAGAGGGCAGGAGATCCAATACTGGATCTCTTGCAACACAGCTTTTTTGCCCTGACCTGAGCTCCAGAAAAATAATAATTACCTTGGGAGGGGACACCAAGATTCTGCCCCTCCTAAATTCAAAGCGTAACATAGGCATTTGAGTGCCTCTAGGGAAATGGCCTCTTGTGAGGAAAGAGATGAGGACAGGGAGGAGTGAATGATAGAGGGCATGGGAGGGCAGAGGACTTGGAATCATAGAATGGTAGAGTAGCAAGGGACTCCAGGGGTTATCTAGTCCAACCCCTGCAATGCAATTACTTGTTTCCATTGCACCTACCTGCAGAACTCTTAGCACTAGTTCCAACTAGGTCTCTTGCCTGGTAGATGTAGCAGCGCAACTGGAAATAGACAGGATCTGAAAGGAGGAAGGAAGAAAAAAGAACTGCACTTTCCTTTTAGTTTGGCTACAATATACCACCCAGACTTGCAAACAGGGATGTAGGAAGGCAAAGTTTTTCCATTTCGCTCTGTATTCATAGCAAGCCGCTGCTCATCTTCCACCAAAAACCTCGCTGTCCATTGTGGTGAGCTTATGTAATTGATTAAATATGTTATGTTGTCATTATGTTATTCCACCCCATTCATTTCAATGCAAAGGAAATGCATTGCGAATGGTGGAGTGGGGATCACCGTTCCAGACATGGGATGAATTTGCAAGCACCAGCAATTTCTGCTCCTGCTTTTGTTTTTGTCCGAATTCTCTGCAAACTCCCTACTTGCTCTGTTAGAGAGTCTCCTTGTCCACAATATCATTCCATCTCAGGGGATGAGTTATGCCTCAGAATGCTTGGGAGAACCCCAAGGTTTACAGAAATAGAAAAGAATCTTTCAAAATACAACCACCCCCCTATGGATGCGTCTGCCTCAATACAGCCCAATAAGTGCTGAGCATGCTCAGTGGCCGTGGAATGCCGAGTGACCACTGAAAACGAAAAACAGAACAGGGAGAAAATATCCAAAAAGTGGCACAAACAAGGACACTCTAGGCATTTTGATTCATCAGAAGATCAGCTTTCAATTCATGTCAATGTAACTTGCATAGATTTAAAATACATTGGTTTAGCAAACTGGTTTTGCATTTGCTCTTGGCAGGCACAGAACAGCCAAGTGTCACAGCTGGAGGTGATCCAGCAGTTCGGCCAAGTCCTGGAGAAAGGGGAGAACATCTGGGAGGGGTAACAGCAGGGGCAGACTTTGGCCTTTCATATTTCAGCAGTGCCTTATGTGAGCCCAAAGTTCAGCACTGCCCTCCTCTCGCCCTCCGTTCTGCTCAATTCACTATGTTGTACTTGCGAGCCCTGTGTCACCCTCTAGGCTCAGCGCCTAGTGTGGTAGAACCAGATGCGCTGCTTTAAATCTGTCTCTGGATAACAGTCCTTTGTCTTGGATACCCCTAAAGCCCAAGCCTGGCTCATCATTTTACAGTTCCTAAATTCATGTTTTATTAATTTTTTTACTTACTTTTATATTCCACCTTTCCTCCAAGGAGTTCAAGGTGGCATACATAGAAACCATGGCATGTATTCTATAGATTTATGACTGCTCCATGTAAGCTTTGAATGCACTATTTGCCATAGAATTAATTATCATATTTGGGAAAATTTCTGGAGTTCAGGAATCAATGTGGGGTCAATCAGGGCTACCAGTGGTTTCTTTTCTGTCACTTTTCTTTCCACTTGATTCTGTTTCTTGACCATTGTATCTGTCATGGAATCTGATATTTACTTGTTATTTTATGTGCAGTAGGACAGCCTTCTTTTTCCATGTGCTCTTATTTGGACAAACTGTTGGAGAAAAGCATATGCATTTCCTTCTTTTGAGTTTGTAGTTAATGCATGAATTGCTTTAAACTGCAAGAGGGCACTTAGTGTGTAGCTATTTAGCCAACAGTGTTTGTAAGCCTCTATGTCTAATTTAACTCCAACCCTAAAAGATGTTTGTTCTTCTCTCCATAAAATATGTCTGCTGTTTCTCTCTTATATCCACTCATCAGGTAAATAGTTCCTGCATGAATAAAGCCTTCGAACTCCAGAAACTGTAAGTCATTCTCATTCACCCAAGCTGCTAAGGCCTGTTAACACAGACTACTCACTCTTGAACATGCAGAAGATAAGTGGGGTGTTCTTCTTCAGGAGGGTTTGAGAGGGAGCTTTTTCTGGCTCTTTCTCATCTTTCTTTTCTTCTCTCTTTCCTATCTCAATTTTCTTATTTTTCCATTGGCTTTCAATTTCCACACCCTGAAAAGAGATGACATAATTTTTTTTAATAAAAAAAAATGCCATAAGTGTACACTTTAAAAAAAACCCTGTTACCCATACAAATCATGCAAATAAAGCACAGGAGCACAATTTCTTTTATTTTGCGTTTTTAAACATTGCCTTTTAGCTATTTTGCCAAATTTATTCCAGTTTTGCTAGTCATGGTGGGGGGGGGGGAGAACCCTGAAACCCCACCCCCTGATGACGGGAAAACTTGTTTACCTTCGTGTGTGTGTGTGTGTGTGTGCTTGTTGAGAAATGGTGGCCACACAAAAAGCAGTAGAGAATATTCAGAAAAAAATGCAAATCTTTTTCTACAAGGGTGGAAAAAGAAGAAATTCAGAAACACTTCTAGACATTTCAGCTTAACTCTGCTTGAGTCACACTGTGACTTATCCCAAGACTTCTCTGCTGAATTTTACTGAAATGAATGGAAGCTTCTGTCATGGATGCACTGAGGATAGAATTGGTGATGCTGCTATTGAACCATTTCTGTCTCTCTCCAGCAGTCAAGATTCAATTTAGGGCTCACCTGTGGAATTGGAACAAATGTCAATCCATGGAAAACCCGTTTGACATTTGGTCTGATTCAGCTATAAATAGCATGTTTCCCTGGCGAAAGCGGTAGGACAAAAAAACCCTGCTCAGACCCTTGCCTACACATCATGAACCTGTGCCTAGAAATTACGTGGACGAGTCCTTTGAAAGCCAAAAGACTGACTTCGTGTCCTCTGAATCACTTGCCAGCTGTGCCACAGCTGAGGCAGAAGGCACCTGCCTTTTCTTACCAGTGAACCCTCCAAGAGAAAAATGGAGGCCACACCGCTGGGCGACATCGGGATGAGCTTCCTGTGCCAGCATCGCCGGCGAAAGATGTCGCTGGGATGCCGCTGCAGATGGAACCTCCAGCCATGGAGTGGGGCATATTCCCAAGTCTCTTCTTTCAGCCTTAACTCGGAGTGCTGCGGGAAATAGATGGAAAGAGAGGCTTGAAGTGAGCTGGAGAAAAGATAGTGATTAGGTCACCACATATGATCCTGGTATCAAGGCCATTTGAGACCCCCTGGATGGACTTGAAGGTTTTATGGGGGTTCACTTCAATGCTGATCATTAACAGTAACAATGAAGATTGTGATTTGATTTGGGGCCCCAGTTTAGACAGCCATGTGTGTTACTACAATTTTGACGCACACAATGTTACATTGCATTTCATTGTCATTGCGATATATTTTGAGGCTTCATGTATGTTTTGTTTTTGTGGTTCTTAGTTGTTTTACTTAACTACACTGTTACTTCATATGTGGGAATTATTAAGGCCACATGATCTAAGTTTGGAGCATCCAGCTTAGACCTCCTTACTGGTAGGTATCAGGAATGTGCCCCCCCACCCCCCGAGCACACCGAGTCAGCCTCGGAAGATGAGCTGAGTGAGGAAGAGGTTAACTCTGTAGCTGAGAGTTGTCTGTCTGATTTCTGAGAAAGCAGCCCAGGGCCCCTCCTCATTTCCAGGGAAGGAGCGTTTAGTTCCCAGGAGGAAGAGGAGGAGGAGTTGGATCCTGACCAAGACATTGCCAGGCAACCATCAAATAAGACTTCCTCTCAGGCTGGATCTTTGGAGGGGGATTGCATTCAAACCAAGAGTCCAAGAACTTGTAGGTTAGAGAATGAAGGAGGGGGAAGAGAAGGAAGGCGGGATTTTGGTGTTCCTCCTGTTGGAGAGGGCAGGACGATGACTCGGACTGGAGCAACTAATGAGATCATGGCTAAACTTCTAACAAACAGGAGAGTCTTCGCTGCTTTATCAGGCTGCTCGCCTGCAGAGGTCCCTATAGTAGGGTTAACATGGAGGAAGAAGAGTGATAACAAATAGTTTGGTAACCCTTCCTAGCAGGACAGCGTACTCTGTGGTCTTAATCCCTTCATGGATTAATTATGTTGGTTATATGAGGCTGGACAGCAAGCACCCTCCCTTTTCACAAGCAGGCACCTCTTGAATGCCTTTTTATGTCCCTTCTCTCTGTGCCAGTAATTTTAATAATCATTTTGTACCCTTTCCATGAAGTATTATATTTTATTGTTTTTATTGTTTTGTGGGCCGTGTCTAAGCTGCACTACCAGCCTGCCTGAGTGTCCTGTCAATTGGCACCCCCTGGGGGGGGTGCCAATCCCTGTCCACCTGGTCCCCATAAAAGTCCTGGCCTCAAGAGTTTGCTCTGCATTTATGGCTGACTTTTAATCCCTGACATTCTCTGAACAAGCCCTTGGGCACAACAGCTGTGAGCACCACTGCCAGTTACCAGCCGAAGGAAGGCGGCCATTTTTCCTTCTTGGTTCTCGCTGGCCAGGTTCCGGCAGCGTTTCCTGAGCCAGCGCCGCCGGCGGTGGGTGTGGTAGGTCTTCTCGGCTGCATTCCAAGAACGGGGGAACTCAGCGGGTGGGAGAGCAACGCCATACTCCCAACCTAAGGGAGGAAATGTATTCTCATGAGGCTCCAGGCAATGACCCCAGAAGATATACAGTCATTGTTCTCAGGAGTGGCTCCAGGGCCAAGACAAACACAAATGGAAAACTTGCCAGCATCGTCCACAGCACGATTCTCCTCCACTTTCCAGTCTTCCACAAAGAGCCAGCCTTGGGGCACAAAATCTCTTCCTTTGGAGGGGCAGGGGAACCACTCTAAAACAGAGAGGGCAGGGGGCAAAATGGGTGTCTAAGCAGCAATATTTAAAATGTGCAGGGCATTGCAAATCTTGGGGGCTCCAGTGCAGGAGAGGGTTTTGAGGTACTATTGAAAGCCAACCTTTTTAGGCTTGAGGGCATGTTAGAATATTTGAGTGAGTGCCATAGCACCCCTGCCCTCACTGACCAGCTCTCTTCTTCCCCCTTGCTCAGTCCCTCCCTCAAGAGACAGAAAGAGAGTCAGTGTACACCTGCATGCACACACTTCACTTTCCCAAGGGATCTGGGTAAAGGTTGGTTAAGGCAGAATTAACCTGAGACTTTAAAAGCACATAAAGCTGAAAGAGAAACTTCCTAAGCATTTTTCAAGGGAGGAAAAGATATTCATCTTCTCCATCTAATGGCTAAAGGGGCAGTGGTGGTGCTTGGAGGCTTTGGGGCACCAGGGGAAGACCACAAGGGTGCCATCGCATTCCTGGGCACCACACTGTTGGTCCCTGAGTCTTTTTTCAGATTATTGACCCCCAGCCTCAGGAGGATATGAAATTTAGGAGTGATGGTGGTGTGTGTGTTCCTGTGGTATAGAGGTATCCTGCTCAGTAGTGTGGCAAGACTCATCCAGGGTGTAGGACAAGGTGAGGTTCATGCTGGACACAAGGCAGGGTTCCAGCTGTGCTCTGGGAAACACAAAGCTCTAGCAAGGGACAACCTGAGCACATTTGTAAAGGCAGCAGTAGGTGTAGTCTAATTGCTAGAACCATCTGTGCTGCAAGAGGCTGCCCTACTTAAAGGGGCCCACCTGTCCCTCGTAATCTCCTACTGCGAAGGAGCCAAGGAGGACCCAGTCTTCTAGGGTCTTATACAATGAAGTCCTTGGAGTTGGAGGATGGCAGAGACATATCCTTGGGCTTGGGGGTGGCACTGGCAGCAATGGTTCTGGAGCTGGCCCTGCATGATCCCAGGAATGGGGTGCTATAGTATGTGTGCCTTGCAGTCTCAAGGAATGTTCTGTGGGGGTGGGGGGTCTCCTCCTTCTTTCGGAAGTTTTCCCCCATTTTGGATATGGCAGGTTCTGACGGGGGGGGGAATCTACGGGGAGAGCATCTTCCAAAGGTAAGTTTGAAAACCACTGGCATCTCCCAAGGATGTCCAAGCCTCAAAGAGTCTGCCCTCAGACCCAGGCTGAAGCTGTCTGTCTCTCTCCTCACTCACAGCATTGCTATAGGGGACTGGGGCCGGTCTCCATCGACGCCCAGGTTGCCGGATCTGGTTCTCATACACTTCCTCTAGCACTTCGGTGTGGTTTGTCTCTTTGTCCAGCAAGAGCCTGGTCAGATGCAGAAGGGGCAAAGGTCTGGTATGTTTTTGGTATGGTGTGGTTTATTTACATACTGTTTAGTGACCCAAGGGCCCCAGCAGGGTGAACCACATGAATACATTGCAAAAGGAATAAACAAAGTTTGTATCTACGTAATCTGTGTAGACACATTCTATTTTAGAATCAATGGAGTGCTTTTCCCCAGTATGGAGTCCATGCGTCACTGAGATCTGTTGCATATTCTTTGCCCTTGAAAAGTGATACTTGAGAAACTGGTTTCATTCTGAAAATGAAAGCTAATTGCAGACCAATTCTCCTTTGCCCTGCTGTGGGCCTATTTGAAAACAGAAGTCGGTGGTCCTGGCTTTGGGGTGGGTGTATCCACACCTACCCAAATAAAATTATTATCATTACTGTCAGGGAACTGCCATCGGAAGGAAGGGAGGTGAAAGGACTCAGACAGGTTGGAAGAGACTCAGCAGCTGAAGAGGGAACCAGCAAGGGGAGAGAAGCTGAACTGAGGGTGGTGAAAGGGCTCAGACAGGTTGGAAGAGACTCAGCAGCTGAAGAGGAAACCAGCAGGGGAGAGAAGCTGAACTGAGGGAAAGGGAGCTGGGGGATGGCTCAGAGATACTTCCAGCGAAAACAGTGGTGAGGTTTCCGGACCTCCTGTAGGGACACCCACTCCTCGCCGGAAACTGTCACGCAGAGAGTCCAGAAGACGTGTTTCCGTTAAGGAGCTTTTAGGTTGGAAGCGGAATCTTCTAGTGACTAGAGGAGCCATGTCAGAGGGGCTCCGTCACAGACAGAGGTTTGTGGACTTGAACAAACTCTGAGGGAATACGATTTTACGCACAAGCAGCTCATCTTCCCATCACAGCATTCCGACAGTCTTTGAACGCAGCTTGTGCAGGAGAAGGCATAATGAGCAACCCAGCAGGAACCGGAGAAGCAGGGGCTGGAGCGGGTCCAAGCCTGGAAGAAAGGTACCGGGTGTTGGAGGTCCAGCTGGCGCTGCAGACGGCGAGGCTGGAGGAGAGGAGGGCTCAAGATGCAGACAAAGGGAGAAAGCCACCCAGCTCGCCAGAAAGGTACCAGGATTGGTGCAGAAATTTGGGGGGGAGCCCAAAGACTATCATAGCTTTCGGACAGAAATGCAATATGCCCTCAATCTGCAGTTTGATGATTTCCCTGATGAGGAATCACGAGTGGCTTTTGTGATTGGGCATCTTGAAAAGGGGCGAGAGACTGGGTTAGACCCCTGATGGCAGCGCATAGTGACGTCCTAAAGGACACGATGAAGTTCTTTCGCGCCATGGATCTGATGTTTTCCAGCGATATTGAAAAGGGAGTGGTGCGCAGACAGTTAATGGCTTGCAAACAGGGGAGCTGATCTGTACGTGAGTACTGGACTGAGTTCACCATGCTGATACACAGATTGGGGTGGGACTTATCGGCGGAACCCATTCAAATGCTCTTTGAAGAAGGGCTTTCTTCGGCTGTGAAAGATGAACTTTCCCGGGCGCCCAGGGCGGAGTCTATGGACCAGCTGACCAAATCAGCGCTGGCCATAGGAGCGCGCCAGGAGGCGAGAGCATTGGAGAGGCGGGAAGGGAAAGGGGAACGTTGGAAGGAGTTCCGCATTCCAGACATTCCAGAGCCAACTTTCCCGCCGGCAGAGCCGATGGAAATCGGAACAGCGCGCGCGCGCAGTTTCAAAGCACAGTGAGGGGGGAAAAAACGAGGTAAAAGGCGCCCGGAAATGCTATCTCTGCCAACAGCCAGCGCACTTTGCCAGAGTCTGCCCCCAGAGGCTGGACTGGCTAGGGTTGGTGGGTGCTGTGGAGGGTAGAGTGGAAAAGATTCCGGAGCAAGTTATAGCCAACGCCTGGCTGCCATTGTCGGGGCACAGCAGCCAGGCCAAAGAGCAGTGAAAGTGCCCACGCCAGAACCTCCTAAACCCGCCCTAGTGATAGAAGTGACACTAGAGCTGCCAAACGGACACCCTCTAAAGATAAAGGCGCTGTTGGACTCAGGCAGCTCCTGCAATTTCATGAGCAAAGAGTTTGCAGCTGAACACCAGATACAGACGCTCCCTTTAAGCAACCCCTGCAGGTAACCACGATCGATGGCAGGGAGCTGTTGGGAGGAGAAGTCAGCTTGCAGACCGTCCTAATGATAATGAAGGTGGCAAGGCACACCGAACTAATAGCTTTTAATGTGGCCACCTTGGGAGGAGCTCCCATTATATTGGGGATGAGCTGGCTAGCGTTACATGATCCGCTGGTGGGCTGGCATCAAAGAGTGGTTTCTTTTGGGTCAGCACATTGCTTAGAACACTGCAAAGAGGGAAAGGTTTTGGCAGGGGCCCAAGCCACCCTAGCAGGGACTGAAGTAACGGAGAACGTGAAGGTACCACGACAATACGCAGATCTCCGCGACGTCTTCAGCGAAAGGGAAGCTGACCAACTACCACCGCATAGAGCCTTTGACTGTCAAATCAATTTGCTCCCTGGGGCACAGCTCCCTGTGGGCAAGCTGTACGCCATGTCAGACAGAGAGATGCAGGAGCTAAGAGAGTTCATTGACAAGAACCTGAAGAGAGGGTTCATCAGAGAGTCCAGGGCGGTGGGGGCAGCCCAGTGTTTTTGTTGACAATAAAAACTCGAACAAGCCGAGACTGGTGTGTGACTTCAGGGCCTTAAATGCAGTGTCAGAACCAGTGGCCTTCCCGATGCCCAGGATTGACGACATTTTGACAAGGGTGCGGAAGGGAAAGATTTTCACCAAGCTGGATCTAAGGGGGGCGTACAACCTGATACGAATAAGGAAGGGGGATGAATGGAAAACCACCATGTTCACCCCTTTAGGGGCATTTGAATACTTAGTTATGCCCTTCGGTCTACAAGCAGGCTCCGCAACATTTCAATCGTTTATGAACCACGTCCTGGGGCCGTTGCTTTACAAGAATTGTGTGGCCTTCTTAGACGACGTGTTGGTGTATTCTGAGAATGAGGAGCAGCATGTGAGAGACGTCAGAGAAGTGTTGAGCAGGCTGCAAGCCAACCAGCTGTGGGTGAAACTGGAGAAGTGTCAGTTTCATACCAAGGAGGTGGAATTCCTGGGGTATCGCCTGTCTGACAAGGGGTTGGCCATGGATCCCGGCAAGGTCCAGGCGGTACTGGAATGGAAAACACCCAAAACAAGGAAGGATGTGCAGAGGTTTTTAGGATTTGGGAACTTCTATCGTAAGTTCATCCCAAACTTTGCCCACCTGACGGCGCCCATTACGGACTGTCTCAGCAGTAAGAAGAAGTTCGTTTGGACGGAGGAGGCGGAGCAAGCATTTGAGGAACTAAAAGGGCCTTCGCCTCGGAACAACAGCTCCTGCATGTGGATTTACAAAAACCGATGAGAGTGGAAACTGACGCATCAGACAGAGCGGTTGGGGCGGTGCTTCTCCAGCCAGGGAAGGAGGAGTCAGAGTGGAGACCGTGTGCTTTTTTCGCGAAAGCTGAACAAATCCGAGAGGAACTACACGGTGTATGACCGAGAACTACTAGCCATTCATGAGGCGTTCCGGAAATGGAGGCACCTGCTAATTGGCGCACAACATAAGGTGCAAGTGTGCACTGACCACAAGAACCTAGAGTATTGGAGGACGGCACGAGTGCTCAACCAACGGCAAGTGAGGTGGGCCCAGGAATTCTCCAAATTTAACTTTGAGATTTGTTACGTGCCAGGCCCAGAGAACATTAGGGCGGACGCTCTCTCACGCAAACCTGAATATTTGGAGGGAGGGAGCACCCGAAGAGAGACATGTCATTCCAGAGGACCGCTGGGTGTGTGGGCGGCATTGGTGGGACAAAGAGAACTGGTAGAAGAAACAGAGAATGATGAATACGCCCAGAATAAGCTCAGGGGTCTTAGGGATGAGGGAGAGGAATCAAGGGGTTTCGAGGAAAGAAATGGAGCTCTGTATTACAAAGGGGCACTGTATATCCCTGAAGGAGACTTAAGGGGGAGGGTACTCAAGCAGTTGCATGACAGCCCCACGGCGGGCATTTTGGGCAACACAAAACCATGTGGTTGGTCACCAGGGAATTTTGGTGGCCTAAGGTGAGGGAGGATGTACGTGAGTATGTAAGAGGGTGCGAGCAGTGCCAGCGAGCCAAAGGGGAAAGGCGGGCGCCGGCGGGGCTATTAGAACCCTTACCAACACCAGAACGACCTTGGGAGGCAGTGTCGATAGATTTTATGACTGATCTGCCGAAGTCCAAAGGGAAAACAGCCATCATGGTGGTGGTAGACCTACTAACAAAGATGTGCCACTTTGTAGCTTGCTCGCATGCAGTCACGGCGGAAGAGACAGCGAAGTTATTTGTAGAACACATTTTTAGGTTGCACGGGGTGCCATTGAGGGTGGTCTCAGACCGAGGAAAACAATTTACTTCCAGGTTCTGGAGGAAGCTCATGAGCTTACTGCAGGTGGAGGTCAACTTTTCGACTGCCCGGCACCCTGAAACCAACGGGCAGGCGGAAAGAGCAAACGGTGTCCTCCAGCAATACCTGAGGTGTTATGTCAATGACAGAGAGAATGACTGGGTAGAAAAGTTGGCGCTGGCGGAATTTGCCTACAACAATGCCGAGAATGTGTCCACAGGGATGAGCCCCTTCTTGGCTAATTATGGGTGTCATCCCAGGGCTTTCCCAGGGGAGAAGGGGAGAGATGGAGCGTACCGGCAGCCGAGCATTTTGTAGAAGAAATGGAAGCAATCCACCGTCAGCTCCAACTCAACTTAGAAAGGGCGAAGGAAGAATACAAGAGGCAGGCAGACAAGAACCGAAGGGAAGGTGAAACCATAAGGGTTGGAGATAGGGTGTGGCTGTCAACACGAGGGTTGCCGTTCAAAGGAGGTTGTAAGAAATTAAGACCCAGGAGGTTGGGTCCCTTTGAGGTCATTCAACAGGTCAACCCAGTGGCTTTCAGGCTCCGGTTACCCAACCACATGAAACTGCACCCAGTATTTCACAGGTCGTTACTGTCACCGTACGAGGGGGGACGAGGAGGGATGGCCACTCGGGGACCGGTCATAGAAGAAAGAGAATGCAGCAGTCATGTGGCAGAAATCCTTGATGCCAGGTGGAAGGGGAATCAGGTGGAGTATTTGGTAGCGTGGGAAGGAGAACCGGAGTCAGAAAACACGTGGGTAATGGCCGAAGATATCAATGACGAGGTATTGATAGAAACGTTCCATCAAAGGTTCCCGAGGAAACCTCAGCCTGTGGAGAGGTTCCGGAGGGAATACTTGGGACCACTGAGGAGGAGGAGGAGTTGGAAGGATTCCCAGAATCGGAAGGGGAAGGGAGATGGACTCGGAGGAGGAGGAGTGCTTCGAGACCAGGAACCGCAACAGGTGGAGAGAAGTGTTCGAGACATCGGAAGATGAAGGAAGTTCATTCCGGGTTTTGCCTCCTCACCGCCCGTAGAGGAGGGGGCGAGAGGGGGTGAAGGGGGCCCTGGAAGGGAGGTGGATGTCAGGGAACTGCCATCGGAAGGAAGGGAGGTGAAAGGACTCAGACAGGTTGGAAGAGACTCAGCAGCTGAAGAGGGAACCAGCAAGGGAGAGAAGCTGAACTGAGGGAGGTGAAAGGGCTCAGACAGGTTGGAAGAGACTCAGCAGCTGAAGAGGAAACCAGCAGGGGAGAGAAGCTGAACTGAGGGAAAGGGAGCTGGGGGATGGCTCAGAGATACTTCCAGCGAAAACAGTGGTGAGGTTTCCGGACCTCCTGTAGGGACACCCACTCCTCGCCGGAAACTGTCACGCAGAGAGTCCAGAAGACGTGTTTCCGTTAAGGAGCTTTTATGTTGGAAGCGATTACGAAAGCAACCACTGTCGGAATCTTCTAGTGACTAGAGGAGCCATGTCAGAGGGGCTCCGTCACAGACAGAGGTTTGTGGACTTGAACAAACTCTGAGGGAATACGATTTTACGCACAAGCAGCTCATCTTCCCATCACAATTACTATTTATTAAATTTCTATACAGTGGTACCTCGGGTTACATACGCTTCAGGTTACAGACTCCGCTAACCCAGAAATAGTGCTTCAGGTTAAGAACTTTGCTTCAGGATGAAAACAGAAATCGTGCTCCAGTGGCGTGGCAGCAGCAGGAGGCCCCATTAGCTAAAGTGGTGCTTCAGGTTAAGAACAGTTTCAGGTTAAGTATGGACCTCCGGAACGAATTAAGTACTTAACCCGAGGTACCACTGTACTGTCCTTCATCTGAAAATTACAGAGCAGTTTACAATCATAAGTTTCTCTGGAGAGAGGGTCAGAGCCATGTTTTGGAGCATGTTTGATTTCTGTTGGAATTCAGGATTGGGCCTATGGGAGAAGAAAGACCCTTTTGGAGTGGCAATGCTCTGAACCCCTCCACAGTAGGCTCAGGTTGTTTATATGTGTAAATAAACCATATATCATGAAGACACCACAGTCTCTGCTGTGCCTCATTTCCAAATGGAAACACAAACCCTGGGGAAGCGCCTGGAACCCCTGGAATTTCATGCTGCTGTGGAGATTGGGGTGGTGCATAACCATATAAAAACAGAAAAATACATACCATAATAACAAACAAAATCAATAACCTCCCCTCACAGACAGTTACTGTGTTTTATTAAGCATTGTGGATGGGTGTCCACCAATTATTACTTTCTTCTTCATTCACCTGAGGCATGTGCAGTGATAAAAAGGCCTGGATAACCCAAAGAAGGGGGCATCCAACAGCCCCCCCCTGCCCTTGTGGAGGGCAGGGTCCAGAATCACAATTTAGATTGAAAGCAGAATGCTGAGGACGAGCGCGAATGATTCCAGACCATGTGTCTGCAACCTTAGTCATCAGATGTTTCCTGCCCTTCCTCTCAAAGCAGCCCAGCGTGGCAAACATCTAAATGTTAAAACATCTCAGTTTAAAATAAAAAACAAAAGCACATTTAAAGCATTTAAAAACAACTGAAAAACATTTAAAAGCAACAGCATGCCCTCACAGTTGCTAATGTCAAGGTTGTCATGGCCAGTATCTATCAACCATCAAATGCCAGCGTTAACAGGAAGGTCTTTAAATTCCTCTTTTAAACACCCTGTTTTAACATTCTGTCTCCCACTCCCCCATCTGATGGATTGTTGGTTACTGAGTCCCCCCTGCTTTGTTTTAGGCTGTCATTTGCACTTTAGATTCTACTGAAAGCTATTTTGACGTTTTTTCTAAGAAAAGTGTGGCATTTAGAAGAGAAGAACCATGTAAGTAATATTGAAATTATTATGCGCACACTTACCTTCTCTGGGGCTCCACGACCCACTCGCCATCCCACTGCCATCCCACAGGCGGTTGGAACTTTTCTTTGGGAAGGCTGACCTTCCCAGTGACATCTGAAAAGCGGGTGCTGCATCAGGTCCCTGGTCCCCCATATTCCGTGGGTCTTCTTTTGATTTTCATACTGCAAGCGTGAGAGTTAGAACCATGGTTATTTTCATCCCCCTCAGGGCAGCACGCATGGTGTCTATCAGCACAGCCAATTAAATGGCCCAAGCATAGTCCAGAGAGAGAGGTCTGGAGGAAGGGGGCCATTGCTCAGGGGTAGAGCATTTGCTTTGCATGCAGAAGGTCCTGGGTACAAGTCCCTGGTATCTCCAGGTACGGCTGGGAAGGTCCCCAGTCTGAGCCCATGGAAAGTCACTGCTACCCAGTGTAGGCAGCCATGAGCCAGATGGTCCAAAAGTTTGACAGCTTCCTACAAGTCTTAAAAACATGCTGGTGAGCAAACCGAACAAAAATAGTCTATGAGAAAGGAGTCTAAGGAGAAAGCAACAGAGAGGTTATGTCTTTCTTAGTTCAGGCTTTGTACATATCATGGAGGCATTCAACCAAACATACAGACAAAAAATTCTCTCAGAATTACACAGCCAATCAAAGCACATGATGCCTCAGTGATGTCATGCCACCCTCTTTGCTTGTTAAGCAACACCTCCACCTGTTTCCCTCTTGGCTAGCTGACATTGACAAAATTAACCTTGAAATTACAAACAGAATGATCCTTACGACTGCATTTCCAACAGTGCCTCCCCCACTCCCATACAGCCCCCAGCATAAACCTGTGAGGAAAGGTTATGCTAGGAGATAGTAACTACCCCAAGGTCACTCGGTAAGCACTGTGGCTCAGTGAGGAGGTGTCTCCTGGAATCAGGTTGAAACTGGACCCTTCCCATGCAGCTGCCTGGCTTGTCTCTCACCGTCTCAGCGTAGATAAGGATTCTCCCTTCACAACATTTCAAGAACTCTGCACTATCAGCCAGCTCTCCAAGCCACATTCGCACCCGCAGCACAACAGGAATGGGAGCCGCCTTCCCTTTGTTTTGTGCACTCTGTGGGATAGAAAGGAAAAGAGTTATGCATATGCATTCCTTCCACCACCATCCGGACTGCAGACATAACAGTGGACACAATGGCTAGATGAAGGTCTACCAGGCTTAGGTGATGCTTAGGTGGGCATCCAATAATGTGGAGCCATATGAAGAGTCCTTTTTGGCTGATGAAGCCGGTTCCTGTGACACAAGGGCAGTAATGTAAGGAGGAAAGAAAGCACAAGAGGCAGGGCTAGAGAAGCGCCAGCAGCTCCCTTGGGCAGACTTGAAGGGGAGGGCATGAGATGCTTGTGGGTACAGTGCCTCCTGGGTGACCTCAATAGCTTTAATTCCTATGGTTTTTGCTAAGAGAATTGGCAAACAAATGAGCCAAGCTACATATATCTTTCTATTTGTTATTTTAATTTTATTTAAAGCATTTGTGCTCTGCTTTTCAGACAAAAAGGACTCCTAGAATGGCTATTGTAAGACCAGTAAAAACAAAACAATTCCAGCCTGCAAGCTTACAATCTAATAGACACAGTAGAAAAGAAAAAAGGAAAGAGGAGGGAAGAGGAAAACAAGCAAACAGAGACTCCATTTTCAATGTCAAAAAGTAGTTCTTTTTACCTGCAGGAAGATGGTCTGGGTTTTGCCACACATCCTGCCCCTGGCATGGGGGCCAGCTTTGGAGAACATGATTGTATGAGACCTGACCCGGGTGTGGGCCGCCCGCTTGTCATCACACAGCATCCAGATCATGACATCCGGCATGCTGACCTGGGCCTAAGGGCAGCAAGGAGGACAGGGAGCCAGAGGTCACTTACTGTGGTCGTGTTTGTACTTATAACACTCAGGGTATGTCATATTAGCAGCCTCAAACACAGCGCAGTTGTTTCCACCCTGAATGTTTTCAAGTCACATTTGCATGGTGTTGGTCACATCAGAGAGCATCCCTTCCAACATTTCTCCAATGAAAGTAGGGACATCCTAAGGAAAAGTGGGACGTTCCAGGATCAAATCAGAAACTGGGATGGCTTCTCTAAATCAGGGACGTCCCTGGAAAATAGGGGCACTTGGAGGGTCTGAGTGAATGGGGATGTCTTCACCCAACAAGCATGACCTTTTGGCTCCTGCAACCCCCTTTCCCCAAACTCCCATTCATGAATCTGTCATCTGCGTATGTGCTCTTCTCTGTGGATGCGCAATGACTGTCTCAAATGTACACACCATTCTTAAATTGGAGGTGAATGCAGCTTAAGTTTGCTAGTTGGATAGAAGCTGGTTTGAGGGGGGAAACACATTAGATAACAGCATTTGTCAAGAAACTACAGGATCGCCATGGATTGTGGCTAACGTCATGCAACTGTGGCTTTAACTAGCACTAGGAGTGCACGAGATGGGAAGAAGATGCTACAGCTGTTCCGCTGGCTACCAGTTGCTTTCCAGGCACAATTTTCTATGTTATTACCAGTCCTTATTTTTATTTGTAAGCCACCTTGAGTCCCCTCAAGGAAAAAGTTGAAGTATAAATAAATATATCAACAACAACATTTTATACCACACATATTCTGGGTTTTTTCTTCTTCTGTTGCTTTTGTAGCACTATAGTGCAAGAATGCCCCTGCAGCCAGCAATAATGCAGAAACATTGGGGAAGCATCACATAACAACCAATAAACTGGAATGATGTGTGGATGTTCCAGTATAAATCTACCACTAATGCACTATTATGGCATCCATTACATGATGTACGACACACACACAACACCCCAAGCCTTCCTTCTCCTTTAAGGCTCAAGGCAGAGCACCTTTGTCCAAGGAACATGGGGGACTATCCCAGAAGCATCTGAGAAAAACAGTCCTTGAGCTTCCATTCCTTACAAGAGTTGTCCCCAGGAGGTACCTCGGAAGCGACTGAAGCGATCCTGTTCAGCCAGACCTCTGCTTTGGCAATCAGTTTCTGCAGGGGTGTCTTCCAACTTGTCTTCTCTGCTGCCTTGCTGGTTTTCAGGAGGAGTTGGCTGCGCAGCTTCCTCAGCTGCAGATCCAGCATGGTAGGGACTGTTGGGGCTTCCCAGCCAGGAAGAGGTCTCCTGAGCATGGAGGAAGTGGAAAAAGTTCAGTGCTCCGTGCGGGAAAAGAGGTGGACAAAAGCCGTTCATTGCAACTGTGGCTCTGGGGGCAGAACTGAAGGGAAGGTAAAGAATGGACACTACAGTAGTGGCCAAAATTGTGGAAAAGTTTAGGAAAAGTTATATATGAAATGCCCTTTATCATGGTTTTCTGTGTATAACATCTTTTATTTTGGCTATAACTTTTGATAGGATAAAAGTAATGCAACACAGCAGAATATATTGCAACAAATTAACTTTCTAATGATATACAAATTCATGGCATTATTCTAAAAAAGGTTTATGGTGTGAGTCATCATACCTCAGAAATACATATTTTCCAAAAAGTTCTCACAGTTTTGATCACTAGTGTCTCTTTCTCCTGAGTACTGACAGGCTCCAGGTTTTGAGCGGACCTTCTCACCAACTACTGCAAGCTAGGAGGTGATGGCAGTGGGTATATTAAGAGAAGCCTGGAGCCAGTGGAGCAGCTGAGGGACTCACTTTAAACATTGGGAAATTTAAATGCACCCACTGAAGAAATAGGAGATTCAAGTGTTTGGAAGTAGTTGCAAGGACACAGAACATGCTTTTGGGATGACTAGTGCCACTTTAAAGTCTCACGCTCTCTATAAAAGCCTGGTTTGGGGAGGGGACACCTTCTGCCTGGGTGTATGACCTCCCCTGCAGACCAGGAACACACCAGCTCTGCGGCCCACTCCCCTGCCAGAACTTCCACGGCCTTCTTCCCATTGCTCACTTGCAGTCTTCCACCAGTTCTTTCTGGAGCATTTTCCAAACAGCACCCACAACTGGGTCTTTGGGAGAGCTGATGGCTTTAAGAATGTCCAGGTTCTTCTTCTGTTAGGGAAGGAAGCACATGGTGATAGCTGGGCAGCCTATAAGCCAAAACCAACAGCATAACATAGTATAAAGTATAATCTATGTGTCTTCTACAATAAATAATAATAATTATGTAAGCCATCTTACTAGGCGAATATGGGCCCTGAGAAGAAGGGCAGAGATCATTACATTACAACAACAACAATACAAATAAAAGGATGTATCCAGTGCTATTTCTACTCATAGTAGACCCACTGAACTGAATGGACATGACTAAGGTCCCATTCACACCATTCATTCAGAGCACAATGACACCACTTCAAACAGTCATGGCTACCCCCCCCCCCACCGAGTCCTGGGAGACAGAATTCAAGACTGTTGAGAATTGTTCAGAGAGCACCCTCTTTCCCCCTAACAAAGCTACAATCCTCAAAATGGTATAACAATTTTTGCACGAGACTCTGGGAATCATAGGAGACCCCCAGTCCCATCCAAGCTATCAATTCTCAGCACCCTTCACAAACCACAGCTGCTAGAATTCTTTGGGGGGAAGTCATGAGCATTTAAAGTGGTATAATGGATCATTAAACATGTGGTGTGAATGTGGCCTAATTTAAGTTCCTTAATTCCAATGGGTCAACTCTGAGCAGTGCCTACTTGCATCCAGCCCCGCAGTCACTGGCCTGTTTCAATGCTTTACCTGGCTTTTCACACTGGAGGTGCTTATTTTTAGAAACCACTGTATTTTTGTGGTTGTAAGTTGTTTTAAACTTCTTTAACACCATGTTTTATTTAATGTTTTAACTCACCCTGTGACCTTAGGGTGAAAGGGGGTAAATAATAATAATGATTATAATAATATGGCCCAGAATCACACTATATCTGCTCTGCTTCTTCCTTACAAGATTGCCAGTTCTTCTTACTAGGTTATCGGCACCAGGATTTGACCACCTCTGCCAGGTCACTCTGTCAGAACTCAGGAATCTCCTGCGGCTGAGCTCTGATAAGAACCCTATGAAACAACAGTGGGACTTCCCGCCCTCCCTCCGGCATATGTACCCTCATCTGACGGGGCACGGCAACCTGTGGCTTCTTCTGCAGGGAAGCCGTCACTGCTCCTCCCTCTTCAAGCCCCTTCTGGCTCTAGGAGACAGCGGGGTGGGAGATGGCAGGGATTTGACTGCCTCGTCCCTCACCTGCACAGCCTCTTCCTCTGCCTCTGACACATCCTGCATGTTTTCCTCTGTCTCTGACGGCTCTAACCCTTCCTCCTCCCAGCTTCTGTCTCACAGGCAGTGCCAAATCCCACAAATTGCTGGCCCCCTCTTCTGGGTCAATTCCCTGGCCCCTTGCCTCCACCACAAACTGCTCAGAGCCCTACCAGTGCCTGGCACAGGGGCTTAGACTAGAAGACCCTTGATGTCACTCTCAACTCTATGCATCTATGATGCATGGAGATAAGGCAAACCAGAGGCTATGGTCCATGACAGCTAAGGACATAGCCTCCATGCTCAGAAGTACTATGACACTGGTATTGTGGGTGGCGACTTCCATCATGCAAGGGGTATATAATTGGCAGCCGTAGGAAATGAGAAAATAACCTGGGATACACATCCCTCTTGCACACAGGCCATTCCACCACCCCCTCTTAGGTGTTCATCCCAAACATGCCTGCTCCCTCCAATCACTGGTTCCGGGACTTACCAGCCTGTTGTGAATGAATAGCATGGCGTTCATACTGGCGATTCGGTAGCTAATGTTCTCCCAGAATGAGGTGATGGCAACCATGGGCTTTGTGTCATACCATGGCAAGTAGTAGTAGTGGTTACCTGGAAAGGAATTGCCTGGTTTTGCACTGGGCCTTGTCTTGTCATGAAGCTGCTTCATGAGCAGTCAGACTATTGCTCCATCTAGCCCAGTGCTGTCTACTCTGACTGGCAGCAGCTCTCCAAACTTGCAGACAGAGGCCAGCCACTTGAAAACCTTTGTGGTGTAGCGATCAGACCAGTGCTCTCTTCAGCTACAAAGCTAATTGGGAAGACAACAAAGAGTCTTGTGGTACCTTTTAAAGTGCTAACAAGTTTATTATAAGCTTCCATGGGCTATGCAGATAATGGATGACTTATGCCATAATGAACTGGTTAACTCTTGATGGTGCCAGAAGATTCTTTGCTCCAAGACACTAGCATGAGCACCGCTCTGCAAAAAGTTTATTCGGTGAACTTCTGTGTATCGGTCCCAGCCTCCAACCTTCCTCACAAGACTGCTGTAGGGATACATGGGAGAAACCATGTCTGAGCCCTTTGGAAGAAGGAAGGGAACACACGACACTCATAGCATATGCTCTACCCACTGAGCTCCTGTACCTTCTACTTCTAAATAGTATTTCCCTTCACAGTGAATCCTTTCTTTTCCTGCCCAACCCCATCTGCCAGTTCATTTCCAGGCCCAATTCAAAGTGCTTGTGTTAGTGTGCAAAGCTTGTAAATGATTTAGGCCCCAAATACCTGAAAGACTGCCTCCTTTGCTACAGATCCTCCCAGGTGTTAAGTTTAGCAGAGAGGGCACCTCCTCGCTTTCATAGAATCATAGAGATGGAAGGGACCCTGAGGCTCATCTAGTCCAACCCCTGCAATGCAGGGATATGAAGTAGTCCCTTACAGGAACCAAACCAAGCTTTCCAGCTCCCTCAGAGGTTTGGGGTAGATGGGTGTGATGGCCTAGGAGAGGGCATGACCTGTGGTGGCCCTTAAGTTGTGGAATTTCCTCCCCAGAAAGGTGTGTCTGACTTCTTCACTATGCAGCTTTTACTGAATGCTGAAGATCTTTACCCTGGTCTTTGGCACCTGAGATGTGTATTTTCAAGACCCACCCTATTTGGGGGAATGTAACATGTTTCATCTGTTTTTAATTCTGGATTTTAAATTGTTGTAATCCAGCCTGGGATCTGCTGGTGAAGGATAACTAATAAATTTCACCATCATCTCTTAGTCACTTGTTCCTTACCATCATACACAGCATGGCTGTACTGAGTAGTTGAGGCAGAAGGTTTGCAAGTCCCATCAAATTTGTTGCCATAGTTCCCAATGCTGACCTCAAACTGGATCTGTTCCTTGATATCAGCCAACATAGTAGCTGAATAAAAGATGACACATAACCCATACCGGATTTGAGGCAAATAGCGCTGCAGAAACAAACAAACAAATCTGTGGAACTGGCACAGTAACAAATCAACCTCACACACTTTGGAACTCCTATTGACATCAGACAGATACCTTCACTGGACTCTTTCCAGCACCTGTTGAAAACATTTTATGTTTAGACAAGCTTACTAAAATATGTAGTATGTTGACATCTGTTTTAATCTGTTTTTACTTTATCTTGGAATCTAATTATCCTTTGGATGTTTTTTATTAATAATTTTGCTGTTTTATTCTTTTTGTAAGCTTCTTTGGATTCCTGTACCCAAAGAAGTATACAATGTTTTTGAAATAATAAAAAAGGTTTATTATGAGAAGAAGGTATTGGCCAGTATCTCCCACGCATCTGAGCACAAACCTATCTATATACTTATATGTAATATAATAATATTGAGAAGCAAATAAAGTGCCTACAAAAGATCCTCAGAATTTTATCAGAAGAAGAACCACCATCCTGTTCTTACAGTGGCCGACGAGAGGCCCCAGTGGAAGCATGCCAGCAGAACTTGAGCGCTCCAGTCTGGCACAGCCGGCATGGGAAACCCTCCCGGTCTTCTTGGCCTGCACCTCCCATCATCCTTGGCCACAGGCTGCGCTGACTGGAGCTGATGGGAGTCCAAGAACACCTGGAGGACCCAAGTGACCCAGTGCCTGGATGGAACTTGGGTTCTTCAAGCTCTTGGCCTTGCATTTTCCAGACAGCAGAGAAGGCATGCCAGGTGGGCAGGGAATGACAGGTCAAGAGGCCTTCTCTTGCTGCATGGAGCTCACAAGCAGATCTATTATGTTATTCATTTACTAGAATAATTTATGCCCTGTCTTTCTGCTAAAAAATATAGGAAGCAATCACTGAAATATCCTGGTCCGAGAGTTTTGAGGGCCCACTTGAAAAGTTTAGGCCAACATTGTGAATTGGGCCCAGAAACAAAATGGCAACTGGTGACACTGTGATAATACTGTGGTAATATGGTCCAAACATCTCACACCACATAGTCCAGCTTCTGCATTCTGGGCCATGTGAAGTTCCTCAACATCCTCCAAAGACAAACACAAGAAAGCTTCATCTGTAACTAGATAATAAAGACTGTTCCTGTTGCCAGCTGCCCGAATCCTGTGTTTCTATGATACTACAGTCTTCCAGGAGAAACATGGGAAAGTAAGAAGGGAGGAAACAACTACTGCTCCTGCAAGGTCCACATCTTCATGGTCTTATGAAACACCCCCACCCCACCCCATACTCCTGTTTACACATGGCAAGAAAATAACTTGTATATATTTTGTTCTTTGGTTACCTCCATTCTTGTAATATATTGTTCAGGAACAGCTTCTATTCTTTGAACGGGGTCTGGATCCATGTAGGTAGTCAGCTCCACTAGGACTCTTCCCCGGTAAATTATCCCTTCCTTCTAAAAGAGAAGAAGAGTTCGTGATAGAGAGAGCAGAAGGACAGACAATGATGAGGAATAATTGAAAAGAAAGAGCAACGTTGTGATGTCTGTGTTACCCTTTCCTTACACTCTTTAGCACAGCCTAAAATAGCCAGCTCGGAAAGAGTGTGCACATTCTCAGTGTTAAGAAAGAGACCCTTGGAACACAAAAGCTTGTTCTTGCCAAGGTGTACATGAGTGGTACTTTACACCGAGGAAATTATCCCTGATAAACCCCATTCTTTCTCCTTCCACATTTGAGAGGCTGTGGTATGGTTGGTACATACCTCCACATGCCCCAGGGATGGGGATTGCCCCCAGGGACAAGGGTTTTGGAAGCTCGTGTGCCAGGAGACCAGTGAGGCTACTGGTCAATGGGTACATCCATCTCTGACACTGGTCTTGTTAAATATGTTTCTGGATAGAAATTGATATCTTAATCACAAAGAGCGGCTGTGTCATTCACTCTTGGAAATTGTTGTAGCTCAGCATTAGAAAACTATTTTAGGTTTGAAGTGTTGGTGCCTTGCAGAACAATCACCCTCTTGCCACAACTCCTAAGAAGTTGAATGGACAACCAAGAGACAGACTTACACTCCCAACATTCTCTAAATTGTCCTCTTCGTTCATGAGCTCTGGTGGCGTCCTGTAGAGGGTCACAAAGCTTGGCCCGAAGCACGGCAGGAAGCCTGGGAAATTCTCTGAAACCAACAAGAGCTTGAGGGGAGGAAGAGTCTCTGCACCACCAGCCTAGTCACAAGGCAAGGCAGGGGGCCAGTTTTGGGTGCTCTTCAAGAGGACATCAGACAGATCTGATCCCCAGGGCACAATCCATTGGGAAGTCTTCCTGCATAATCTTCCACTGAAACAAAGGAAGCTAAAAGGCAGCAGAGGGCTTAAACCTGGAGCTCTATGGGACTCCATGCCTCTGGGGTTGAAGACCAGGGGAAGGCACTGGAGGCAGCTCAATACTGGACACCACTACCCAGAATCCTCTTGGTCCTTGATATCATGTGATTGTATAGAGCCAATCCCGTAACACTATCTGCTCTAGAGCATGCCCTCCAACAGTTTCATTCCCCAAATTGGGACATCAGGAGGGGTGCAACTTCCAGTCCGGTGCTCTGGCAATCGTCTGGAGAGTTGGCAGAGTCTTGCCAAAGTACTGAATCAGAAGACGCTTTGGCGTGACCCTGCTGATGAGTGCCGAATGCACGTCTTTAACAGGACATTCCAGGATCCAAACAGAAGCCAGGATTGCCTTCTATGATGTGGGATGTCCCACGAAAGAAGGTACAGTTGGGGGGTATGATATAGCTCTAAGACAGGTGGGGAACTGTGGTCTTCCAGATGTTGCTGGACTCAGGAGCAGACTTTGGTAATATGGTGCCTTGAGTGAGGACAAAATTTTGTGCCTCCATCACATATTTCATGTTTTCACAGTAATACCTTTTGGTACAGGTGCTTTTTAAATGGATCTTCTCAGTAGGTACCCGTAAAAATAATGGTTTTAGTATTATGACTATGGCTATTATTTTCTGCCCCCTTGGCTGGGCACCCTGTGCGGGGAACCAACCACACTGCCCTAAAACCCAGTGCTGCTGGGCTACAACTTCTGGCATCCTTGCCTGCTGGCCATGATGGCTGGGACTGAAAGGGCATGCAGTCTATTAATACCTCCATGGCCACAGATTCCCCACCCATTCTCTAAGAACTGCTAATCTTCCTCATTCTGGGCGACTTGGTCACCAGGTGGTCCCTCCAAGCCAACGATTATCCTTCTCAGACTCAGGACCTGGACCTCACCTGCCTTTGGCTCTGAGGGGGACGTAGGATAGTGTGCTCCCACTATTCCAATACATTTCAATGGGGCTTGCACCAGTGCACAGCAAATGCCAGAAGCCCTGTGACCTGGGAGGGCCCACTGTGACTGGTGCCAAGTCCCAGGCCGTCCTTTGAATTTCACCAGAATGCAATATGATGTACATGCAACAGGCATTGCATTTTGGGCAAATTAAAATGGTGGCTATAGCAGTAAGTCCAGTCACACAGCCTTGGAGTCTCTGACAACAAAGCCAGGAGGCCATCCCCTGTTGGTGCCTGCTGTCCGGGATGCCTTCATCGCCCAGCGAAGGGCTTGCTACCAGTGGGGAGGGGCCATGGAAGGCACTTCCTCCAGGATCTTCTGAAACCTGGAACCAGCTCTGCTTGCATAAGATCAGAGCTTGCACCGGAAGATTGTGCCTTATGCTAATTGAGAGGAGTGGGTTGCTGTCAGGTGGCCCAGATTTGCAGGGTGTGTGTTTGTAAAGAATCAAAGCTTGCTTACTTCCCATGTCATTCCCAGCTGAAGAGATCTGGGAAAGGCTGAGAAATGCTGTCCCCAGAACACTGCTATCTTCATTTTGTTCCCTAGAAAACAAAATAGAAGGCTCCGTGGCAGCGGGGAGGGGACACCCCTCCCCCAGTGGCACTCCAGGTCTCTTCCTAGCCCCTGGAACTCTTCTCAACTGCACCCCATCTCCCCAGAACAGACTCCTCACTGCTCTGCTCTGTACCCTCTCATGTGCCTCTCACTTGCTTGGCTGGGGGCTAGAGCAGGGCATCCATGTGCAGAAACCTTTGACCTTTGCATGACTGGAAAGCAGCAATATATCTTGGACTGGCAATGTCTTTTGGGGGCATAGTATATGGCCTAGATACTGTCCCGCATTTGAGGTGCACTGGCAGCACTCACCCATCAAGAGCACTGAGTTTGATTAGATCACACATGGAAGGCATCTGCAAAGGAAAAGGCAAGTTGGTAAGGAAACCTCTCTGCATCTGTGCTCCATGGACCACCTAAGATTCCATCAGCATCTCACATGACCAAATAACAGAGCCCAACTTCAGTCAAAGTAAGTTAGAGATGATGTATGATTAGTTTTACCCAGCTCAGGGAACGAACTTCTCATGCTCCTAATGCCCATGTGTCCCAGAGAAGTTCTTCTCCAGCTCAGAAAATAAAACAAGCTGTTAGGCATGTGCAGATCAGAAAGTAATCAGTGATGAAGTTCAGGTGCCATGGAATTGACACGTCCCAAATCTCCTTGCACCTGGGATACCAATGAACATGCTCCCATTTCAGCACCCCAGGCATCAGGGATAAATGGAGGCCATTATAGCAGCTAAGTAAAGTTTGCATGAGGGAGAGGTGGTGGCTGAGGTCTTGGGCTTCTATTATTGTTATTGGGAACCTAACAATATTCTGCATTTTGGAAAGCAAAAGGACTGAGCTAATTTCTGGTTTTAGGGCCAGAGGGCTCTGTTTGCCAAGGCCAATTCCAAACTGAGCCAGAGTGAGGGTTTGCATGTCAGTGGTGTAAACAGTAAATAGTAGCAGACATTTCATCCTGATAGTAACAGACTGCAATCTGGGAGGACCCAGACAGGAGAGGGGGTTAAGTAACTAGCCCTCCCCTCCCCAATGAAACGTGGTGTCATGAGTGGTAGGAAGCAAGCTCAGCCCCAGCCACAAAGTGCACCCCTGTGCTCTCTCTCTCCTCACCCCATTTCTGCATAACAATACTCACCTGCATAGGAAAGAACATCAGCTGGTTCCACACAGGGTTGGCGTCTCTGAGCACAACTCTGGTCTTTAGCTGAACATGTGGGTAAAGGGAGCAGGTCAGTAAAGAGCCACCATTCTGTAGAAGGCTTAGCTTTCAGCACATGCTAGTGCCAGGTAAGATACCCACTTCTAGATGACAGGGGATAGCTCAGTCGGTAGAGCATGAGACTCTCAGTCTAATGGTTGTGGGTTTGAGCCCCATGCTGGGAGAAAGATTCCTCTATTGCAGGGACTGGACTAGATGGTCCTTGTGGTCCCTTCCAATGCTACAATTCTTTGATCCTATGACTATCTTATGAAACAGGATTATATATATTCACTTGTCTCTGACATGTAAGGCTGAGCTGCAGGGAACCAAGCCTGAAAGCTCTGGAGAACTGAATGAGCAGCGGTTCTTGCTGTCTTCAGGCTATGAGTGTACTATAGATGCAGGAGTAAGTGTGGGCAAGCAGCAGCTGATCAAACTCCTTGAGGTCTGGTAGTTTTCAAGGACTTCTTTCCAAGGCTGAGACGCACCCATTTTGGTTCACGGCAAGTTCTCCAATGTGGTGATCAAGGCAAAGAGAAGGCTCCCTGCTACTGTCAGTGTTGCATGGTCAGTCAGTTTGGAACTTAAATGGTTATTGATGGAAATGCATTGCTAGGGTTTTTTTTTTTTTAAAAAAAGAATGACACTTGGTTGGTTTTTGCTTTGTGTATTTTGGAGAGGGAGAGGGAGTACCATGGAGTCAATGTGCCAAATATTACAGCAAGAACGCTGGAAAGGAGATGTATTTAATTTTTAGCTGTATAGAGAGAATATGGCACATCATCTTTTATGCAGATTATGATTAGAGCTGTCATTCAATTAAATAAATCTTAGTCGATGAAGAAATCAGTTTCTTGTTTAAATCTGCATGTAGATAAAAGAAATGGTTCTGAAGCAAACTTCTTGTGTCTTTAGAAGATAGGTTCCTCTATCATCAATGGCAGGTAATGCCTTCAAAAAGACGTTCCCTCCTATGTGAGGGAGAAAGAAAGGGTCTCTCTTAAGTTGTAGCTTGCCCTGGGATCTGCTGGTGAAGGGCAGGTAATAATTGATTAATTAGCCCCAGCTTGGATAGCTCAATTGGTTAGAATGTGGTGCTGATAGATAACGCCAATATTGCAGGTTTTGATCCCCATAGGGGACAACTGCATATTCCTGCATTGCAGGGGGTTGGACTAGATGATCCCTAGGGTCCCTTTCAACTCTATGATTTTACTAATAACAGTAGTGGTTGCCCTCTGTTGTTTGTATAAACATTAATTTGCTGCCTGAGTAATTGGGAGCAGTTTTCCAGTTGACAAAATGTCTGTTTAATCAATGCACATGTTAGATTAATCAATTAAATATGGAAGCTCTAATTATGGTTTTAGTTTCTAATTTTCCAGATATTAAGTTTGGTTTGCCACAAAAAGCAGGATTTCTACTAAGACTGTATACACATTTTTGAAAGGAAGTTTCTCTAAAACAATGTACTGCACTTTGGTATTATTTTCAGCGATATATGCATTTTTATGCACACTTTCCTCCAATAAACACATTTCTGTACACATTTCTTGGGGTTGGAGAACGGCATTGTAAAATTCAAAGAGCTGCTGATTTCAAAGCATAACTACAGTTTAGTTTGTGTATAATTTCAGGAAATATGAATTAGGTAGAATTTCTCCCCCATCCACAATTATGAACCATGTACATTGATAGTGCTCCATAAAAATATTAATATTAGAGAGATATTAATAGCCAGGCTCCCAGGTGTCACTGGTAGCTAAAAAATGGCACCTAGCCCACGCTGAGGATAGCTGGAAGGAGGGTGCATTGCTTTGTGTGGGACTGCCACCTCCCCAATTTCCTTAGGGTCCTCAATGGCAACCAGAAGCAGCTCACCTGCAGAAAGTGAGTCCAGTGCTATGATTTCCAGCTAAGCCTGAGGCTGAGCATGTGTCAGTGAAGCACTACCTGGAAGAAAATGCCTCTCTGTGTGGAAACACCAGGACCTGCCAGCAAGGCACTCGCGTCACTGGCATGCTTGGGTTTCTGTGTCAGCCTCCTTCCAAACTGGCACCAGAGTTTTGCAAAATGCACCCTTTGACAATTCTAACAGACACACCTTCAAGTCATTCTCAAGTTGCATCTTTCCATGCAAGACATAAAAATGAGTTCCCAGGTAAATAGGAGGTAGTTACCCTGTTTTTGTTTTGCATTACTGCAACTTGTCATTTCCACCAAACACTAGGCTTGCAAACAACCATTGGCTAGGCTATTTCTGGTGAGCATCAGGGGCCTTCGGGTGATCAGGCAAAGATGGATTGAAATATTGGCCCTTTCCTCCATTTATGCTACTAGAGATTAACATAGACTGTACAGGCTAGTAAATTCAAAGGCTGTAGAATACAGAACCTTATTGTATTGTTTATAAGTAGCAGATGTTATTTTCTTAAGAGGCTACTGTCTTCCTTTAAGGAAGAATAAAATAATTAGGGCTGCATTTTACATACCAGTTTCCCTGCAAAATCAACTTCCAGAGAAGGGTCAACTGAACCGCCAGTGGGATCAACATCCATGTTGCTCCGTACTGTTGAGGAAAGTAAGAGCCCTATTAAATCTTTTTTGATGATCCCATTTTACCAGGGTGTTAGCCCTTCCTTACTCTCTTATCTGCTAGACAGCTCTAATGGGAATGTGTTGACCGCATAAAGGAACCTGGAGGAACATGAATCTGAACTATCCACCTATATCATTTAGAAGAAAAGATTCAAGCCTTCTCACTCATATAATAGCCTAACAGAAACAAACCCTTGTCTGCCTGTGTTTTGACCTCTGAGCCACTTATCTGAATGTTCTTTGTTAAAAATTGTTTTTGTTTTGTTTTGTTGGGTTTATTTTTTTGAAAAATTTATTGATTTATTTAAGTAAATCATTTCCCCCCTTGTTCTTCAGCCAAAAAGCTTCCTAGAGCAAAAACCAGTTGAAATTAAAAAAACAAAACAGCAATTATCCTGTTTCTCAAGTTTTGAGAAAAGGTCAGAAGAAGCACTTTTACTTACTGTGCATGCTTGAACTGTGGAGGCCATGCATGCGCACTAATGCACCACTGCAATGCATGCCATGGTGGCTATGTCCTCCCTCCATGGTTGGAGTCAGTAGGTCTCTAAATACCACTTGCTGGGAATTGCAGGTGTGGAGAGCGCTATCGTACTCAGGTCTGGCTTGCAGGCTTCCCACAAACATCCAGTTGGACACTGTGAGAATGCTGGGTCAGGAGGGGCTTTTGACCTGACTCAGAAGGCTCTTCTTCTGTTCTTAAGCCAGGACAAAGCTTAAGGCGATTCCTCGATTATTGCCTTTCCCCCCTGCCCCTTCACAAGCAAAGGCTTAGTCCACTGTGTCCACCAACACAAGAGCAAAACTGTGCTATTATCCTCACTCTCTGGCCCACCAGTTTAACTGGGACTCCATTGTCTGGCCCAGCCCAGGCACAGAATTTCTGAAATTACAAATTAACAAGCATTTTTGCTTGCAAAAAGCAGCAAAGCTCATTAAGTTCTTTATAAAGCCTGGCATACTGCAAAGACAGAGGCAAAGTCATAACAACACGTGGGGAAGGACGTGGGCTTAGCTCCTGAAAGGACATCCCAGCCCTACTGCTACCCTATGTATTTAATTAATTGCAAATGCATATGAAAAATGCAAAGACTTTCCCCCACTGACCAGGGCTACTTCAAACATTTTTCCATAATAAGTGTGTGGTTTGTTTGTTTTTGTGGGTGGGAAGTTTTGTGGTGCTTAAATCTGTTACATAGCTTTTTAAAAAACATAGCTTTGTTTAAAAACAGCCTAGTATACAAAGCCAACATTTATATCCACTGCTCCACCATCTTGTCCCTGGAGCCCTGCACACGGCTGCCATACAGAAGGCTCCCCAAAGGAAACGTGGCTCTCTGGCTGAAAAGGCTTCCCCATCCTTGTTATGCACCACAGGAAGCTAACCCATTCTCACGCCACTTTCAGTGCTCTGGAAATGCTAAGTCTCACATGAAGGGAGAGACCCTCCCAGAAGCTGCCCCTTAAGCTCTTGTCTATTTTTACTGGTCCAAACCTCCTAGGGGTGGAGGAAGGGGGTGCGGTAGGTGCGAGCCACCCAGGGTGTCCCCACCAAGAGGGGTGACAAAATGCTGGGCGGCACTCACCGCAGGGCTTGCAGTGTGCCCAAGCCACTCGTCTCTCCTGGGAGAGACATGGTGGCTTGGGCGCGTAGAGGCTCCACGCTGCCGAAACAGTCCATCCGCTGCCCCCTCCCCAGCTGTAGGGTGGCTGAGTGGGAGGAGGCAGGCAGACTCCGAAGGCCCTGCCCTCACCCTGCCCCTATGGGCGGCTGGCCTTGCCCTCGCCCCGCTCCTATGGGTGGCTCACGCTGCCCCTGGGCGCACCGCTCCAGGCGCCCAAGCGGTTTCCTCTGCTGCGGGAAACCACCTCCACAAATACCTTATTAATTTCCTCTTGGTTGCAGCCTGATCAACAGATGGAGGCTGGAAAACATCCTCTGAATTTTTGATTGCAAATTGGTATAAGTGTGTTTGGCATCTCACTCTCATCATGCAAAGATTAACACATGATACGAGGAAACCAAGGGACCAAGCTACATCTACTGATCTTAATGGTTATCACTTCGGTCTATATGAGATCTGTAACTTTAAAAAAAAAATTGTGCTGCAATTTGCAAAATAAAATCAGTCTCTCTATAGAAACAGACAAAAAAGAGAAAGGGGCCATTGTCCCTATCTTGGTTTCGCACTGCCACCCCACTGTGACAAAGAGGGCACTTTATGAGTGTGGTACAGGGATGCAGAGTCACCAAGAGGTTTTTCCTTTGTCCATTGTTTATTGCTGAATCAGAACAAACACCCATACTCAAAAACCCGATTGGGGTTTCTTCTGATTTAGCAGTAAACAGTGAGTTTTCTGGGAAAAGCAGATGGGCAAACGAAAAACTTCTCGAACTTGTGCCTAGAAAGCACTGGCCAAACAGAATATTGTGTGTGTGTGTGTGTGTGTGTGTGTGTGGAGAGAGAGAGAGAGAGAGAGAGAGGGCAAACTTACTTGGAGACAAATCTTCTGCTCGGTATACAAAGAGCTGGAGCATGGCTCTGCGTACTGCTGGCATTACTGCTGCCTGCAGGAGGTTGGCCTCCAAATCGCCACTGTCTGGCAAATGGGCTGCATCCTTGGAGAAGAGAAAGGCGCAACATAAACCTGTGACCCAGATGCTGGTGGCTGGTGGCCCTCTAGATGTTTTTGGCTCACAACCCCCATCAGCCGCAGCCTGCCCCAGCTGTGCTAGTTGGGATGGATGGGAACACAGGAAGCTGCCCTATCATGGATCAGGCCATTGGCCTACCTGGCCACACTGACCAGCAACGGCTCCCAAGACTTTGGATGGGAGACATTCCCTGCCCCACCTGGAGATGCCGGGGGGTGGGGGGCAGGACTTCCTGCAAGCAAAGCAGGTGCTCTGTCAGGGAGCTCCCTTCCCCATAATCCTTTTTCAGTCTCAAATATAGGGAGGGCCCTAGGTGGGTGAAAGCTGTCACAGATCATCCCTACAGAACACGGAGGGAGTTTCAGATTCAAACAGGGCACTTTCTGTGTTCATTTCAGTGGCAGCTGCAAAAGGAGCACAAACAGTGTAGCAGGAACAAATGCAATGTTGGAACCAGCCCACAGTTTTGCAAGGAAAGCTGTGGAAAAACTCAACCCAGTTTAACAGGCATGCCGTCTCCCAAGAAAACAGTAGATCTGGCATATGGGACCTGCTGTCCTGTAGCTTCTCCCTGTGGTGAGCCACACAGGAGGGCCACATGGGGGCAGGCAATGGTGTAAGGTGGGCCTTTTCCATTTGGCCAGGTACTCAGAGTAGAATTCATGGTTCTATTCTCAAAACAACCTTATGAGGTAAGGTAATGAATTAATTATAGGTCTTTTTCCGCTGCTTGTTCATGTCCCTGGAAAAGTTTGCAACAATTCAAATATAGGCACAAACAAAACTTAAATAAAGCTAAAGACTGCTCTGGTGGTGTTTCCTGCTTGGCAGGGGGTTGGACTTGATGGCCCTTGTGGTCTCTTCCAACTCTATGATTCTATGATTCTATAAAGACCACAGAATTGCAAGAGCAATTAAAATTATCTGCAAAAGGTGAGAGAAGAAAAAGCAACAACAAACAAAAGACAGGCTTCAGGCAAACTTCTCTGGGGAGGGTGTTCCATGCTGGAGTGCTACTACCCAAAAGGCCCTTTAGATAGTGGGGGAACCCCAAGCAGCTTTCCTGTGAGGTTCTTAATGTAGGGGCAGGTGCAAATCGAGACAGGTGGTAAGGTCAAGATGGAGCAACTGGACCCCACTCACCCACTGAGCTTCAGGGCAAAATAGGAGTTTGAACCTTGTTCCCCACAGGAATAAGTCTAACACTCCATATCCACCATCCCAGTCTGGCATAGGAATTTGGGTGGGCACCCCACATAGTAGAATCATAGAATCATAGTTGGAACGGATCCTGAGGATCATCTAGTTCAGGAATATGCAGCTGTCCCTTACTGAACCCGCAACCTTGATGTTCTCAACACTACACTCTAACTAACTGAGCTATCAACTGAGCTGCTGTTGGCATCCTGTAGCAGGACCCAGGTATAGATAATATTTATCTTCTTAAGAATGTTGCTGCTAAAATCCCAAGTTCTTCCTATTTAGGCTGCTGGTACAAGGCCACCAAGAGTTCTGCTTGTCTAGTCAGCCTGTCCTGCTCTACTAAACTGTTTAGCAAGTTGGCGTCTGACCTACCAGTCTTGAAAAATGATGCTTTATTCCATTATCCAAACAAGGCACCCCATCATTTTAATAGCTGCCAATGGCATCACATGAACTTGAATGCCCGTGACAAGCCTCTGTTGAGGTGGTGAAGATGTTGTAATGTAAAGATTTTTACCGGCGCCTGATCTCCAGCTCCAAGGACACAGAGGTTAACTTTCACATAGCCCCTTAGTCCGGCATTGAGATTAGCTGGGTCATAGAGGCTCAGCCATTTGCCCATCAGAGCATGACCTAGGGAAAAGAACAAGAGCCAACATTCACACCATCCAGAAGTGCCATCTAATTGTGGATAGACATTCATTTTAAAAACATTAGAAGATCCTGCCGGATCAGGCTTGGCCAGAATCCTGTTCTCACCAGGGCCTGCCAGATCCCTGTGGGAAACCTGCAAGCAGGACCCGAGCCCGAGAGCCCTCTCTCCCCCGGGGTTTCCAGCAGCGGGTCTTCAGAGGCCTTGCTGCCTCCAGCCATGGAGGCAGAGCATAGTCATCATGGCCAGCAGCCATTGATTGCCTTCTCCTCCATGGATTTGCCGCATCCTTTTTTAAAGCCATCCTCAATGGCGGCCATCACTGCCTCCTGCGGGAGTGAGTTCCACAGTTCAATATTTTAACTGTTTAACTGCTTTGTGAAGAAGGGCTTTCTTTTATCTGTCCTGAATCTTCCAACATCATTGATTGTTCATGAGTTCAGGTGTTATGAGAGAGGGAGAAAAACGTTTCTCTGTCCACTTTCTCCAGGCCAGGCATCATTTTAGACACCTCTGTCATTTCACCTCTTGCTCACCTTTTCTCCTAACTAAAAAGTCCTCGCAGGGGAGTTGCTATGAGTAACAGTATCACAAGGATGCTTCCTTTCTGTCAAATGTCAATATAAAACTCTGTGACCTGGTCAGAGTCCCTCTTTCCTTACTCTGTAGGTAATATAAGCTGTCAAGCCCTAAATCTGAGGTCTGAGCTGAAACTTTTCACAAGTTTCCATGAATGGTTTTGGCCCTGTTGATGAGGGCTTCCTTTTCCAATTCTTTTAGGCACTCCTTGTGAAAAGGTTAATCTGATTGCTTACATTGCCTCACTAGCTCTCACTCTCAATTGCCTTCAATTGCCATCACCATATACTCAAATCTGACGGGCTCTATAGCGTAGTAATACCATCCCATGTCCTACAATAGCCGGTTTACATTTCATTTCCCACAAATATACATAGAAAATAGGCAATTTAAATATAGTAGTAGCACAACAGCTGTAATATGTAATACAAATATAATGCACTACAATATAAAAAGCATATTAGCACAAAACAACCAGTAGGACAATTAACAGGATCTAACACCAAAAACATCCATGGAGCTTGTGATGTGAGGATGGAGCACAAAGCCCAGTGGAGGGCGGAGGAAGGGAACAGTGGCTGAAGGGTCTTGGACACCCTGCCTCCCAAGAGCCCTCAAACTCGCCACTGGCTCTAGACAAAAGTACCTGGAGATTCATACACAAGCCCGATCTCAATCTGCAGAGAGAGAAAAACAGAAGGAGTTACAGGAATTGTCAAGGAAAGAAAAAATTGAGCTGTGGGAAAATTTCAGGGCAATTCAGAATATTGCAAAGAGTTTGTGGTTAGACTAAATTGTGGTGGTTTTTCCTTTTTGCGGGAGGTGGGGTTCCCTTCCAATCCTGTGATTTTATAACTAAAATGGGGTTCCACAGGAATAGGGGAGATTGCTAAAATGGTCAAATGCTTCTTTATTAAGGAAATAGCATAGGCAGGTCTATTAAGTATCTGTATTGTAATGTATGCTAATGTGTTGTCTGGAGGCTCTTCTGGGTGGTCAGTGGAAGAGGGTGTGTCTCCCTCCCTCTCCCTGGCTAAAGGGGATGTCTTCAAGATATCTCTGTGTGGAAAAGGACACAGGAGAATGGCCGTCTAGGGGCTGGAGCTGCAGAAGAGACACAGAGGCCTGACTTGCTCTTTGCAAGAATCCAAAGCTACGGCTTTGGTGACCCACCCCAGGAACCTAAAGTAGGAGGAAGAGATAATCAGCTGGAAGATTAATGCTGTAAACCTTCCAGAACATGCTCAGCCTGTGTTTATAAACCTTCTACCACAGAAATCACCATCAGCCTTCCGTGGTCTTCACTCCAAGGAAACCAACCCAAGGTATGAGCTGGGACTAGGGATTTACAAATTCTGGTTTTCTAAGTTTCTCCTTTTTCCAATCTTAAATTCAGTTTTTCACATTTCTGCAGCAATTTGGTTTCCTTAGTGTGAATTTCCCCTAATTCTTAAATGCAGTTTTGACAAATATAGACATGTTTGCAAGCACACTCCCCTATGGTAATGCATTTTTGTATGGCATTTTCACTGATGTATGCCTTTATAGGCAAACAATACCCTAATATAACATTGCATTTAGTAGTTGTTGCTCTAATGTAATTAGCTGCCATAAATAGAGCCTGTTTAAGTGTTGGATGTTGCCAGATGTTGAGTGCTACCAGTGGTAAAACAACAAACAAACAATGAATGAATGAATGTCAAAAGCTTGGCTGAGAGATCAGAACTTCTAAAAAAGACTCTTTCCCTTGTCTAGGGGGCCAGCCCAGAGCAGCTCAAGGCCCAGTCCTGAGTTCAGGCCCACTGAGCATCACCAGCAGGGAGGCACCTCTTGATTTCTGCCTCTCTGTAGATATCAGCCAAAATTGCATCTGCTCACCCTGAAGACCCCAATGAGGGAATCGGCCCGTATTGCCTTGGAGTTCAGCACCTAAAAAAAGAAACACACATAAATTCCCCTCCCCTCCCACAAAGCTGCCTTGTCTGCCTAGTATAGGGGTTGGCAATGCAGTGCCTCCAGATGTTGAGGACTACAATTTCCATCATCCTTGATCACTGAAATTGCCATGCCGGGGCTGATGGGAGCTGAACTCCAAAATACTATATGTGGAGGGGCCCCCACCACATTGGTTGTGTCTGGTCTGAGTAAGAGGCAATTGTGGCCTCAGTCGCAACTCCACTCTCCCCCAGGCAGTGACTAAAATAAGGAGTGATAAAATAAACTCAACCAGACAACAATCTGGATTAAAAATGGCCACAACTTTACAGAAGTAGGTGGAATTTTGGCTCAGGCATCGGGTGTACTATATATTTGTTTTAGCCTCCTGCTGGAGGGCTGAAACATTTTCAGGGTTATGCCAAGGACTTTGGCCTCTCCAAGACACCAAGCTACTGAGGTGGCCACGCTAAGGCCATTTGCTGGAAGCTCTAAGGCCCGCCTGCCCCATGCTTGGCTTCTGGACAGAGACTTCCACCCTCTAATGGGGTGTCCTGAATACGCTGCTGGTACTGGACTGGGCGATGCACCTTCACCCAAAACATATGGAGGGCACCACACCACATGGGTTGCCCCTAGTCTAAGTGAGATACAATTAGCAGCTGCGTTATCCTTTTGCCACTTGCATTGGGGCTTCTTTTGTATCTTCGAGGAAAAGGAATAGATTTAAGGGTTTAGAATGCAAAACAGGCAACCCAGGAACAACACACTGTCTGCGCAGAGGGTGTGGAAGAATGGAAAACATAATCAATGGGAGCTGGAGGAAGGTGACTCAAGAGCCACCAGCCCACACCACTTCTTCTGGTGTACACACCACACTTGCCTACCGTCAGGCTAGGCGGGGAAAGGGCCACAGTCCAGAGGGAGACTACCTGCTTTGCCTGCTGAAAGTCCCAGGTTCAGGAAACTCCAGGTAAAGATGAGAAAGACATCTGTTTGAAACCCTGGAGAGCTGCTGCCAGCCAGTGTATAACAAATACACCAGCAGCCTGATTTGATACAAGACAACTTCCTATGTTCCTGACTTGAAAGAGCTAACAAAAAGTGTCAGGGTCAAGCTTGGACTTCACCTGGGCAATAGTGTGTTGGTTTTCTATCCTTATTTCTGGTTCCCCTGCCTGATGGCTTCTTCTTAGGCCTCAGTCCCAGGAATGGGTGTCTCCTCCTTTTGCCCTGCTAGCTCTCTCAGCCCACATCCACATCATGAAGTGCTATGATACCACTTTAAACAGTCCTGGCTTCCCCCAAAGGATTCTGGGAGCTGTAGTTTGTTAAGAGTGCCAAGAGTTGTTAGGAGACCCCCATTCCCCTCCTAAAGTTCGGTTCCTACAGTGGTTTAACAATCCCTCTTCACAGGGAAATCTGGGAATTATAGCTCTGTGAAGGGGAGAGGGGCCTCCTTAATAGCACCCTTAATAAAGTACAGCTCCCAGAATCCTTTGGGGAAAGTCAGGACTGTTTAAAGTGGTATTGTAGTGCTTTAAATGTATGGTGCGAATGTGGCCTAACAAGTGAAGGAATTCCAATGGGTCTACTCTGAGTGGAACAACCTAGTTGCTTAACAGTCATTTGTGGCCTTTTAGGTGTTGTGACCTCTTGTGAGAAGGAAGCGTGGCTGGGGAGTGGCAAAGAGTGCCCACAGTCCATGGGCATGCAACGTCTCAGAAGCAGCTCATGCAACCTCTCACCTGGCCAGGTTCCTTGAAGCTGCGATGAACGACCCTGGGACCTTGCAGTGTTTAGCTGAGGATGTGGATTGAGGACAAGGTTCTAGCTACTTGCTGGGGATGGTGGTGGGATGGTCTTGTTCCTATATGCTTGGGAATCTCTGTTTGTTCTTGTATCCACTCCTCAGTTTCTGCTACGGCTCCTTCTGCCTCCTTGTTCCACTAAGACTCTCTGAAGATTCCGGACTAGAAGTCACTTTACATCTGGTCTGCTTCTTCTTTTACAAAATTGCCAGTTCTGCTCCCCAGGTTATCAGCCCTGAGTCCGAATGAAGCCTGCCAGAGCTACGATTCTCAGAGTTCCCTGTGAAGAGGGATTGATTGTTAAAGTACTCTGGGAATGGTAGCTTTGTGAGGGGAACAGGAGTCTCCCAATAACTCTCAGTGTCCTTAGCAAACTACAGCTCCCAGCATTCTTTGGGGCTGTTTAAAGTGACACGATAGTGCTTCAAATTTATGGTGCTAATGTGGCCCCAGTTGCCGACAACCCAATTTGCTGCTTCTTTACAAGAATCACAAGGTAATGCAATCACAAGACGTGTCTAACCTTTTGTCCTCCAGAGGTTGCTGGAATCCAACTCCTATCATGCCAGACTTTGGGGGCTGCTAGGAGCTGGAGCCTGCCAGCCTTTGGAGAGCACCACACGGGCTGCTCTTGAGGACATGGGATTCTGTTGAAAAGGAAGGACCAGATGTCGCTTTCTCACCTGGATGTCAATGAACTGGTCGAATAGTTGCATAGGTCTCTCATCAAAAGTCTGAACGAATGTCTAAGGAAAATCAAACAAATGTGAATGAAGAAGAGAGGTACCTAGGTTGCAGTAAGACAGGCATAGGCAACCTCGGCCCACCAGATGTTTTGGGACTACAACTCCCATGATCCCTAGGTAACAGGACTAGTGGTCAGGGATAATGGGAATTGTAGTCCCAAAATATCTGGCGGGCCGAGGTTGCCTATGGCTGCAGTAAGATGACAACCTTCCAGCAGAGGCAATATTGAAAAGTCCTTGTTACAGCTTCAAACCCATTAAAGGGCTTTCCACCTGAGTAATCATTCATGCATAGTTTCTACTTTTATGCAGCTATACTATAACAGGAGTTCTCTGGGTACTCACAGGAAGCAAACCAAAACAAACCTAATAAAACAACAAGAAAAGCAAAACACAGAAGCATAATTTAAAACTCAATTATAAATAGAGTGGCCCAGAGGTAAAATGTATGTCATTTAAAAGGTCTGGGTGAATAGGCTTGTCTTCAGCAGGTGCAAAAAAGGACCATAAAGATGATACCAGCATCATGCATGTTGTTGAATCCCCTCCAAAACAGTTGTCTTACGTGCTGATAAAGAAAATAGAATATTGTTAGAAGGAGATGCTGTGTTCAGTCAAGCCATGGAGCTTGCTTTCCAGGAGGCAGTGATGGCCACCAGCTTGGATGGCTTTAAAAGAGAATTAGAAAAATCCATGGAGGAGGAGAGGGCTGTCAATGGCTCCTAGTCATGATGGCTTTATTCCACCTTCACAGCTGTAGGCAGCAGTGCTTCAAAATGCCACTTGCTGGAAACCATGGGAGGGGAGAGCGCTACTCTTGTGCTCAAGTTCTGCTCCCTCGTTCGCCACTGTGAGAACAGGATGAATCAAAACAGTCCCCAAAAGCAAAGGTGTGAGCATTTACTCTCATGTCCCAAGATAGTTTATTTTTCACCAGTTCCAACTGGTCCCAACTGCTTGAGCGACTAAAGGTTAATTGGTTAGTCTACCAATTATATCTAATCATTTTGGACAAATGTAGTTGCCTTATGCTGAACCAAACTATCCCAGGCAATAAAGGGTTTTTCCTGTCTGTTATTTAAATGGAGGAGGGGGGAAACTGTTTAACTGAACATGCCAGTTTGGATCTGATATCTGCATGAACAGGTTGTTAATATTAATGTTTGATGTTTTATTATTTATTTATTTTAAATGTGTGTTTGAAGCCACCCAGAGTATAAATATTTATTTATTTATTTATTTATTAATTATTATTATTATTATTATTATTATTATTATTATTATTATTTTATCCCTAAGCTCAGTGACAGAGAATGCTATGAGTGCAAAAAAACCCAGGTTCAATCCCTGGCATATCTAGGTATGGATGGGAAAGATTGGAGAGCTGCTGCCAGTCAGTGTTGACATTACTGAGCTAGGTGGACCAATGGGCTGACTTGATATAAGATCACTTCCTTTGTTGCTTTACCAATGAGCTATAGGCTCTTTCATTTTCTTTGGATTGCAGTTGACTATGGTCTGGACAATAACACCATTTACTTATATTGGACCAGGAAAGTAGCTTTCCTCTGCCCAACTGGCTTCCTCCACTCGATTTGTATAGTTATTGAGCTATTGCTGCTGGATTGTAGATAGGAGGAAAGCTGTTCCTCTTACTCTCTACAGCAGGGGTAGCAAACATGTTGCCCCCCAGATGTTGTTGGATTACATCTCCCATCATCTCTGAGCACAGACCATGCTGGTTTGGGCTAACGAGGGACAGAGTCCAGCAACGTCTTGAGGACCACAGGTTCCCCAACATTGCAGAAATGACTGCAAACAGCCTCATAGTGTGTTCATTCTAGAACGCAGGTGGTTCATAGTGCCTTTCCAAATACAGCATCTCTTCCTCTTAGCAAGCCAGCACCTTCAAGTCCTAAGATCCTGCTACTGTACAATGACTTTTTCATTTGAGCCCCAGACAGGAAAGCCCCTGTCAGCCAAGGACAGTGTTTGTGCATGCCACCCGAAAGCTCACAGAATACCAACCTCATTGTAGTAGGGGCTGATCCCAAATTTAATTCTCGTCCTGAACACGTAATCCCCAATAGAGACTTTGACCACCGGCTTGATGTTGTTTTCTTGCAGCTGCCGGCACTCTATTATTCCAACTCGCACCTAGAATGAGAGAGACAACATGTTGGCCACACTCTGAAAGCATCTGTGATCTGTTGTCATAGTCTATGGCCAAAAGGCAGGTGAGCAACACCCAGAATGGAGACATGCTTGGAGAAAGGGCCAAAATAAGAGAACAAAGAGGTGGAGGTGACAAGGGATAGTGGAGCTCAGACTCCAGGATGTAAGCCAGTGGGTAGGAATGGAAGAAGGCAGCATTTTCTGGTTCGCCACGTATATGTCACACGCTCCACTGTTCCACTGCAGTTCATCTTCTGCCCAAGCCTGCATTACTTCTCTCACTATCCACTGCAGTGAAATTACATAACAAATGTAATCTACATAATTAATTAACTGAATTGCATTGTCACTACATTATTACACCCTATTCATTCTGATGCAAAGGATATGTAGTGCAAATGGGGAAGAAACATAATCAATGATGTATCATTGGTGGACTGAAAGCAAAAGCAAATACTGATTGTATTTACTAGACTGATTTATGTCCCAGATATGGGACAAATAAGTGAACACTGACAATTTATGGTCCCACTTCCATTTTTGTTGGAATTCTCTGACATCTTTACTGGTGAGTTACATCCAAGGGAAAATAGTTGAGATAGAAAGAGGAGACTTTATAGCAGCGGAGGCCAACTAGTCATCATCCAGATGTTGTTGCACCTGATCTCCCATTAGTCCCAGCCAGTATGGCTGCAACTGGATGGCATCAGGATGGCAGAGGATGTCTTAAAACAATGATTGTTCCTACATTTTGACCTCAGCAGTTGGACCACCTTACCTGAAAGACTTGCTTCTTGTCGACCAACACTTTCTTGGGTGTGGGCATTGGCGTTGCCTCTTGGATATCTGTTTCCTTTGGAACCAGTTCTTCCGTTTCAGAATCCTTTGCAAAGATGGGGCAGCAAACTGGTGAAGACCAGAAATAACAGTGCTGTAACGTCTATTGTTTCCATAGCTTTCCCCCCTAAATATTTGAAGCAATATAATGCACAGAATCTCTGAAATGATACAAGAATTAATCAAAGGCAAAGAGAAATATTTCCTTCTGGGGATCTCCTGGGGCAATACACACAGGAGTGAAGGTGGTGTTGCTTACATTGCAGCGCAGTCTGCTGCACACACATGAAATGTGCAGACGTACGTATGAAAAACACAGACAAAGTCAGTGGGACCCGTAAGGGGCATAAGAAGGTGAGCAATATAATCTTTGAGCAATATAATTGATAGAAATAATAATACAAAGGCACAGCAATTGTACATAAAAACACAAGCAAAATAGACTCACCTTGTAGGAAAAAAATCAAATAGACTGAAAATATAATTTTCCCTAGGAAGCTAATGAGGTGTTAAGATTTCATTGCTTCATCAAATCATCTTAGAAATGATGACTTTCTCAGGGTTGGCAGTTGAACTTTCTGGTTCAGTATTTAGAGGCCCATCATGGAATGAGGACCCAAGCTTGTGGGCTGGTAATCAATACTAGGTAGGCATCATTCCCCAAGCCAACTGCATACTTACTAAATTTCCTGAAATCATGTTTTTTTGATGGCAGATCTGTTGCAGGTTCTGCAGGGGAAAAGCAGATCTTCACGGTGATGGTACACTGAAATGTTGAGTCAGGTGAATGTGTATTAGTTTGCAAGCAGCTAAAGTGAAAACAATAAGGGGTTCTCAAGCAAACCCCACCTGAAACCTAAAGAAAGCAGCCTGGCCTGCTCACATCCCTAGACCAACAGCCTGAACTGCAGAAATCACTGGGCAAGTTTTTAACAGTATGGATATAAGAATCCTTATCTTCTCATGTCTGCTATAGCCAGTGTGCACCCACACTGTAGATACCAGGCCCCCTAAGAAATATTTGTGGATTCTTCTCTGAATGTTACGTTTTCCTTTAGAAATAATTATTTTAGCTTATCTATGCAGGCTGCTATATTCACTCATGGTAAGGAAGGGTTTTCTCAGGGCAACCAGATGAGAATTTTCTGTACGTCAGATGAACGTCAGCTTCTTCTTAATTTCTTTCAGGCTGCTGGTGTGCCTCAAATATCTTCCACATTGTGAGTTTCGGTTGCCTTTATAATTACTTAGAGGGCTATTAATTTTGTGGATTTATCTGCAAGACTGCCTTCTGCACTTTCTCTCCAGCCACACTTGCTCCGGCCTGTCACTATTTTGGCCATTGCCAGAAAAGTTGCTGGGATGGCTGACAAGCACTGAGGCTCTTTCACAACTGGGTCTATGACTGCTTTTAGCCTTTTACTCTGGGACTGGCATCCTTCACTCACTTAAATTTATGGATAATACAGATCCCATCACCACATAATTGCATTTCAGTGTTTTTATTCTACTTATCCGCCCTGTGGAATGCCCTCCCATCAGATGTCAAAGCGATAAACAACTACCTGACATTCAGAAGACATCTTAAGGCAGCCCTGTTCAGGGAAGTTTTTAATGTGTGATATTTTAGTGTATTTTTGGTTTCTATGGAAGCCGCCCAGAGTGGCTGGGGAAACCCAGCCAGATGGGTGGGGTACAAATAATAAATTATTATTATTATCCTACCTTTATAGACCCAATTTATGGTTTTTGTGTGTGTGCAATAATAAGAAATTGCAGCACTGTCCTGTCCTGTATAGACTGGCAAAATGCTACTGAGGTGTCTTGGGACTCCCGTGCCTTTAAATAAATCCATTTTGCACTTTCCGGCCTTTTTAATCATTTCTGTTCAATTAAAAAGTTGGGCCTACAAAGAGGACATTTTAAATCAACATGGAATGGACTGTCGCTGAATAGACTTGTGAGTAAATATTATAGGAAGATTTAAGTTATGGGAAGAGCATTGCTGGACAATCTAATGCTATCTTTCAGTGCCATGTCCTTCTTCATGACCAGTGTTTACAAACTTCTAAATAAGTCCACTTCAGCAAAGGTCCCTTCTAAGGCTATTTAAAAGCACCCTGTTAATTCTACTTCCAAATAATTATGGAAAAGCAACACCACAGCAGGGAACCCTAGAGGAGAGGCAACCCACATCAGCATTGTTCAAAATCAAGGAATCTAGAGCAGTATTTTCCTATTTGGTGTCTTCCAGATGTGCAGCGAATTCCTATCAGCCCTTGTCAACATAACCGATTCAGGGATGATAGGTGCTGGAGTACAGAACATCTAGAGGGCAGAAGGTTGAGGAAGGCTGATCTAGAGGGAACTCAATGTAATCTTGTCCTGGGCCCACTGCCTCTCACTACCGCTCAGATGGACACCCAGATCCCCTCATCATTCACACACAGACTCCCCTTTCCTGGCATACCCCAGTTGGTTTCAGATTGTCATCCCTCAGTGCCAGGTTCTTGATGTTGATCAAAGTTCTGGGTCTTTCAGAAGCAGCTCCTAGGGCTATGCTAGCAAAGCCAAAATTCCTAGAGTAGGAGATATAAGGGGAAGTCGTCAAGGAGCTTCAAAGCCAGTGCAAAAGTTAGCAGTGTGTTAGAAGGAGACCCCCTTCCCAACATGGTGCCCCCCAGATGTTTTGGACTACAACCCCACAGCATCTATGCTGCCTATGCTGCCTGCGGCTGATGTGAGTTGTAGTCCAAATCATCTGGAAGGTTCCACGTTGGGCAAAGGAGGAAGCAGACAGGAGTCAGACCTCCCAGCCCACCAAAATCCACATCCATCCACAAAGATACAAATATTTTGTAACACGTAAATGGCTGTGACATGCCAGGTTCCCCTGGCAATGTCAAGAAGATGCTAGAGTCAGCTGTTAATTTAATAATAATAATAATAATAATAATAATAATAATAATAATAATTTATTTATTTAAATTATTTAAATAATTTATTTATTTATATTTATTTATTTATTTGAATTATGGTGCTGGAGGAGACTCTTGAGAGTCCCATGGACTGCAAGAAGATCAAACGTATCCATTCTTAAGGAAATCAGCCCTGAGTGCTCACTGGAAGGACAGATCCTGAAGCTGAGGCTCCAATACTTTGGCCACCTCATGAGAAGAGAAGACTCCCTGGAAAAGACCCTGATGTTGGGAAAGATGGAGGGCACAAGGAGAAGGGGACGACAGAGGATGAGATGGTTGGACAGTGTTCTCGAAGCTGCAAACATGAGTCTGACCAAACTGCGGGAGACAGTGGAAGACAGAAGTGCCTGCCATGCTCTGGTCCATGGGGTCACGAAGAGTCGGACACGACTAAACGACTAAACAACAACAATTTATTTATACCCCACCCATCTGGCTAGGTCCACCCACTATCCCCTGGAATTTGATTGCAGTGTGTACCTGAGACATTAAACATGGAGTTTACCCTTTTGTACATCTTTCTTAGTATTGTAATAACTATAATTTGTTATTTGTACCCTGCCCATCTGACTGGGTTGCCCCAGCCACTCTAGGTGGCTTCCAGCATATATAAAAACATAGTAAAATATTAAACCTTAAAAAGCTTCCCTATACAACTCAGCAGTTGTCCAGATGAGAACTGGGGCCATGGTGGGCATGGAGGGGCTTGAACTCTGCCACATGCCTGACAAAAGCCCATGACTTACTTGCACCAGGAAGGAAGCTGCTGTTGTTGCAATGTGTAGCTGCAGGGGGATGGCAAGATTTGTAAAAATTTTAGCAGGGGAGGGAGGGGTTAATACACCAACCCATGCACCATTCCCAATTCTTCTCTCCATCATAGAAGTTGCGTATTTTAATTTTTTTTGGGATTTTATTGTGCTAGCTAAAGGCCATGGCAACATCCAAAGAAGGAAAAGGAAAGAAAAGGAAACAAAAACAAACAAACAAAAACACAGCAGTCTCTAAATACTACGGTTCCATTAGATGGTACACTTCATGTGACCTGCAGTTTTGCCCTGAAGGTAGATGGATCTTCATTCCAGTTTACACAATTAGCAAAAAAAAAAAGAGATAATCCCCCTACTGCTCCCTAGACCTTTGCATGTGTAGAAGAATATACCATATTTGAATACCCCGCCCCCTCAAAAGACACATATACCCCGCCCTCCCCAGCCAAGGCCGGGCTTGTATGCAATTCTGCCTCATATGCCCAATTTTGCAAAACAATTTCTCGTGGCATAATGCATTTTTTTGGTTATATCCCTAATATATACATTACTATGCATACTTTACCCGAGAACATGCATTTCTGTACGCATGACTTAGCTAGAGAATAGCATTGCAAACGGGTCCTTCAACGCTGTATGCAAAGCAAGAATGGTCCCTGACCCCCAGATGCTCCATTTTGGCTTTCTTCTGGTGGCTCACCTGTCAACAGCTTTAGTGCTCCACTCTCGGAGGTGGACAGTCACAAAAGGGTCGCTGTCCAACAACTCTCCATCCAAATACCACACCAGGGTCTGCAGGGAAAGCAAGAAAAGCAGTCAGCGGCTGATGGTGCTAGTCACTCACCTTGCCCTGGACAAGATGGTCCTGGGTGGGTGGTCCTGGCTCCTTTATGATGTGCCAGTTTTGAATGGGAGCTGAGTCATTGCTCAGTTTGTATTGGAAATGTGGTGTCTGCCTGCAAAATGTAGTGCCCAACTTGGTGTTGCTGCTACTGTGGCTATCCTCTAAAGAACCTCTTTGTTTAAGGGGGTGGGGTGGAATGAGGTGAGCAGGAAAAGTGCTATGCTGCGTAAACTGACAGGTTGGCTGGGTTGGAACTGGCTGGTGATGAATCCTTCTGAATTATAATTATAATCATAATCATGATAATACTGGGTCCTTAGCAGATGCTTGATTATTTTGGTTGCTGATACTGGGCCTGAGCAAAAACATATTTTATTTCTGTTTTTTCCTCGGGAGTTGTCTTGTTAATTTTTTTTTTGATACGAGTTCCTAGATTAGTCATTCTTGCTCCTTGGGGTCTCTAGAAGTTTAATCCCAAAGTGCTGGGTAGATGCATCTGATCTCTGAAGCATGTAAACAGGAACAACCACCCAACAGTTGCGATCTGTGGAACTGTCCCTGTCACATGTGCCACAAAATATTCATTCCTTAATTTTATGATCTTTTAGTGTGGCACCACTCACACTTCGGAATTTCTTGCCTCCTCTTTGTGGCTGCTTCAAACATCTTTGTTTAGGCAAGTCTATCCAAACATTTTCTTTTATTGTTTATTAGGTTTTAATAGCTTTAAGCATTTTCAACTGTTTTTATTGTTCCTTTTAATATTCTGAGTAAATCAGTTAAGAGTTTTACTACAATCAAGCAGCTTGCAGTATCTATTTTGTTAAATATAAATGAATGAATAAATAAAAACCCCTTTTCTAGAAGGTCTGCTTGTCTATGGTCAGGTGCCAGGGGGCCTGGATCAAAAACTCCCTGAATCTAGGTTCTGTGCTTACTGCTAGGATGCTTGAACAACAAACCAACATCCCTCTGGGAATCAGGTGGTCTTAGAGGGACAATCACTTGCTCCTGGGTGATGGGAAAGAGCTCACCCAAAGGTTCAACTGCTTTCCCTTATGAGTGAGGGAGACCACCATGCTGGTCAGACTAGCAGTCTTTGGGATGCCCACTTGCACGTTGCACAAAAGAAGAGGGACGCAGATCTGCATCGCTGCTTCATAATGTAGGTTTATGGATGGGAAAAACAGACCACATTGTTTTTAACTATGCTTCATTTTTTAATCAACTCTTGGTCCCCACCCCCCATTCCAAACACATTTTATAAATCTGTACTGCCAATCTTTTAATATCTTTGGTGACACTCTATCTTTGGTGTTATCAAAAACAGGAATTAAATTTCAGGAAGTGCTACCATTTTTAAGGCAGCCATTAAAGGTTCTTTAGCTTTAAACAGGGCAGCCGGCAGTCCTTCAAATGTGTCCTTTGCAGGGTAGGGCACATGGCCTCCCAGGCAGTCTTTCTGCCAGTCTGCTCGTGTTCACACCATACATTTAAAGTGCTATGAAATCTAAATTCAATATCGATATTCTAGAAGGTAAAAATAAAGTACTATCAAAAACATACGATTTATTATTGGATTGGTATACGAAAGACGAAGAGATAAAGGAAGCCATGGTTAAATGGGCTATTGATTTTGGCCATAATATCGATTTTGATGTGTGGCAAGAACTATGGAATGTAAACATGAAATTTACGGCTTGCACTGCCTTAAAGGAGAATTTGTGGAAAATGATCTACAGATGGCATCTAACGCCAGTAAAGCTAGCAAGGATGTATAGAACAAAAAATAAGAAATGTTGGAAGTGTGGAGAGGTGGAGGGTGACCTCTACCATATGTGGTGGACCTGTAGTAAAGTGAAGGGCTTTTGGGAATTAATCTATAATGAACTTAAAAAAATCTTTAAATATACTTTCCCAAAAAGACCTGAAGCTTTTCTACTGGGATTGATTGGAAAGGAAATTGAAAAAAAAGATAAAAACCTCTTTCTATATGCCACGACAGCAGCCAGAAATATGTTAGCTCAGAATTGGAAAACAGACATAATACCGAATATAATGGACTAGCAGGTTAAAATGATGGACTACGCAGAACTGGCCAGACTATCAGGAAAATTAAGAGATCAGGACGAGCAGAAGTTTCAAGAAAATTGGAGTAAATATTTGATGTATATAAGAAACAATTGTAAATCTTTGAAGACACTGGTAGGGTTGGAATAACTCTTACAGCGTGTAGTTGATAATATGATATATAAAGTACGCCACATTAGAATTTTATTTGATACTTACCAAAGAAATGGAGGGAACTCAGAGGCATGACAGAGCCTAAGTTAAATATGCAACCTATATTTGTGTAATTTATGAATGTATGTATGTTTACTGAAAATCAATAAAAATTTAATTTGCAAAAAAAATAAAAATAAAAATAAAGTGCCCATCCCCTGCAAGTCTCCTAGAAAAACTGGGATATCCCCTTTTGTCTTGCAAGAGAATGGCAGCCATTTTGGGTGCTGTGATCTTGTGTGATTTTGTGCCGTGATTCCATCCGAAAAAGCACTTTTTTCAGGGCTGCGATCTTGCGCAGCACCCCAAAACACGTGTTTTTTGGCACAATGCCCCTAATGGCCGCTGTTCTCTTGTGAGAAGGAAGAAGCAGATGGTGTCTGGGAAGATGGCATCCTGGTTTTTACCTTCAAGGAGTTGAGGGCTTCCTCAGAAGCATCATGGAAAGTAGCTGTTAGGAGACCCCTATTCCTCTCATAGAGCTACAATTCCAGGAGTTCTTTTTGAAGAAAGATTGAGTGGTAAACCACACGGAGAACGGCAGTTCTGGGAGGGGAAACAGGGATGCCCTCAGAACTCTCAGCACCCTTAACAAACTACAGCTCCCAGAATTCTTTGGCAAAACTGTGACAGTTTATAGCACTTTAAATGGATGGTGTGGCCACAGACAAGTGACTGAGGCCATCAACAGGATTAAAGAGTTTACCTCATTCCAGACGGGATTCTGTTCCTTCTGCACAACTCTGGTGTCCCTGTGAATATCTAAAGGGGTGGGGGGACACTCTGTCAATGAATATGACTAGCATGGGTCTCCTTGCTCAGTACACCTGACAAACAGCCATGTCCATGGATCATCCCTGTGTTCTTTTGAAAGAAACCACATCCATTCCCAGGGAGCCGACTGGCCTCTGGCCGCATTGGGTTGTATTCAGAGTAGCTCTGAATAACAAGTCCACTCAGTACACGGATTTCCACTAGCACCGTGGGATTTCCTCCTGGTTTTCTCTTCTGTGTCCCCCCTAAACCTGTTTTAGGGAGCAGGAGCAGATTTGGGGCAGATGAGTCTTGTTGCAAAAGTGGAAGTCCTTGTGTTGGTTGAAGACTGCCCATTCTGTCCTAGTGTTTGGCAGACCCCAGGATGGAAACAAAGTTATACCCAACGAGGATTCCAACTCACAATAATGCACACAAGACCCGGAACTTTGTAAAAATGTAGTGTTGTGCACACCCCAGTCTCTCTGAGCAGCAAGAATCCCAAAGTTCAGCTTTGGGTCCAGCACAGAGAAAGAGCTGCTTCTGGGTCTCTAGCTTCCAGTATCAGCTAAAACCTTCTTTAAAAAATGGTTTTTTTTTAATGGACAGGGCAGTTTGTGAGAAATTTAGCAAAGTAATGCCAAAGCAACATTTTGTCCACCACCTTGTTTCACAATAGTGCCCTGTGTCCAGGCATCAAGAAAGGCAGCCTCTGCCACCTCAGGAACCCGCATGCCAACTTTGGCAATAGAGCAATTTGTGTGAGATGTGGGAAAAGGTGGGATATGAATGGCAATGAATCAATCAATAATCAAACATTTATTGGCCTCTTCTCTCTTTTTTCCTATACCTCGGAATAACTGCTAGCAGAATTTGGACACTGCTTTAGACACTTGTACCATGGTGTTACCTTTGTGACCTTCAGTTCATGGGCTATTACCTTTAGATATGTAGTTTTATATGACAATAATCTACCATATTGGGAAACTTCATTCCTCCTTCAGCTCCGTCATTAGAGCTTTTTTCAAAGGTTGCCATGGGAACGCTGGCTTTTTTATTATTATTCCACACAAAGTTTGAAAGTAGTTCTTGCCAGTTCAATAATAGCCCTTTGTCATTCTTTATAATGACAAGTAGAAAAAGCATCCTAGAAATTATAGTCATTTTTAATACCGCTTCTTAACCTAACCATGAAAGATCAATCTGGGACTATTGTTTAAAATCTTCTGTCGCTGCGGCCATCATTGGTTCATAATTTATTTTTAAAGCAGTGCTTTGCTTATGCTCTTTAAACTTCCTTTTACAGGACTAGCAGGATTGCAAATGAGATCTAGAAGTCTGACTAGCTCAAGGGAGAGGGAGTTCACTTGCATGTAAATCAGCAATAATCAGAGATGAATGTAATCTGTGTTTTAAACATGAAAATGACATTTTTGCTCCTAAGTTCCTCCACATAGGGATGCTGGTGGTGCTGTGGCCGATTGGAAGGTTGGCAGTTTGAATCCCTGTAACGGAGTGAGCTCCCGTTGCTCTGTCCCAGCTCCTCCCAACCTAGCTGTTTGAAAGCACGCCAGTGCAAGTAGATAAATAGGTACTGCTGTGGCAGGAAGGTAAATGGTGTTTCCGTGCGCTCTGGTTTCCGTCACAGTGTTCTGTTGCACCAGAAGCAGTTTAGTCCTGCTGGCCACATGACCCGGAAAGCTGTCTGTGGACACTTGGCCTGAAAGCGAGATGAGCACCACAACCCCATAGTCGCCTTTGACAGGACTTAACTGTCTGGGGTCCTTTACCTTTTTACCTTTTGCATCAGCCTTCATCAACCTGTTGTCCTCCAGGTGTTTAGGACTACAACTCTCATCAATCCCAGTCAGCAAATTGTAGTTTGGACACCTGGAGGGCCCAGGTTTGATGAAACACAAAGCTGCCAGACCATCAGTTCATCTAGTTCAGGGTTGTCCACATGGATTGACAGTGGCTGTTCCTTTCACCTGATACTGGAGCTTTTTAAAATGGGGGATGCCAGGGACTGAGTCTGAGACCAACTGCTTTCAAAGCATAGGCTCTGCCACTGAGATGTGGCCCCTTCCCACACTCCAGATGTGTGACAAGAAAAGCTGGTTGTTGGTTGTTGTTGTTTTAAAAAAAACCCTGTATTATGCAAACAGCACATTTGAACAATCTCTCCTCAAACCTTTTACCACCCAGATGTCACCCAGCTGTTTCTCTGGGTGCTGGGATTCTATCTGGCTGTTTCCCCACACTTTCCAGTACATGTTTGCACAAGGCCAGCCCAATACATTTTGACACCTGAGCTGGATCTCAAAATGGCACCTCCCTCCCCGCCAGGAGGGGAGGGAACAAAGAGCGAAGAAAGATTGACATCAGGATCTCCTGCCCTGATGAATCTTGCTGCCAGAGGCAGTCACTTCACCTTGCCTCGTGGGTGGGCTGGCCCTGTGTTTGCAGTCTTAAGGTCTAGAATCTTTGTTGCAAGTAATCAAACTGAGATTCTTAGCAAGCTGAATTCTGCAGCTAACACAATATTCAGACGTCCCATGGTAACATGACTTACTTATAACCTTGACAAGAATACAATTGTTCAAAGGCAAGTGGAACTGCATTATTGCTTTACCTCTGAAGGAACCAGTCACATACGTATCAGGGCGATCTTCCTGTTCAAGCTGTAAATGAGCAGACATAACAAAAACACGCAACATCTTGTGCAACCTCCTGCTTTCCCCTCTATTTCTGAAAAAAAGCTGATGATGATCCCTTTTGGTTATTTGCCAGGGATCTCTTAAACTATAGATGTCCCCTTAAGTCTCCCTCTCTTTCTCCACTGTTAATAGTCTGCTAATGAGGACCCCAAACCAATCCAATGGTTGATTCCAAAAGCCCCCTTTAAAGCCTGTCACTCAATTTTCCCATTTCAAAGGGAATGGAGCCTTCTTTAGCATGCAGATCTAAGGATGGTTGACATCATAAAGGAGAAAAATGGAAGGAAAACTTATAAAAAGTGAGGTCACAATAGGAAGGCAATAAATATTCCATATGTGAACTGCTCTAAGGATGTAACTTTTATGCTTTTAACTTCCTGTTTGGCTGCCATGGCGAATGGCTGTGCCCATAACAGCAGAGCCCTTTTGTGCGAACAATGAGGATAATATGGGAGTAATTATCCTCCCCAAACTGGTTGCAAAAATAAATGAAAACAAAATGAAGGATTAACATCGGAATGGTTTATTGACTAATTAAGATGATCAGCACTTCGTGAAATTCAGAGCATGGGTCACCCAAAGATATATAATTTGCCACCTATATCTGGCTTTTTTATTGTATTGTAATTTGGAATGTTTTAATGTGGTTTTTATTGGATTATTAAAATGGAAAACTTAATATTATTATTATTTTTAAATAAAGCTTTTAAACTATTTGGATTGGCTGAAAAGGTCCCCTGAATGGTCACATTGTGTGTGTGTGTGTGTGTGTGTGTGTGTATATGTGTGTGTGTGTGTACACACACACACACACACACACACACAACCTTGTAGAATTTACATAGCCAACCTCAGAAGAGGGAAGTGACCCTTTTAAGATTATACCTGCTGTGACATTTAAATGAAGTAGACATTTCCCCTCTTATAATTATCGCTTTTATCTTATGCAAATATGATCAGTCAGTTGACTAAAAGCCATGTGATTAATGGACTTAGGACTGAACTATGCATCAAGTCGGCTGTACCCTTTGGCCTTTTTAAACCTTAAATGGGAACCTGGGGAGGAGGGTGCTGATCAGGAATCTCAAGTAGGATCTTAGGCACCATTTCCTGTTCTGCCCTGTGTTTGTTGCATTCCACTGTAGTTCCTCTTCTGCCAAAAAACTACTTGCTGGCTGCTGCAGCACAATTGTAATTGCATTATTCTGCTCCATTCATTTCAGTGCAAAGGAAACACGGTGCAAATGACTCAATCAGTCGTGTATTATTTGTGGACTGAAAGCAGCAACAGTGAATACTCACTGGACTGATTTCTGTTCTGGATGTAGGATGAACCTGAACATAAGAAGAACCTCGTGGATCAGGCCAATGCTGCGTCTAGCCTAGCTTCTTGTTCCCAGTGGCCAGAAAACTGGCAAGCAGGACCAGGTGGCACAAGCTCTCCCTCCTCTCCTGTGGTTTCCAGCAACTGGTATCCAGAAGCATCGTTGCCTCTGCCTGTGGAGACAGAGCCATGGGAACACCAGCATTTTCCACTCTGGTTTCTGTCTTCATCAGAATTCTCTGACATCCCTAATGTCAGGTCTTTCCCACCTGATCCTTTTAGATATCAGGCATGGGTTGCTGGTGGTCACTGTTGGGGGCTCTCGGGGCAGAGGTCAGAGCAACAGAAAACATACCCTCCAACATTTCACCAGTGAAAACGGGGAGATCATTTTCCATAATAATAATAACAATAATAATTTTATTATTTATGCCCCACCCATCTGACTGGGTTGCCCCAGCCAATCTAAGCAGCTTCCAACATATATAAAAAACATAGTAAAATTTAAAACATTTTAAAAATTCCCCATATAGGGCTGCCTTCAGATGGCGCATAACTCCATGCCCTCCAACATTTCTCTAATGAAAATAGGGACAACCTAAGGAAAATCTGGGATCAAATCAGAAACTGGGATGGCTTCTGTAAATCTGGGGCTGTTCTTGGAAAACAGGTCTGCAAAAAGTAGACAGAGCCAGGAATAACAAAAGGCAGAGGTAATGGTAGGCAGAGGAAGCCTCAGTGAATTTTGGCCTCAGCAGAATTTAGCCAAGGAGGTTCTTAGCTCAGGTCCCTGCCGATACTTACATCAGCTGACATAGAGCCTTATGGTGGAGTGCAGTGCAGGCAATAATCATCCCGGCCTGGAATGAAACAAACTGCTGGCCTGTTTTTTGTTGCAGCGTTTTGCCACAGCTGTTGCACATCAGTCAAAAGTGCCGCCCAGGTGCATTTGCAATGCTGTGGGTGGGAATCTATTGAAACGGAAACAGAAAGGAGTGACAGGTTCTATGACTCTGTGAGGTTTAATGGAGGGTGTCAAATCTAATTGGACCTGTTCCTGATGGTTCTGTATGCTGTCAACAAGGCATTCAATTAAATCAAGGGAATAATAATCCCTTGGTAGGTGCTGTAGAGAACTGCAGTTTCCCCAGCAAAAGAGAAAAGTCTTGGTTGTGCCCCCTCAAGGACATAAAGTTGTGGAAAGATGTGGAGCTGGACTACTTTAGTGCCTAAGGAAGAAAATCCAGGTGGCCCCCTCCCTTCCCACTAGTTGATAAGGGGCATGATTCACCAGGCTGGGGGGGGGGGTTGTCTCTGCCCACCCCCACCCCCCAGGTGCACCAGTGTGAGCAGACCCAACCTACTTGCAGGAGTGCCTGCTTGCTTGTCCCATTGGTTTGGACCTGAAAAATACAAATGACCGTGTCCTCCCTGATCTTCAAAAAGAGGGCAAAGGGTGCTGAGACAACTTTCATTGTGCCTAGTCGTGTATGTTACATCTCTGCTTTGAAGCACTGAACTGTGTAACCTGTATGTTTAGGCCATGTAGTGACTTGTGTAATAAAGCCTTGGGGAATAACTGAGCCAGGAGTCTGAGTCCTATGCCCACAAAAGGGAGCAAGGACAGGGAGGGGGTAAGGCAGGAGGCCAACAGTAGGTGGCACCAAAGCCAGTGACAGGCAGAGCCAACTAATTCTAGCTTTGTCTCCCTTCTCCTTCCTGCTGAGTTCTTTGTGGGCAACAGTGACACTAAGGAAGAGGAAGTTTACAGGCAGATTATATGTACGAAGGCAGGAAGCTGGGGCTGGTTGTTCTGCTCTCTCTCAATGGCAATGTTTTCCTTGCACAATGCAAGAAAGAAGTGCACCCAACAAGGCAGATTCCTTTAAATGAATGCTTTTGATGAGGAGAGTTTTAAATCTATTGGCAATGGCAAATGGATTAATGACGCCATGCCTTACACAACTGGGGGTACAGCAGGAAAAAACCATATCCAAAGCAGTTTCACATGGTCTTTCACCTATAACTGCTTTCCTGTAAAAGAACAGTCCAACTTCAGTGATGATTATCTGGAAAGTGATTTTACACATTGTGCTAAGATTCACCCAGTTTTCAAGCTACAATAATTATGCAATCATGTCATGGCGGTTAAAATTAAGACAGAGATAGAACAGGGAAAAGAGCACTTTAAACCAAAAAAGGCATTCTTAAGCATCAAACACTGAGGTTTTTAATTCTCAAAGTGAAATGAAATGTATTCTGTAATTAGTGGAGCTGTACATCTATTTCAGTCACTCCAAGCCCTTCCCATCCACCAATCAGGTATTATATTTCAACAAAGCAATTTTCAAGGGAAAGACGGCCAGTATACTACAAACAGGAGCAATGATGTAAAATTACCCCCCCCCCCGCTTTCTTCCTTTTGGTCAACTTTTTTAAAAACAAGCACCCAGTCTTCATTCATTCTATCATAGAATGTTGCAGGAGTGAGAAGCAACTGCTGTCCTTTCCAACTGTGCCCCAGATTGCAGCCCATTTACTTTGCTCCACAGAATTCAATGGGGGCCACTGAGATCCAAGCCAGCCCCTCCTCACATAAGGTAAAGGTAAAGGGACCCCTGACCATTAGGTCCAGTCGTGACTGACTCTGGGGTTGTGGCACTCATCTCACTTTATTGGCCAAGGGAGTACAGCTTCCGGATCATGTGGCCAGCATGACTTAGCCGCTCCTGGCGAACCAGAGCAGCACACGGAAATGCCGTTTACCTTCCCGCCGGAGCGGTACCTATTTATCTACTTGCACTTTGACGTGCTTTCGAACTGCTAGGTTGGCAGGAGCAGGGACCAAGCAACGGGAGCTCACCCCGTTGCGGGGATTCGAACTGCCGACCTTCTGATCGGCAAATCCTAGGCTCTATGGTTTAACCCACAGCGCCACCCATGTCCCTCTTCACATAGTCTTTCCCTTATTTTTCACATAGTCTTTCCCTTATTTTCCTGTGCAGGTCATGTTCCTGTAGTTTGTAATCCATGAAATTTGGGTGGATTACTAATTCAGTTCCCTTGTATTACCAGAATGTATTAATTTGGAAAGTATATAAATTTTGACGTTTCTCATCAAAGCCCTGAAGTGACCCCATGACGAAAATAGACACCTGCACCCACTGTATTAACTCTGCAAGGGACTTTTTTATGTGTTCTTATGACCTACTGGTGGCGGAAGGAGCGAGCCACATTCCAGTGAGTGAGCCTGTGCCTGGCTGTAATACTAGTGTTAGCCTGCTCACTGGTCAGAGCTGAAGGAGCTGAAGGGCAGAGTGATTAGGAGAGGTGGCTGGGGAAGATGAAACAGGTTTGAAAAGGCAACTGAAACCAGCTTAGGTAAGATTGCTTAACAAAACAATTGGGAATTTTTTTAGAGTAAATGAAGGGATTTCATTCTGCTGAAATTCATCACTTACAACTTTAAAAAGGGACACATGTAATTTTTACCTGTGATCTCTGCTGTGGTTGATCTCAAATACTGTGGACATATATCTTATTCAGGTATTCATCTCTTAAAAGTGTTAGGAGAGGAATTAAATTTTACATTAAAAGGAAACTGAAGGAAAATAGAAAATCAAAGAAGACTTAATCCTAATAACACAGGGACAGTAAATTGTACACAGATGATGGTCCTTGAGAAAGTCACGCAAAAAACAGTTTAGCCAAGAAAATTTAAACTGAAAACTCAGAAAAATACCAAGATAAGATTGCCATGGATGGAGAGAGAGATAGGTAAGTTGAAAACTTGCTAGAAAGGCAAAGAAAGCATTTTGAAGATGAAGCTGCTGATGGCGACTGGAGAGGGACTGCTCAGGGACACAGCAAGTCCAGGATCCTGTGGGAAAGTGCTTTCTCTGAGGGATGTTGCTGAGAGTGGCTAGAGGGGTGGATTAGGACCTGGGAGACTAGAGTTCAAATCCTCCCTCTGCCATGAAGCAGCTCTCTATCTCTCAGCCTAACCTACCTCACAGGTTTGTTGTGAGGATCAAATGAGGAAGCAGACTAGAAGATCAACTCCACTCAGCCTTTCCAGCAGAACCTGCAAGATTACGAAAAGAGATGGGAAATGGAGCTCCAAAGGTAACTATGGAACAGGCCAGGCAAAATTACCCCTCATGCGTAACGTGGCTCTCTGGCGCTAATACCCAAGGTTTGGGGATTTCATCTTCTTTTTTTGCTGCATAGCTCGGGCAACACAAAGCGTTGACTCTCTGCAAAAAACCCTGGATCCTCCAGCACTGAAGGTAAGAGGTTTGAAATACCCAATTTAAAAGCCGATCTAGCAGTCAGCTTCCTTTGCCAGTAACTTTGCAGCCGGAAACTAGCGTTGCAGTTGAAGGAAGGTAACTATTCAATACTTTTCAGAGGTGGCGAGAGGTTGCGGCAAGCCCCTTTGCGCCCTGTTACCATAAAGGATTCTTCTGCATATGCTCATCTTAAAATGGAGCCTTCAACTTTGGAAGATGTCTCCAATGTGTCCTGCAAGTGGAGGATTCCAGTGGAGGTAGAACGAATGCTAGGAGGTTATAGAGTTCAACTGAAAGGCCTGGCCTTTCTTCCAGCAGCAATGACCAGATGACATAATAAATGGGAAACGGACGTCAAAAGGTAACTATGCAACAGGGCAGGCCAAACTATCAACGATACGTGATGTGGCTGTGGGAGTAATCACTCTAAAATCAGGGCCTAGGATTTCATTGACAAATGCATTAAGGGGTGGATTCTGCTGTATCCCTCAGCGCTCCATGTGCGTCCCTCCCCAAGCGGCGCGCTCGGTGGAAGAGGACGACCATCCCAGATCGAAGGAGGGTCCCCTTCTTCGGTCAAGGGCATGCGATAGTTGCGCTCCCTTGCTAGAACCTGCAAACCTTTGGCTAAGCATCTTCCAAGAACACCATTTGAGACATAGTGCACCATTGCCTTACTTGGATGTGTCTGGAGTCTTGGAAGCTGGACTACCCTACGTTCTCCTACAAATGGACCTTCAGGGGTTTGCAGCTTCGAGCAGGGGAGCGCAGCTCTCGTATACCCTTGACTGAAGAAGGGTACACTCCTTCGATCTGGGATGGTCGTCCTCTTCCACCGAGCGCGCAGCTTCGGGAGGGACACACATGGTAACTAGAAAGTCCTCTTGAATTTGAAGAGGCGGTGACAGGCTCCGATACCTCCCAAGTCAAGCCAAAACGCTACATCACAATGATAGCAGCAATATAGATGGAGACATTCCGCCTGAAGGACATTTAGGTGAATATCCCTTTCTTGGCTGGGAAGAAAATTTGTATTGTCTTCCTTCTGCAACTTTTTGTGCTAAGACTCTTTCAGGTGGCGGTGACTGAGTCGTCAGAAGAGGCCCTATTCGGTGTCAACACAATGAAGCTCACCTGCAGGCAGGAGAACACTTCTTCTTTTGTTCCAGCTCTTTGCAGATTCTTGCCGAAAAGTCAAATAAAGCATTTTGAGGAGCAAGCTGCTGATGGCGACAACTGGAGAGTGACTGCTGTCAGACACATGAAGTCACACTTCAAATGGACAAAGAAAATGGTGAGCATTGAGCAATCTTCCCTCTTTCCACATTAAGATTAATTGCAGAAATTGAATCTCATCTCTCTGTACTGCCTTGTAGATCATTGGCCTTGTAGATCAAAAATCGCAGTCAAAATGGTATTCCATGGTTGAATGACATTTAGGTGAGTATCCCTTGCTTGGCTAGGGAGGTAATATGTATGGTGTTTTGTATGCAACTGTTTGTGCTATCACTCTTTCACGTTGCAGGGAATCAGTCGCAGAAGTCAAAACCTTTAGCAGCAGATTTCTTCATAACTCTTAAGGGTTGTTTTTTTCCACGAGACAACATTTGCAGAGTGTTCTCTCAGGTTTTGCTTTTTGCCTTGTTGCATCACTCAAAAAACAGAGCAAAAGGCACCAGTGGTTGTCACTCCTGGTTCCCAGGATGGGATTAAAGTCCCTGCAGTGTTCTTGCTAACTTCCAAGGAAACTATCATGCCCCTCAATTTTCTTTCTTTTTTTTTTAAAAATAATTTTTTATTAAGGTTTTAAACAAAGAAAAAAGAAAAACAACACACACAAAAAACAATACAAAACTTAACAATAAAAACATAAAACATAACAATTAAAAACAAACTCTCTTTTCCATTTCCAATTTTAAATTACTTATTTTCTGGACTTCCTCATACCTCCCTCTTTTGTATTCCAATCCACATTATTTGTCCAGCAGTTTCTTTTCCACTTTTTATCCCAATCTTTAATTTAATAAAATGTTAAAATATATAACTTCAACTTTTTAAACCTAATCCTTACTCTTAATGTCATATAGCTTTAAATTTTTCCCTTTTATTATCAAATTTCCATTTCTTTAAACATCTTTAATCTTAATCTTTAATCTTAATCTATCCTTAACTTTAACCTGTACAGCTGGAAACCACTTATTTTCAATCCAACATCACTCTAACATTCCTTAATTTTGCAGTGTTTCTGAAGATAGTCTTTGAATTTCTTCCAGTCTTCCTCCACCAACTCTTCTCCCTGGTCACGGATTCTGCCAGTCATTTCCGCCAATTCCATATAGTCCATAAGTTTCATCTGCCATTCCTCCAGCGTGGGAAGTTCTTGTGTCTTCCAATACTTTGCGATGAGTATTCTTGCTGCTGTTGTTGCATACATAAAGAAAGTTCTATCCTTTTTTAACACCATTTGGCCCACTATGCCCAGGAGAAAGGCCTCTGGTTTCTTGGGGAAGGTATACTTAAATACCTTTTTAATTCATTATATATCATTTCCCAGAAAGCCTTAATCTTTGGGCACGTCCACCAAAGGTGAAAAAATGTACCTTCAGTTTCTTTACATTTCCAACATTTGTTATCGGGCAAGTGATAGATTTTTGCAAGCTTGACTGGGGTTATGTACCACCTGTATATCATTTTCATAATATTCTCTCTTAAGGCATTACATGCCGTGAATTTCATACCTGTGGTCCATAACTGTTCCCAGTCAGCAAACATGATATTATGTCCAATGTCCTGTGCCCATTTAATCATAGCCGATTTTACCGTTTCATCTTGAGTATTCCATTTCAGCAGCAAGTTATACATTCTTGACAAATTCTTAGTTTTGGGTTCTAACAATTCTGTTTCTAATTTGGATCTTTCCACCTGGAAGCCAATTTTCCTGTCCAATTTAAATGCCTCCATTATCTGATAATAATGAAGCCAGTCTCGCACTTTGTTTTTTAGTTTTTCAAAACTCTGCAATTTCAGTCTATCTCCGTCTTGTTCCAAAATTTCCCAATATTTCGGCCATTTGACCTCCATATTAACCTTTTGCAAGGCTTTCGCTTCCATTGGTGACAGCCACCTTGGGGTTTTGTTTTCTAACAAATCCTTATATCTTAACCAAACATTAAATAGCGCTTTCCTATGCATGCCATCCAAATACATTATTGAAACCTTCCAAGTCCAAAATGTCAGTGTTTTCAAGAAGTAGCCATTCTTTCAACCAGCAAAAGGCTGCTGATTCATAATAAAGTTTGAGGTCTGGCAGGGCAAATCCACCTCTTTCCTTTGCATCTGTTAGTATTTTAAATTTTATTCTAGGCTTCTTGCCCTGCCAGACAAATTTAGAGATATCTTTCTGCCACCTCTTGAAACAATCCATTTTGTCCACGATCTGCAAAGTTTGAAACAAGAACAACATTCTAGGCAATACATTCATCTTTATCGCAGCAATACGGCCTAGCAGTGAAAGCTTCAAATTTGACCAATTTTCTAAATATTTTTCACTTCTTACCAACATTTTTAATAATTATCTTTAAATAAATTCCCATTTTTGCTGCCATGTTAATCCCCAGGTATTTAACTTTCTTAACCACTGTTAAACCTGTCTCATTCTGAAACCTCTCTTTTCAAACGGTGTTAAATTTTTCTCTAGAACCTTGGTTTTTGACTTGTTCAATTTAAATCCTGCCACTTGACCAAATTCTTGAATCAGTTCTAAAACCCTTTTTGTACTAGATTCTGGCTCCTGTAACGTCAATACTAAGTCATCTGCAAATGCTCTCAATTTATAATGTTTAATTCCGACCTGCATGCCCCTCAATTTTCACCTATACCCCTCACTTCCCAAACTATTAGCATGGGAGGTTTTTTTGGGTAGTGATTTCAGTGATTAAGCTTGGTTCTGGAATCCACCATAGCATCTAAGGACTAATTCAAGCCACCTTTGCTCTGTGCCTGCTGCTCTAACATCCCAGGTAGGCAGGTATTTAATTTCTATACCGCTTTATATTTTTAAGAAATATCTCAACACGGTTTACAGATTGGTCTTTTTGGGAATACTACCAGTCAGCTCCTGTTTTCAAATGGGTCAGTGGCTGCTAAAATGTTAAAGGAAAATACCAGTTTACCATCTTATATAGATCAGCCTTCTGCTCAGGGCCGTAGCTAGAGGGTGGCAAAGTGGGCCCCCGCCAGGGGCACAGGCAAGGAGTGGGCAAAATCAGCTTTAAAAATGTCCATAAATATGTCTATAAATTAATTGATTATTGCCTCATAAGGAAAGGTTTTTAATAGGTGACTTGAATGGGTTGGGGGGTGGAGGAGAGGCGGAAAGAAGAGCTACAGTAATTTGTCCGTGGTGAGGGGGCGCAACCTGGATGGTTCCCCCAGGGGCGCAAGATCACCCAACTATGGCTCTGTTGACAACAGACCAATCTTAGTTGAGCAGGGCTACCTTTGTCCTCATAGACTAGCCTCTACCAGCTTAGATGCAGATGGTGGTATATTTCTTGCAAATGTTTCTCTGTTTATTGGTGCTTTTGCAGCTCAATCCCACTAAGTAGCCATCTTTTTTATTTTATTTTTAAAAAATGACATTGGTTGCTTTTTAACAACAGCTCTCATTTAACTTCCTCTCTCATTGCCTCCACATTTGGGGGGAAAGCGTCCCCTGCTCAGTTGTTTCTTCTTCTTCTTCGAAAGGTTATTAATTTTTTTTAAAAAAGGGGAAATTCAAACAACATTGAACTTACCAATACAAAAGGGGAAGAAAAGGAACACTAGAATGGGTAAAAAGGAGCAGAAGAAAAGGGAAAATAGTTTAAACAAAAACAACGAGACAATAACCCCCACCCACAAACACATTGAAAAGGCTGTAGGATATTATAAAATAAAAAAAAACACAAATGCAAAATACATACTAACATATAGCACTTAAGAACAGTTTCAAACAACCCTCACCCCAATAAACAGCACCCTCCCAAGTTAAAATCCCACCCCCATTCAAACCAGAATTTTAGCCAAGGGGGCTGGCCCTGGTTCCTGTCAGTGTTTGGGGAGGGGGGGAAGGAAAAAGGTTCTGACCTCCTTTGCCTGGTCCTCAGACCTTAGTCGGAGTCTGTAACCTGAAGCGTCTGTAACCTGAGGTACCACTGTAATTGATTTGTATGTAAGGTGCTCAGGGAGTACAATAGATCCCCAATAAATAATCCTGACAGGAGTTTACAGTACTGATGGCATGCCAATGGTGTCAGAAGCCCAGCTGGAAATTTGCTGTATGTATCAGTGGCTCAGACTGTTGAGGATTGAAGCTTAGCTTCACTGATTAATCCAAATATCTACAGGACTTAAATGTTCATATTTTACCACCATTTGGAAATTTTGCTCTCCACAACCCCACCAGTCACTCTCTTTTGGGAGAGAAAAAGCTTATAACGTATTACACAGTCATTGCAATTACAGCCCATATTTCACAGCCTCCTCCTCATGTGAAATGGCATATATAATTGCACAAATTACTTTGCTGTCTGTGCCGCTGATGTCAGAACCCACCACTGTGGCTCGACATTCTATTATTAATGCTCAGCGACTTGTTAGTATTTGAGAGTGGGCCAATTCCATTCACACTGCACGCCTCTTCCACTAGCATTGTAATATCTAGCAGCTGGAAAATGAAGTTTAAAAGAAGTACTGGAGGGGGATTGAGATCATTACTGCTGCTAGTGATTCTCTTGCAATGTCCTTTTGATTTGGGCATCATGTGGGCAAAATGCAGAACCTTGCTTTTTTCTCACATTTGCTGCAATCTGGGGTGAGGACAGGTGAGAAGAAGGTGTGAGAATGGAGCTGTAAATAAAAACAGGCCTTGTGGGTCACATTCAGATCCACAAGCACACTGTTTGAGCATAAAAAAGAGTAGGCACATGCGCAGTGGAGGAGTCCCTCTCCAAACACCCTGCCCTGGATGCATCCAGAACAACATCTATGTCTGGGTTGTAGAGTGAATGACATTTCTTGTGGCATTAGGCCCTGGTACCAGAAATCTATCCCACAATGAGGCCACAATAACTGTCATTGATCCTACATTGATCCAAAAAACCAAAGTGCTGCACCAACAGGCACAAAACAACCCCTCTGCAGCGCCACAAATCCAACTCAATGGTGTAACATTGGAAAATGTCAGTCACTTCTCCTACCTGGGCAGTTACCTTTCCACAAGAGCTGACACTGATGCCGAAATCCAACATCGCCTGAGCTCTGCAAGTGCAGCTTTCTCCTGATTGAAGTGCAGTGTGTTTGAGGAGCAGGACATTCGCAGGGAAACCAAAATGCTTGTTTACAAAGCTATTGTACTACCAACCTTACTCTATGCTTGTGAAACATGGACCACTTACAAACACCATCTCCAACTCCTCGAAAGATTCCATCAATGGTGTCTCCAGAAAATTTTACACATCACTTGAGAAGACAGGCAAACTAATGCCAGTGTACTGGAAGAAGCAGAGATCACCAGTGTTGAAGCAATGATTCTTCAACATCAACTTCGTTGGAATGGTCATGTTGTTCGGGTGCCTGATCATCTTCCAAAGCAACAACTCTATTCTGAACTTAAAAATGGAAAGTTTTTTAAAAGAATTTTAAAGACTTCCTCAAGGCAAATCTTTAAAAAGTAATATAAACGCTGACAACTGGGAAACACTGCCCTCGAGTGCTTCAATTGGAGAACAGCCTTTACCAAAGGTGTCATGGACTTTGAAGATGCTCAAACTCAGGAAGAAAGGGAGAAACATGCTAAGAGGAAGACCTATGTTTGGCAAACCCTCACTGTGATCAACTTCCACCTGGAAACCTATGTCCCCACTGTGGAAGGATGTGTGGATCCAGAATTGGCCTTCACAGTCACCTACTCACAGACTTACTGTCACCTACTCACAGACTCACTGTTAAAACCGTGTTCATGGAAGACAATCTTACTTGGCTACAAGAGATCACCAAAGAAGAAGATTGATCCTACACCGCAGGATTAGATGCTGCTCAGGACATATTCATAGGCTGAAATGCTGAGCTGAGCTAGTAGAGTCAAATGCAAGAGAGTCTGCCTTCACAGCACTTAACCAACATGTTATGCAATGCAGTTTGGTTTGTTCTAGGATGCTTCGTTCTGAGAAAGCCTGCTTTCATTGTTTACAAAATCTTGACAAAGATGGAATTGATCAGCAGTGAAGCAAACATCAGTTTTCAAAGCAGAAGGGAAAGAGAAGTTCTGACTTAAAAGCAAGAGGTTGCTGTTTGTTTGTAATATGGACTCCATCAAATAAAATTGGCCTACAAGGAAAAGGCAGCAGGGTAGTGGAAATTGTATACTGTAAAAAAAGAGAAAATTTTCAAAGTGCTGTCACAATAGAAACCATGATCAAAGGAAAACCAAACCTTCTGCTGCAAAACAACAGTTTGTTTTTGTTCTAGCCTATTGTGAATGAATCTCCCACAGAACTTTTATGATGGCTTTCCGTATTCTTATATATTTGGTTTAATTTCAAAGGCGGAGGTGAGAGTGCAAAACCCACCATCTAACTAACTGAGGTCTAATGAACTCTGAGTTCCTGTCTAGGATTCGTCTACTCCTGCAGCCAGTCTCTGTCCTATCCCCTCCCTTGGGGGTCCCAGTCCTGGCTTGAGGAAGACTGTGATTCAGATGATGCACCAGTCACTCCACTCAAGGGGGAGCCTCACCACCCCATCCTGCATTGCTCTGGTCTGATGCTGTTGCTCTTCCATCATCCTCCGAGCATGTATTCTTGCAGTCCCTCCTGCCCCATACTCTAACTGCATGAAGAAATGCTTTCTTTTATGTGTCCCGAATCTTCCAGAATTCAGCTTCAGTTCTAAAGGTAACGGTAAAAAGGCTTCAGCATCTCTTCCCTTGGAAAGTTGTGGACTCTGGTTCATTGGAGGCTTTTAATCAGAGATTGGACGGCCATCTATCATGGATGCTTTAGTTGAAATTTCTGCATTGCAGGGGGTTAGAATAGATGACCCTGAGAGTCCCTTCCAACTTTAAAATTGTATACTTCTGTGATTCTATGATATGCTATGGTGAATCTGAAGAAAACTATTGAGGAAGGAAGGTCGGTTGGAGTGTTAATGCTGTGAACCTTACATCTTCTGCTCAATCTGTATGTAGGCATAAGTAAAGGCACATCACACTGCTTTTGATGCAATTTGCACTCATATCTTTCTACAATGGGAAAATAACAGTGTACTTTATCCAACATACATTTCCAAAGCAGCTTCATCATTTGTTTTGCAGGGATCTGTGTTTAGTTGTTGTTTTTTAAGCTCCTAACTCTTTCCAAGAAGAGGGCCAGCAAATGAATGAATTAAAGCAGATTCTTCTCTGCATGCAAGCTAATGTTCTATGTGCAAGTGCGTCAGGATCTGATCAGCATATGATGCAAAGCTGGGTGGCAAGTGTGTTAATGACCTAGAAGTATATTAAGGTATCTTTTGTGGAAGCAAATGTTGATAGATTGTGGGTGGCAATGGTATCATATGTTACCTGCTCCCAGGTTTACGAAGTGAGGAATACAAGGCTGAGAGAATCCACAAGAAGATCAAATGCCATTCAGGAGAAAACATCGGATTTCAGCAAGGAGCAAATCTTCCTGTATCCGTGGAAACAATGTGATTGCTTTTTTTGCTGGGCAAATGGAACTGTAAAATCTGCTTAAGAACCTCCAGATAGACCAGAGTAGGGGACAGATATTACGAATGGAATGACCTCGGTTTAACAGGTAAGAGGTGCAAAGTGTATGCTTTCTGGACAAACTGGGGCAATTTTTGCAATTTTCTTAGTAAGCTGCGTTTTCCTGAACTGATGCTTCTGGCCTCTAATATTATGTGTTAAACAAGCCTTGAATCTGACTGTGCCAATAATGAAACATATTGAAAGAGTTTGGCTGGGGGGGTGTGGGAAAAGGGACCCTCTGGGTCATGAGTATTAAGATTAGGAAAAGCTAATATTTAATTATCTCCAGGAACTGGAAATATTGATCAGGTACAAAAAGCTGCTTTGAATTCAATTGCTGCCTCTACAAGACGCTTTAAAACAAGCTGCATGTTGAAGATTCAGCTTTGAAATAAATGTGATTTATTTGTGAGAAAGATGTTCTTAAAAGCCCAGCTGCTGTATTTTTGTTCCTGTGTCCCCCTTCTCTCCCCAACCCAGTTTATAGAGAGAGAGAGCTCACAAATTCTTTCCTATGATACTTTTTGGACTAAGGCTTATGCAAAAGAATGATTGCAGTGCAACCCTTTATATTTCTACTCAGAAGCAAGTCATATTAAGTTCAAAAGGACTCCTTCCCAAATAAGTGAATATAGGATTGTAGTCTAAATGTTTATTTTTATAATTTTAGGGTCAGACAAAGACATATTTGTTTTCACTGGCATTTTGGCAGCTTCAGTGATTTGTTATTATCCTGTTAAGTTGTTTTTAAATAATGTTTCTGTGAATTTTTAACTTTGGTTGTAAAACACTTTGAGACTTTTTTTAAAATGAGAAGCAATGTATTCATTTAAGAACCCTAAACCAAAAGCTTATCTGAATACAGAATGTGGGATCAGGCTGTGATTGTAACTTTCCTCCAAGACCCTCAAAACAAAAGGGCTATTGGAGACAATAAAGTTATTTATTTATTGAACAAAATACATATATTGCTTGTCTGTATGTGAACCTAAGTGGTTTACAAAAATGTAAACTCAAACATTAAAATTATTGACTAAAAACCAGTAAAACTTGGCAATTAAAATGTTCACAATGTGCTTAAAATCGACAGTAGCTAAAAAGAGATAAAACACATGTAACTTCTACATGTTTACATGTTTTAAGCAGGTACTAAAAACAAGACAGTGAAGGTCCCTGCCTGATGTCAAGAGGCAAGGAGTTCCAAAGTGCAGGTGCTGCCGCACTCAAATATTGATTTCTTACCAGTGCAGAAGGAGTCTTGTGTGGCGCCAGTAACAGTGTCAGTTCAGATTTCCTGATATCTCCCTACAATTTGAAATTTGGAAAGTTATGTAAAAATTTCCTTTTTTATATAATTTGTATTGGTTTATCACAATTTTATACATTTTAACTTTAACCATTTCAAACATTAATATAAAACGTTCTTTTGAACCTTCGGACCTCCTTCCCTCCCTCTATGGGTTCTATATTTAAGATTAAATTTTCTGCATCTTTTACCATTGTCCATCTGTTGTATGTCCATAGTTACCATAATTAATTCCACATTACAAGTGTCATTACATCCCTGCCAATGATTTTAACTGTTTACAATGGTCTTTTAAATAAACTAAGAATTTGCTCCAGTCTTTTAAAAATATGTGATCATCCTGGTTTTGGATCTTCCCCATCTGTTTCGCCATCTCTGCCTACTCCATCAGTTTCGTCTGCCATTCTTCTTTTGTTGGTACTTCTCCTTCCTTCCATCTCTGGGCTGGTAGCATTCTCGCTACCGTCATAGCATACATAAGAAGTCTTTTGTCCTCTCTTGGTATCTCTTCACCTATTATACCTAACCAAAAGGCTTATGGTATTTTAACAAATGTATTTTAAACATTTTCTTTAATTCATTATATATCGTTTCCCAGAAAGCCTTTACCAGTGTACATGTCTATCACATATGATAAAAAGTACCGTACCTTCCTTCCCTTTACATTTCCAACATAAATTTTAACTCGTTTTGTACATTTTTGCAATTTTACTCAGTGTTAAATACCACCTATACATCATTTCCATATAGTTTTCTTTCAACGAAGAGCATGCAGTAAATTTTATTTCCTCTTTCCATAACTTTTCCCAAGATGCAAGTTGAATATTGTACCCAAAATCTCTAGCCCAATGTATCATGACTGCCTTAACTTCATCATCTTTTGTATACCATTCTAATAGTAATTTGTACATTTTTGACAACACTTTCACATTATTTTCCAACAGATCTATTTCAAACCTCGATCTCACTGTATCAAAACCTTTTTTTATTTGGTCTACCTTAAAAAAATCATTTAATTGGTGATACTGTAACCAATCCATTAATAATTCTCTTATATCTTCTATGTAAGAATTTCCACACGCAATTTTGAAATGAGTTTTTTTCCACTGTCCAAATTTAGTTTTGGTGATATTTTTATATGTATGTCTGTGTGTGCCTCTATTGCTGCATGCACCGTAATCTCCAACCAGTGAGACACTCCAGAGGTTCCTGTGCTTACCCAGAGTCCAGTTTCCTTGGAATGAAGGGCCATGGAAACTGTGGCATCTTTAGAATATGTGGTTTTATTTTCACATCTATACAACCTGAGCATAGGATGGAGGGGTTCACAACATTAACACTCCAGCAGATCTTGCTTCCCCATTTGGTTTCCAAGGAAGCTCACAACTTTAGGTCTAGCACAGATCAAGATGTCCTTTCCTCTCCAGGTTCCAGCATCTGCCCAATCTCTCCCTCCCCCTCCCTCTCTCTCTCTCTCTCTCTCTCACTCACACACACACACACACACACACAGAGCCTTGGCCTATTATTCATCCTAGGATGAAGTGGTATCTAGCCAGGTGAGGTGGGAAAAAGCCCACCCACTTATCTCTATGGGAGCAGGGCAACCTCTTTGGATATACATTTTTTAAAGTGTTTTGGTTGCTTTGTAGGTGAAGCTGCTAACAGTATGGAGATGAAGAACATTATCCAAAAGGAAACCTTGGCCAATGAGACTGAAATATGGATTGCAGGAAGCCACATCAATAGCACTTTCCTCCCTTACTACCAACATTCTCCTGCTGTTGCTGCCATTTTAATCATGGCGTACCTAATTGTCTTTCTCTCATGCATGGCTGGGAACGCCTTGGTTTGCATGGTGGTGGTGAATAATGAGCGTATGCGCACTGTCACCAACTTCTTCATCCTCAACTTGGCCATCAGTGACCTGCTGGTGGGCATCTTCTGTGTTCCACCCACTCTGATGGACAACCTGATCACAGGTGAGGGCCATTCTATGAGAGAAGTGGGGAAACTGGGCTTTCAGAAATGGCATGCTGTTGCCTGCCAGGAAACCAGTTTAGGAAAGCTGGTCTAAGACTCCTCTCCTCTGCCACTTCAGTAAGCCCTCTCCCTATGATGGTCTAGAATCAAGTGGCAGAATACAAACTTTGCATGGAAGGGCTCCATTGCACACATTTCCATGTGAAAGGCTCTCTTCTGACTGGGACCTTGGAGAGCTGTTGCCAGTCAGGTGCAATCAATGTTGGACTGGGTGGACTTGGAGGGGGGCAGTTTCATAAGTTCACAGTGAAAAATGGGGTTTCTGGTGGAGTCTTAGGACCCATTTTTTTACACTAGCCTTTGGGATAGTTTGATGCACTTCTAGATCAGATGTATTGGGAGTGTTTTTGGTTGCATTAAGGTGATTGTTGCAAAGTATTGAGCAAGGTTTAAAATGGCTTGGTTGAATGTATTTTTTTTTTAATTATGCTTTTGTACACTTATCTGGGATTCTCACTGACAAGGGTGATTAACAAATTGAACAAAGAAAAAATAGAATAAAACACATCTCTAAAGTGTTGAAATACCACTGCAGAGAAGCAGGACTGCCTTGCTTGTTTCTTATGCTCAGGAAGGCAGAATGCTCAGCTCTGTGATTTCTTCCCATTGTTCTTTGGTGTGGTAAATCTGCCCTAGAAATACCGTACTTACGTATGCGACAGCAGCAGCAAGAATACTTATTGGGAAATACTGGAAGACACAAGAATTGCCTACCCGAGAAGAATGGCAGAGAAAAGTGATAGACTATATGGAACTGGCTGAGATGACCGGCAGAATTCGAGATCAGGAAGAAGGGTCGATGGAAGAAGATTGGAAAAAATTTAAAATATATCTTCAGAAATACTGTAATATAAAAGAATGTTAGAAAAGGTTGGAGAAGAATATTAGACCGTATTGGCAGACAGAGTATAATGGAATAAGTAAATATGAAGTGTAAAATAAAGATAGAGGAGAATTAAATACTTTCGAATGTTAAAATAAGTAAATGAAAAGAAGGTTAGAAGGATTTGCTGGAGATACGATTCAAACTAGAATACAAAGCAAAGAGGTGAGAGGAAGTCACGGAAATAAGTAAATGGGAAAACGGTTTTAAAGGTTTAATTTGATTTTTTGTTACCTTTTTATGGTGATTTTTTGTCTTTTGTATTTTTCTTTTGTATTGTTTGTTTTTTGTATAAGATGTATGTGATTTGTTGTTTTTTTCTACTTTTTTCTTTTTCTGTAATTTTTAAAATTGGAATAAATATTCATTAAAAAAAAAAATAATAAAAAAAAAAGAAATACCGTACTTACTCGAGTCTAATGCGCCATCGACTCTAATGCACACCTCAGTTTTCTGAACCTTGAAACCCCAAAAAAGTATTTGCTGGTGAATGTGAATGTGCCATCAAATCTAATGTGCACCTTAATTTCCGCAACATAATTTGGCCAAAAATGGTGAGCATTAGATTCAAGTAAATACAGTAAATGTCCAGAGGTGCTAGAGCTGATCCTTGCCTTCTAGACATGCCTATTTCCTCGTGTTTTTAATGTATCTATGTGGAGTTTATTGTCTGGTTGTAATTTGCTTTGGGTTGCCCTGGGCAAGGTAAAATGAGTAACAAATTCAGTGACAGATGATAGATAGATGGATAGATGGATAGGTAGGTAGGTAGGTAGGTAGGTAGGTAGGTAGATATTCAGGCTTATCAAGAATGCAGCACTGGGTTCCTATGGTAATGGAAACCTCTTTGCAAATTAAAAATGCCCTATTTATGAATCACAGGAAGTTGACTTATTCTGTGTATCTCCTACATGACAGGCTGGCCTTTCAACCAGGTTATCTGTACCATGAGCGGCCTGGTCCAAGGAATGTCCATCTCTGCTTCTGTCTTCACCCTCGTGGCTATAGCCATGGACAGGTAAGGCTTTTGGTTTCATTGTGGGTATTACAACAAACGAGAATGAATTTGCTTTTGCTTTGCACACACTGTATATCCATGGGTCACTGGTGGACATGTTCCTTAGCTGAAGGTTGACCTGCCTCTTGACTTTGCAGCATGTTAGCCGATCAACTGTTGGCTCAGCCCCCAATTTTGCCCTGCCCGCCATGCTTTGGGAGGGCTGTCTAAACTTTTAATGGTTGTTGAAGATGCTTTGCATTGACATTATAAATAAAAAGATCAATGTTTAAGAAGTGCAAACCTTCCCCTTTTCCGGAGAGAGTTTTCATGCTGACCTTGTGAGTAGTCAGACAGCTGATGCAGCCAGCTTCTGGTTCAAGCTTGCTTGTGCTCAGAGATGAATAGGTGAGCAATGAGAGCACTCTTGGAACAGCTCCCTGGCTCTAAAGTTTTGACATGTGGTATCCTTTAAATCAAGCCACAAATTCAAAGTTGGAATCTCTAAGCTATAGATGGAAATCCAGCTCTTTGTTGCTGCCACCATCAAAACTTAATGGAGTCTCCATGCTAGGAAGGATGATGGTTGCAATGGCAGCCCTACCCATCCTCATCGCATGTTGATTATTCAGAAGTGCATTCCCTGGAGTGAAATCAGCATCTCAGAACTACTCTTGAATTTACACTAGACACTAGCAAGGTTGGAAGTGACATTTCAAAGTTCTGGTTATGACCTGTAAAGCCCTACACAGCTTAGGTTCAGGCTACCTGAAAGACCATCTCCCCTTATACAAACCTGCCCAGGCTCTGAGATCATTACACGGCAGGAGGAGGAGGAGCTGCCAGACACTGAAGTTGTGCCCCGCTTGGCTCCACAGTCAGCCTCCTCTTCCTCCTGCTGCCATCACCATTGGCTGTGTCTGCTTCCCCCCTCTTTCCCCTCCAAGGCAGGAGGAGGAGGAAGAGGAGGAGGAGGAGCCACACTATGCTAAGCTCCATGCTCTGCCTCCTCCATGCCCTGATTTTTTTAAAACATGGGGGCACCTCTCCAAAAATATTGGGCTCCTAGGAGTTGGCACCTGTACAGCATCTCTCTGGGTCTCCTCAACTCTGCAACCTGATATGCTCTTTAACCAGACATGGCAGCGATTGAATGGAGGGCTACCTGCATGCAACACATGCATTCTCCCGCTGAACTGTGGTCTCTTCTGTGCATAGACTCAGTTCATGTAGTTAGCAGGCTGCTGCCATCCTCCAGCTACTGGCAATGAAGGTGTGCACTCCTTCCTGCTACACATGAGATTAATGTGTGAAATGGGCCTATTTGAACGGAAGTCCTGCTTTAAAACACATTGGTGCCTTGCATTTCTCCACCAGACCCAAGAGTTATTTACACAGCTCTTCCTTCCCCAGTTCACGGGAGGATGACGTGTCTGTGGCTTGCTCTTGCTAATGCTTCCTGCTTCTTACTCTTCCAGATTCCACTGCATTGTCCTGCCTTTCCGGGAGAGGCTCAGCCTTGTGAAGGCTGTGGTGATTATTGTTGTGGTGTGGCTCCTGGCCATCGCCATCATGTGCCCTTCTGCCATCATGCTCACTGTCGGTCGCGTGGAGGACCACTACATGGTGCGGAGTGATGGCAAGAATACCACCTACCCACTCTATGCGTGCTACGAAGCCTGGTCTGACAGCAGCATGAGAAAAGTCTATACCACCATCCTATTTGTCCACATCTACCTGGTGCCCTTCATGCTCATCTTGTTCATGTATGGAAGCATCTGCCTGAAACTCTGCCGTTCCACAGCGCCCATCACCCAAAACCTGACTTGCCCTGTCAAAGCCAATGGCACGCCTAAGAAGAGAATCAAGGTCATCAAGATGCTGGTCTTGGTGGCCCTCCTCTTCATGATCTCCTGGCTGCCCCTCTGGACTCTGATGCTGCTGGTGGATTATAACAATTTGGACGATGACCACCTAGACTTACTGACTGGCTATTTCTTCCCTTTTGCCCACTGGCTGGCCTTCTCTAACAGCAGCATCAACCCAATCATCTATGGCTACTACAATGAGAATTTCAGGCGGGGCTTCCAGACAGCTTTTAAGTTCCACCTTTGCTCCCAAGAGAAGGTACACCAGGAAACTTACTCGGAGCAGTCATAGGGGCCCACCAGTTTTAGGATGTGCAACAAAGTCTTTGCAGAGGCAACTTCTTATAACTCGGTGTCCTCACGGCACTCTCAGAACACTGGCCCTCTCGTCTCCAGGAGCTTTCAGCCCAAGTGCCCCGGCCTCAGCTTAGAGGACATTGATAAGATAATGACTTATCGTGGAATTAATCAGGCTTGGGAGAAGACAGAAAACTGCTAAAACATTGAGGGGTGCGTGTGTGTGGAAATAAGGCAAAATAAGAGAACAAAACTTATCGTGGACTATTGTGTGATTAATTTGAGGGGACAGAGAGTAACTCGCAACTTGCAGGCATTTAACTTGTGCACATTCAGTTTTATGCACTTGGCAATTTAAAAAAAAAATTAAAAGGGGGGTGGAAAGGGGGTGGGCATGCAGGGGAAAAACCCTGAAAGAGATATCAACTTGCAGGTTTAGAAAAGGTCCCAAAGAGCTGCTGCTAGTTAGATCCCTGGTGCTGTGGGATCTGACCTAGTGCACTCTCACCTGCCAGGCTCAAGTTCAGGGATCCCTTGATCACAGGGCCAGACCCAGACATTTTGGTGCCTGAAGAGAATCAGAACTAGTTTGTTAAGGGTGCTTTTTATATTCAGTCAAGGCTCCGCACGCCCCTCCATCCCAACACGAATCTTTGTTCTCCCCTTCATCCTGAGCTTCACTCCCCCCTCTCCCTTTATTTCTGATTCTGATCTTAACTTGAGGAATATTAGAAATAGCAGGGAGTGGAAATCAGCACCAGAAACAAGGGAGGGAGTGGAGACCTTCACGCCCCTCTTTTTCCCCATGCTGATCTTCACTCCCCACTTGTTTCTGGTGCTGATCAGACTAGCAGCTGTTGGGAACACAATGCAGGTTAGGCGGACCTTTGGCCCCATCTAGCAGCACACTAATGTTCATTCTTTACTGTTCAGGATTTGCCTTCTTTGGGGTGGGGAGAAGAATTTGTTTTATTTTGTTAATTGCTTCCCATAAAACATTCCAAAGTGATAAAAAGACAAAATATATCTCCCTATATACATAAGAATATAAGGCTGCCATCCTGCAGCTTCCACTGGAGGATCTGTAGGACCGCATCACAACCCTGGCTTTTCCTGAAGTCCTGGTGCATTAGTGGAGCAAAAGAGAAGGCAAGTTGCACAGCTACAGTGGCCATGGCATGGGAGTGAGAAGGGAGGGACACCGGCAGGGTGAAAGAGGTGATTTAAAACAGTGACAGAAGTCTGAACAAAGCAGGGGTGAAGGAAACTGAGAGGGAAATAATTGAGAGAGTTGAGTAATGTACATTAGTACAGTGGGATATTTGCGTATGGGAAGCTCAAGGGGATTTATGTGGGGGGAATGGCAGTGGGTTGGCAAGCAGAGTGAGCAGGGATGCATAATATACTGTAAATAGGTACAATTTAAAACCCAATACAAATACAGATTGGGATTACAAGCTTCACTTAATAGGCTTGAAAGGAAAGGAGGGTGTTCATTAGGTGATGAAAAGACCATAAAGATAGCACCTGTGTTCCAAAGACCACACTGAAGGTTTGACGCCTGTATTGTGCAGAAAACACTTCCTGATGAGATGACGTCTGCGGGAGGCAGAGTGCAGGTTGTGCAATGGCTGGCTTGGTATACAAGGCATGAGATCATCTTTTGTGCCTCCAGTTTTAATTTGCTAAACAAAAGTTGTTTCAGCTGCTAGAGGTTTCTAACAGCAAACAATTCTTTTCCATAAAATAGAAATAATCCCCAAGAAGCCAACAAACTTTGTTACTCACTGAACAAACTTACTAAATGGGTAACAAAACATAGTCATGAATCATCTGGATCGACAAAGCTTGTACCAAGGCCTGTATTAAATAAACAACCCAGAAGGAGCCGTGAAAACAAAACATAAATCTAAGATTCTATAAGGTGCTGAGTGACATGTCAATTTGCAGATGGTGAGACTGTGGTCACTAATCCCCTTGCCAGAGAAAAGCATGTTATTCCCCTTCCTAATCTCTTGTCATGCTGCCTGGATGAGAAAGGACAAATCTGAAACCACCTGAAGGTGACACAACGTCCAGATGGTAGTGCCCACATTGGTGTCTGCCTTTGTGACTCCATCTCCTGGAGAGAAGCAATGGGTTGATGGAGGATTAGAGGCGCACAAGGATCATTCCCATAGTTAAGGGGAGCAGAAAAAGCAAGATCCCATCATTACAAGTCTCAACATCCGATAGCTTATAAAGATGGCCTCTTTCAGGCAAATAACTTGAAATTTGCATTATGTACTTGAACACTCTATGCATATGCTAAACTTCAGACTGATCCAATAAAAGCTGAGAGAGATATAGCAAGTTATAAAGTGGTGACATTCAACACTTTGGCCCCTTATTTTTTAGTTATTAAGCCAGCGTATCATATATTTCTTTCTAATTTAAGTGAAAAGTACTGGTGTACACTACTCAGGCTTGTTACAGAACAGATCTTTTAACTGGTTTGGTAGTGAAGTTCTGATCAATGTTTGGAAAGTCTATGGAAAACAAGTAATTGCAAAATAGTATTACACATGACTGAAATCCAAAGTGAAGCCAAACTTTTACAATGAATACAGTTTTTAAAGTTTGAATCCGTGTGAGGGGGTGAGCTCCCGTTCCTCTGTGCCAGTGTCTGCCAACCTAGAAGTTCGAAAGCATGCCAGTGCAAGTAGATAAATAGGGACCGCTGTGGCAGGAAGGTAAACAGCGTTTCAGTGCACTCTGGTAAACGGCGTTTCAGTGCACTCTGGTTTCTGTCATGGTGTCTTGTTGTGCCAGAAGCAGTTTAGTCCTGCTGGCCACATGACCAGGAAAGCTGTCTGCAGACAAACGCCGGCTCCCTCGGTCTGAAAGCAAGATGAGCGCCGCAACCCCATAATCGTGTTTCACTGCACTTAACCATCCAGGTGTCCTTTACCTTTACCTTTTAATAAACACACACCACACACACACACCAACGAAGAAACCCCTCTCACAAGAACCTCACCCCACACTGAAGCACACAGAAGTACACAAGAAGTACCCAACACATAGGTGAGGCCATGGACCCATCTAGCCCTGTGTCCTGTTCTGGGATGGCCAACAAGATGCCCCTGGGAAGCCCACAGACCCACCGACCGCTCCACAATGGCAATGCACCCCCGTCTGATATTCATGCTGTGTGTTTTTAATCAGTTCAGTGATCAAAACACCACAGGCAATCCTACCCCACAACCATGCATTTACCTTGTACAGCAAACCCCTAATCCCACCTCATGCTGCAAGCCCCTAAACACTCTGCCCCACACTGAATCCCCCACTGATCCTCTGCACACCGAAACCCACCCCCACTGCTGCACACTGAAACCCCTTCTACACACACCGCCCCAAACAACCCCCACATACCCCACATTTCTCTGATGAAAATAGGGACGTCTCATTCCATAATGATAATTTTACTATTTATATGCTACACATCTTACTGGGTTGCACCAGCCACTCTGGGCAGCTTCCTACATACATAAAAGCGTAAGAAAACATTAAACATAAAAAACTTCCCTATGCATGGCTGCCTTCAGGTGTCTTCTAATGGCTGTATTGTAACTTATCTCCTTGGCTCGGGGGTTGCATAACTCCATACCCTCCAACATTTCTCCAGTGAAAATAGGAACATCCTAAGGTGGTCTAAACCACTGAGCCTCTTGGGCTTGCCGATCAGAAGGTCGGCGGTTCGAATCCCCGTGAAGGGGTGAGCTCCTGTTGTTTGGTCCCAGCTCCTGCCCACCTAGCAGTTTGAAAGCATGTCAAAAGTGCAAGTAGATAAATAGGTACCGCTCAGGTGGGAAGGTAAATAGCATTTCCATGCACTGCTCTGGTTCACCAGAAGCGGTTTAGTCATGCTGGCTACATGACCCAGAAAAACTGTCTGTGGACAAATGCTGGCTCCTTCGGCCTGTAGAGTGAGATGAGCGCCGCAACCCCAGAATTGTCTGCAACTGGACCTAACAGTCATGGGTACCTTTACCTTTAAGGGAAAGCAGAATATCAAATCAGGATCAAATCAGAAACCAGGATGGCTAAATCAGGGGCATCCCTGGAAATTAGGGACACTTGGAATGTCTGTTCCACCCCACACTGAAACCCTAGACACAGACCAGGCCCCTGATGGAACCCCCACCCCCATCCCACTGCTCCACAGTGAAAAATATAAACAGCTTGTCCCATACTGAAACCTGCCCCATAATGAAGCCCCCACGCTGAAACACCCCAGCCATTTTTCCTTGAACCCTGCTCCCTTCCCAGCCCTTTTATTTTGCCATGCACTGAATGTGCAAAGGTTAAATGTGCTTAAGTTGTGGACTTGCTGTACTACAAAGATGCAAGAGTAGGAAAGAAAGGAATTACGGGTCAGAGACTTAACTCCTCTGGAAGTGAAGCCCATGGAACTTTCCGAAAGAGTTGGCTAGCCTGTGCTCCTGCGCATCTTGCCTCTCCCATAAAACCTGATCATTGGCCATATTGCCTGGGGTTTCAGGAGGTGCAGGGTAAGGACAAAAGCAGTTTCAGAAAGAGGGCTGGGAAGGGGGAAAGGGAGCTTAGTGTTGCATGGGAGAGGAAGGGGGGTTGGCGAGTGGAGTCAGCAGGAGGGCAGAGCCCCCTGGTAAAAACATAAATACATGAAGACCCAGAGGGGGGAAATCCATATGGAGTGAGGCGGGTGGGCAGGTGGGCAACCTGAACACTAATGAGAAACTGGGTGGAGGACACATAGGAGGGGGGAAATAAGTCTGCCATCCAGTGGCACCGTAAGGGGCATCAGGGTCCCACCCCAAACACAGCTGGGCCAGCTTACCGCGTTTGAAGAGAGTGCAATAATACACACCACCACCTAAAGAGCCTCCCCCCCACTCCCCCAGTAAGACCGTTAAGTTCAGAGCCTAAAATAACTGCACTACCAGCCCCATAGAGGCCGTCTATAGAGAATGCAAATCTGAAAGTCTTTTATCTAACTGCGCGCTTTTCAGTATCCACCCACCCCATACTAGAGACACTTCTCCACTGATCCAGGCAAATAGGCAGGCAGATCGACATTTCCCCTGAGGTTAATGGCATGGAAGAGAGATTAATGTGCTCCCGCAGGGCGCAGCGGGGCGCATCGAAGCATTAGTTTGGTGTGAAAGCCCACTGTTGATGCTTCACTGCAGTGACAGCTTTTGCTCTTCTTTTGCAGCTGTTTGGCAAGCTCAGGGGAAAGTGATACAGGAAACTCTGTCAAGCCTGTGAGAAGGAGTCCTTCCAGAGGCAGCCAGGGAAGGTGGACTGTGACGCTTGTATTCCTTGGGAAACATGTGCCCCATTCCCAGCAACAAAGCAGAACTTCTGACACTGGCAGGATATCAGGATGGGGCCAGGAAGTGCCCCACATCAAGTGAGTCATCTCATTTGAAGATTGACTTTACCAAGGGTCTAGGATGGGCATGCGTAGCTCAATAGGTAGAGCATGAGACTTTTAATCTCAGGGTTGTGAGTTGAAGGCCCACATTGGGGGAAAGATTCCTGCATTGCAAGGGATTGGACTAGATGACCATTGTGGCCCCTTCCAACTGTACAATTCTATGATTTGATTACTTTTATTTGTTTGTTTGTTTGTTTGAGATATATATATATATATATATATATATATATATATATATATATATAAGCCCACCCTTCACCCAAGGATTCCAGGGCAGAAATATACACCATCTAAACAAAATTTAAACAATAGAATTAAATAATTACAATAATGAGTTCCAGGACCATGGAAAATACCCTCTGTCAGTTCCTCAGGGGTGGGGAGTCTGTGGCTGGTGTGCCACCCTTTGTCCAGCAGGGGGCAGTCCAATCTGGTCAGTGAGACCATTTCCCCCAAACGACATCCACCTGTCAATCAGCCAACATCAAGTGCTATGCCAGGGAGAAAGAAGGCTGCTTATCGGAAACCCTGTCAATCATGTGTCATAATGCTGTTTTGTGATTGACAGCTGGGTTGTCTTGCTGACCTGACAAAGTTGGCCTATGCTCTAGGGGGTGGAAAGAAAATAAACGAAAAACGTTCCCTGTTCCTGCTGTAACTCCTCTCCCTGCGCACTGCATGGGATCATCATTCTTGGCTCATTCCTAGAGGTGGTTGTTGACTCCCCTGGGTCAGAGAAGGAACCACCTGATCCCTGTCAAAAAACACTCTTCAGGGGAGTGAATCCAGGAGATGCAAAATCTGGACACTTCACTTGGTAAGGGGTCTGCATTTTGGAATGCTGTGAAATTCCAGGAGAAATTGCCAATCTGTGTGTCCTGTTTTGAAGGGCTGACCTATCCAAGTTGTGTTTAAATATAAAAACCACAAAAATCAATAAAATTATCAATAAAATTAAAATTGAAGACAAATGGATTCAAGAACCGAAGGAAATTAGTAAAAACTTTGCTAGTTTTTTCGGAAAACTATATAAAGAAGGTCCAGAGACTCTAGAAAAAATAATTGATTATTTGGGCAAAAATAAACTACCAATAATACCTAAGGAAAAACTGAAATCTTGAACTCACCAATAACAGCTATGGAGGTGCAACAAGCTATACAGAGATCAAAATTAGGAAAGACACCGGGCCCAGATGGTCTTCCAGCTAATTACTATAAAAAGTTAGAACAAGCATTATTTCTTCCCATGAAAGACCTAATGAATAATATTCTGGCAAATGGAATGCTTCCGAAAATCTGGAAGGACAGCTTTATTACTCTTATCCATAAACAGGGAACAGATGCCTCAAACATGGCCAATTACAGACCCATTGCACTGCTAAATAACGATTACAAGATATTCGCAGACATTCTTGCAAATAGATTAAAAATGGTGCTGAAAGAGATAATTCATAAAGATCAAACAGGATTTCTTCCCGGATGATTTATGCAATCCAATATTAGATGTGTGATTAATGTATTAGAATATTTGGATATTAAAATTGATAAACCAGCAGCTATTATGTTGGTAGACGCTGAAAAAGCTTTTGATAACGTGTCCTGGAAGTTTATGAAAAAATTAATGGAAGAAATCGGACTGGGAGAAAATATTTGTAAAGGAATAAATGCCATCTATTCGGAACAATATGCAAAATTGATCATCAACGGAAGAATTACTGAGGAGTGCAAAATAAACAAGGGAACAGGACAGGGCTGCCCACTGTCACCACTGATATTTATCTTGGTGATGGAAGTCTTGAACAATCAGATAAGAAAGGATGAGCTTGTTAAAGGCATCACTCTGGGAAACAAAACATATAAAATCAAAGCTTTTGCGAACGATTTACTTGTTATGACTGAAAACCCTAAAGAAAGTCTGAAAAGAGTGCTGGAATTGATTAAAGAATTTGGAGATGTGGCAGGCTTTAAACTGAATATAACAAAAACAAAAATGCTTGTTAAAAATGTAACCACAGAAGAAAAGGACGACTTAGAAAAAATATTGGGCCTGAAAATCTCTTCAAAAGCGAAATACTTGGGTATTTGGATCACCCCCAAGAACATAAACTTATTTCAGGATAATTACACCAAAACTTGGTTAGAGATTAGAAAAAACTTGGTAATCTGGAGTAAACTAAAATTAACATTTCTGGGTAGGATTTCCATTATAAAGATGAATGTGCTTCCAAAATTAATCTTTTATTTCAAATGATTCCGATACTGGGTGAAGCAGGTTGTCTCAAGATATGGCAAAGAGAAATTTCCAAATTCTTGTGGGAAGGGAAGAAACCTAGGATTAAACACCTGATCTTAATAGACATAAAAGAGAGAGGAGGCTTTTCCCTACCCGATCTAAAACTTTACTACGAGGCTGCCTGTTTCACCTGGCTAAAAGATTGGTGCACGTTGCAGGATCCGGACCTCCTGGACCTGGAAGGTTTTGACAACCGTTGGGGATGGCACGCCTACCTAATACATGGAAAAGCGAAAATTCATAAAAATTTTACCAACCATATAATAAGAAAGTCACTCTTTGCTGTATGGGAAAAATATAAAGACCTGATGGAGCCTAAAGTCCCGTGGTGGACTTCTCCAGTAGAAGCCATAGCAGTAAAACGGAAAAATACTCAGGAAAGCTGGCCAACATATAAAATACTTCTAAAAAATGAGGATAACCAAATAAAATTTAAAAACTTTGAGGAGATAAGAGAACACATTTCAGACTGGTTCCAATACCATCAGTTATTTGAAAAATTTAAATCTGACAAACAAAAGGGGTTCTCAGCAGAAATTTCCCGATTCGAATCTGATCTTGTAAACTCTAAAAGAAAAACTCTTTCCAAAACTTACCGACTCCTACTTGACTGGACAGTCAAGGAGGAGGAGGTAACAGTGGCAATGGTGAGGTGGTCCCAGGATTTTGGCCATCCAATAACCATGGCCCAATGGGAAAATTTATGGAAGATCAATTGGAAATTCAGAAACTGTTACACAATTAGAGAGAACTTTCAAAAAATGCAACATCGATGGTATCTAACACCATGGAAACTTTCAAAAATGTATAAAAATGTGTCAAGTAATTGTTGGAGTTCTGGAGACTCAGGAACATTCTACCATATGTGGTGGATATGTAGGAAAATACAGGTATTCTGGGAGACTATACATACAGAACTGCAAAAAATGCTAAAGATCTCTTTCAATGAAAAACCAGAGGCCTACCTCCTGGGAATAACAGATCTGGATATTCCACAAAAGAGGAAGGGTATCTTTTTATATGCGATGGCGGCAGCAAGAGTTTTGATCGCAGCAAAATGGAAGAGTAATGAAATCCCCTCTATACAAGATTGGATCCAAAAGCTGACAGAATATGCCGAATTAGATGGTTTATCAGAAAAAAAAGAATAAATCAAAACAGGAATTTGTTTCTAAATGGGAGGTTTTCAAAGAATATCTGAAAAATAAATATAGTAGTTTAAATTCTGTTGCAGCATTCGAGGAACTTCAGTGATAGTTGCTAGGTAGATAGAAGAAATTAGATTTATTGAGAATAAGTTTAATTATGAAAAAAAATGTGTGTATTGGCAATACGTAATATGAATTTGAAATATGGAATAGACGGGAAGTTGGGTCTTTAGTGTTAAGACCAATAGATGTTTTATTGTTTGCCAAGAAAATTATGTGTCTATGGTTATTTTTGTAATTTGTGTGTAATTTGGTATTTGTGGGTTTTTTTGTGTGTTTTTTTTTCTTGTTGTATGTATGTATGAATAAATAAATAAATAAATAAATAAATAAATAAATATAAAAACCACAAGAAGAGAGATGGGTAGGGAGTGGAAGTTATCCCCCTACAGTTTGCAGCTCACTCAGTCAGTCTTCCCCACCATGGTGAGCCACACTGCGTTCCAAGTTAAATTGTAGCTGCCACAATCTCTAAATCTGCACGTATACATACATGTAAGCATACACATATTTTGCTGCTCTGGGCTCTTTTGAGAGGAAGGATGGGGTATATATTTAATGGGTCAAATATATTGTTTTTAAAATGCAAATCTCCATCCACTTTTGTCCTCTTTTGGGGACAAATGTATCCCTTCGCTTCAGGCAATGTGAAAGTGGCCAACTGAGGACAATCAAATTGCACAAACCATGAATGGTCTTGTGTTCAAGCTGTTTTCCAGTTTCTTTTTACCATCCTGAATTACAGGACAGCGCATAAGTACTTGCTGTGCCAAATCACTCCAAAGCCTCATCTGGTCCCATGTTCTGTTCTCAAAAGTAGCCATGAAGTTCCTTCAAGAAAACTCACAGGCAGCATGTGATGGGGATGACCTGGCCCAGCTGTTGATTGTCCTCAGCGTTCTTAGCAACTGGTACCCAGAGATAGACTGCCTTTGTGCATGGAAGTTTGATTTACATTTTCATGCCCAATATCCATTGGTTGACCTCTCCCATGAATGTGTCCATTTCCCCCCAAAAGCCCCTAAGCCAGTGGCTATCGTGATATCATGTACTGTGTCCAGTTCTGGGCACCACAGTTCAAGAAGGACACTGACAAACTGGAAAGTGTCCAGAGGTGGGCAACCAAAATGGTCTAAGGTCTGGAAACGATGCCTTATGAGGAACGGCTAAGGGAGCTGGGCATGTTTAGCCTGGAGAAGAGGAGGTTAAGGGGTGATATGATAGCCATGTTCAAATATATAAAAGGATGTCACATAGAGGAGGGAGAAAGGTTGTTTTCTGCTGCTCCAGAGAAGCGGACACGGAGCAATGGATCCAAACTACAAGAAAGAAGATTCCACCTAAACATTAGGAAGAACTTCCTGACAGTAAGAGCTGTTCGACAGTGGAATTTGCTGCCAAGGAGTGTGGTGGAGTCTCCTTCTTTGGAGGTCTTTAAGCAGAGGCTTGACAACCATATGTCAGGAGTGCTCTGATGGTGTTTCCTGCTTGGCAGGGGTTGGACTCGATGGCCCTTGTGGTCTCTTCCAACTCTATGATTCTATGATTCTATGTGGCCTCATATTGTCACAGGTATTAACCAATAGGCACCTTCACA